TGAGAAGCAAAGCGTACTTACACGGACGACGCATCTCAACGAAGGGCCGAGGTTGCCGCTCCGAACAGGGCTCTTTTGATCCTTGCAGCTTGGCAAGCTCAGAATCACCCGGAAATACATAGCTATCTCCCTTGACGCATTGATCAGTCACGAGGCTTCATCTGAATGCCGGAATTCTGTAATGTTCGTTTTGGCGTGAAGACTAGAACTCGAAGGGTCCACAGCGATGGGTGGGTTGGAGGGGTACATGTCGTCATTGAGGGGCATGCTAGAGGTGGGATTTTCAATCCCAGTCGGAATTGCGCCCGAGGAGACATTGAGCTTATAATAGGTTAGGATTCCGTATTTTTCACTCAAGGTTTGCGCGGGTATGTAGTGTACTCAGGGGATTCAGGGGAATGATTCAGGGGCGAGCCAATTGCTGGCCGACTGCGGCAAAGAACAGAATGTCTGGATTCGAGAGTTCCGGTGTGTACGTAGGGATATACCTTGACAGCTTGATGGTGGTTTTTTTTTCTTTTCTTTTCGTTTGCCAATCGGCATGTTACATCACGTTCCTACCTAGATAAGCCAGGTCACCATCTTTCGCGTGGTTTCCTCACGCACCCGAGATCCTCCCACAAGCAGGATTCCCCCACTCACTGTTGACCTCGCATTGGGAGCATTTTGATTTCGCCCCTCCCCTCCTTAATTGTTAAAACCTCGCATACCATTGTTTGTGACCACCAAACTGCAAACTCCTTACATATACCCGGAAACATTCACTTGTTTCTACCCCCCCCCCCAAGTTTACGTTTTTTCTCTCCAACACGTTCGCTTTCAGTATTGGCAAGATGGGCTCCCAAACCAGCGAAACCCCGGCGCTCGCTACGAACCCCAAGTTCATCTTCTTCACCGACTTTGACGGCACCATCACCCTCGAGGACTCCAACGACTTCCTCACCGACAATGTCGGATACGGCTCCGAGAACCGCCGCGCCGGTAACCTGCTCGTGCTCGAGGGCAAGAAGCACTTCCGCGACAGCTTCCAGGAGATGATGGACTCGGTCAAGATGCCCTTTGACCAGTGCATCGAGTACCTGAAGGCTAACGTCAAGCTCGACCCGGCCTTCAAGGACTTTTACCACTGGTGCCGCCAGAACAACGTGCCCGTCGTAATCATCAGCGGCGGCATGCGCCCCATCATCCGCGCCCTGCTCGTCATGTGGCTCGGCGAGGATGAGGTCGACAACCACATCCAAATCGTCAGCAACCAGGTTGCCGTCCGCGACGGCAAGGCCACTATCAACGAGGAGGGCGGCTGGCGCATCGTCTACCACGACGACAGCATCCACGGCCACGACAAGTCCATTGAGCTGCGCAAGTACTCGTCCCTGCCCGAGCGCCCCGTCATGTTCTACGCCGGCGATGGCGTTTCCGATCTTTCCGCCGCCCGTGAGACCGATCTGCTGTTTGCCAAGCGCGACAAAGGTGAGACTTTTTTCTCCTTTTGCTTCAATTCTTTTGTATCCTTTACCCCGCCCCCCGCCATCGCCGACTTTTTACCCGCTGGTGTCAGCGCTGCCAACCTGCATTGGCCATGGAAAAGCGACAAAGCTAACAGCTGCGCAGATCTCGTCACGTACTGCGAAAAAGAGGGCATCTCCTTTGTCACATTTAACGACTTCTCCGACATCCACGAAACCGTCAAGCAGATTGTCGAGGGCAAGATTAGCGTCAAGGACGCTGCACGGGGACGCATCCATTGAATGCTTCACAAGACGCCGGATGAGAGAGCATATAGACACACATATTCATCTAGAGGGAAAGGGGGGCGGGGATTAATACCTATATAACGAGGCATGAGGCTCAGGCAATTCTTCAATTTTTCTTCACATTAGATATAGACATAGACTGGGTCTACAGGGATATTTCACGGACAATACCACGCTGTCTTTGACGGCAAGACCAGCGACAATCGACGACGCCCCTAGCACTTCCCCAATCCTCTAGTGAAACCATCCCTTTTTGAGAAAGTTAGACTCCATGCTGCCTTGCCTTGTATCGTTCCCAAGCACCGGTTCATCAGCTTCTGTAGAAGCAACGCCTCGGGCATTACCATGCTAACATCTCAGAGGCACCTTAAGATGGGTCACATCTCAACGCAATGTCCCACATATACCGAGTCTTGACCTCTCATCATTATACAGCTCTCTCTCGTAACTCTCCTCTTTTCCCATAACCTCCTCACCCTTACTCAGACCTCTTCCTGCTGTGGGGTACTCCGTACCACGACGCCATCATGACGGCAAACAGACCAATGGCGATCGGATGCAGCACCCACGTGCCGGACGCCTGGGCGAGGATACCCGTCGTGAACGGCGCCACGGCGCCACCAGAGCTTCCGAACGCGCTGATGACGCCCATCCCGCTGGGCCTCTTCTGCCTCGCCATCCCCCTCATGAACACCGCCGCGGCGCAAGGGTAGATGGGCCCCAGCAGCAAGCCGACAATGGCGACCGACACGGCGGGCCCGACGACGTTGGGGACCCACCACACAAGCAACTGGAACACAGCGGCGCCGACCGTCGCGAGGACGACGAAGAGCTTCTCGCCCACGCGGTGCGCCGGGTGCGATAGACACAGCCGGCCGACAGTAATGCCCGCCCAGAAACCCGCCGTGACGTAGCCCACCGAGACCGGGTCGCCACCTCGCACGGTGATGAGGAAGGAGATTACCCAGCCCGAAATGGACACCTCGGCACCCTGGTACGCGAAGATGAAGAGCGCGCCCAGCAGCACAACGCGGATCTTGAGGGCGGAGAACATGCTGAGGAGCTGCGTGCCTGAGTCGGCGGCAGCGGCGGACTCCTGGGCGGCCGAGCTCCCGTTGACGAGCTCGGAGTCGTAATCCCGGAACGACCAGGCGGAGAAGACGCCGTTGAAGATAGCTAACACCAGGGGGATGACGTAGTACATGCTCCAGCGGGTGCGGGCGGCGGTGACGAGCGCTGTGGCTATAAGAGGCCCGATGGTGCCGCCGATGCCGTAGGCGCCGTGGAGGAAGCCGAGGGCTGTGGTTGCTTGGCGCAGGGAGCCGCAGAAGACGTTGTTGACGGCGAGGTTGAGAGATATGCCGAAGCCGATCATGAAGAAGGAGACGACGACGAGCGGGAAGGGCGCCTGGGCGAGGATGGGTGCGTAACCGAGGGTGATGATGGTCTGAGCCAGGGCGAGGAGGCGGGCGCGGCCCAGGCGCACGCGGAGGGACTCGAGGAAGACGGCGCCGAAGATGAAGCCGAAGGCATTGCCGATGAAGATGAGGGAGACAATAGCGTAGCCGATGTTGTAGTGCCTGTCATTGGTATTAGTCTCTCGATAAACCTTGTCACTCTCTCTTTTCCGCGCCGCTGCTGCTCGCGTCTGGCAATTGACAAGACGGGGAAACAGGCAGGCTCTGTTACTTCTCAATGTAGGGGATCAAGGCACCCGGGGCGCTGTCGTTGAGTCCGCTGCCAAAGTTCATAAGGCACGCCGCGGCGAGACGGTAGCGGTTCATGTGGGGGTCCGAGATGCTCTGCAGGACCTCGAAGGCAGGCGGGCTCGAGGGCCGGCTCATCTCGACGTCGGTTCCCGAGGTGGGCGGGCTGGACAGAGACACCGACTGGGCCCGCGGGGAGCCGGGGATGCCGGCGCCGGTCTTGTCGGCAGCGGCCCTACCGTTGCTGGGGTTGGTATTGAGACGCGAGAGCTCGATCGACGACCCGTCGTGCTGAGGCGCGCCGGGGTAGGTTCGCGGGACGGCTTTGGCTGGGGCTGCTGGGAGGAGAGGGGCGCCCTTGTTAAGCTCGCGGGACTCGACCTCAACCAGGGCCTTGAACATCGTTACGTCCATTGCGGTGGCAAATGGAAGAAGCAGACAGGGGAGCCCAGCTCTAGAGCGAGAGCACAGGTGGGAGGTAAGTAAGTTGAAGGAGAAAGAATCAAAAATACGATAATACGCGCGGGGTATTGTAGCTAAGATATACACAGCATCTATCCAGGCAAGGTAACAATGCAGATAGGGTGAGCAACCTTGGTGGACTTCTAGTGTACAGATCAGGATGTCACACTTGGACTAGGGGCTGACTAGGGAGTCGAGTATGTAGTCAGAGACAACTATTCCTCACGATAGGTAGTTGTAGGTAGCATAGTTGCAGCCACCGCGGATCCTTGACTAATTCAGTGCGTGGCCGACATCTCACGAGCGGTCTACAGATGGTTGGGGGAGGCAATCGAGAGCCCTACCGGCCGGAGCTCCAGAATGGCACCTGGGATGCCATCCATGAGTGGGAGGCGGGACGCAGGGTTTGCAACATACATGTTCTCCACTTGGGCGACAAGAGAAAAAGTTTTGAGAGGACGAGCCTGAGGGGCATGTGGTTATGTCGGCAATCTTGTCTGGGCTTAGCCTCTCATGCTGTGATACATTAGTACCGGTAGGCAAATGGATATGTGTGTTTGACATGCTGGAGGAGGTTTAGTTGTGTGTGTAAGTGAGCGTGTCGACGCGTGAGAGACGGGCGAAGGTAATGCAGCTAAGCCGCCGGTGTCGCAGCGAACAAGCTGCTGCGAGAGGCGGAGAAGCTCCGCTGATGTCGGGGTCGACTGTGAGGGTATCTTCTCCAAGAATTGATACGAGTTGGGACCATTTCCGGGAATGGAAGTAGCCCCAGCCATTGGACGCATCGGGTAGCATTGCATCACACGATCATCATGGGTGGTCATCCAACGGACTCTGAGAATCGGCTCGCCGCCTAGGCCCGTCTCGGTACTTGTACGATGTACAGTCCGTATCCGCCCTAGCGTACATTCTGCCCCGCGTCCACCCTCCAGAAAAGCCACTGCTAGAAAAATTACCCCACCATTGATTGCCACTTATTACCACCAGGAAGGGGGAAAAAAAAAAAAAAAGGCTCCTTGACATCCATCGCACCTCTTTGCTCACGAGTCTGGCCACCCGTTGTTATTACCTGAAGAACATGGGACGACCAAAACGCGCCGCCCTCCAGGCGGCTGAGGACACCCTGACGCCCCCCGACGCCCTCGAGCAGAACCAAGCCATCGTGCGTGTAATCAAGGCCGAGGGCAACAACCTGTACGCCTGCGAGTTGCCCAACAAGAAGGACCTCGTCCTCGAGCTGGCCCAGCGCTTCCGTAACACCATCTGGATCAAGCGGGGCGGCTACGTCTTGGCCGAGAGATACGACGAGCCCAATGGTCGCGTCATGGGCGAGATCATCAACGTCGTTCGCGACGAGAAGGCCTGGCGCAAGCAATCTTACTGGTGCGGTTCCTCGAGTCGCTGTCCGCGTCTTTCTCTTGTCCTCTCACGCTGACAATGCCTGAAGGCCCAAGGAGTTTGCAAAGACAAACACGTATGATGATAGCGAAGAGTCCGACTCAAACATCGGCAAGATGCCGCCATCCGATTCCGAGGACGACTACTGATGATAAAGAGCAAATTGGCGGCTTATGATCCCTCTCCCGCTTTCACCTCTTCTTCGAATCGGGCTTCTCGGATGGCGCCCCCTCGTCCGCCGTACCGAACCACGTCGCCGCTACCGTGACCGCCATCACACCCACCACAAATTTCGAGCTCATGTCCGTGCTGGGGTACACGTTCCAGGCCCACTCCTGCGCCGCCCAGAGAATATAGACGAAGTAGATGGGGAGGCCGCTGCGCCAGAGGAGGTATGGCGTCGACCAGGCTAGGTATGCGTAGAACTGGTAATGCAGTGACCTGGCAAAGAGGAGACCCATGACGTTGGCTGAGAGGACCGTCGTGAGAACGTAGCGCGGCGTCACTCTGCCGGCCACCTGGGCTTCCTCGAGCGGCGACGAGAACGGAGACTTGCCCTGCAGCATCGCTGGGACCAGCGACGACATGGGCCGCTGGGCGGGGTTGAACCACCGGGTGAAGATGAACACTAGCAGAGTGAATAGATGCAGTCCCAGTAGCGCAATAGAGAACGGCTTGCTGAGGAACGTCTCCTCGCCCACGAAACGCCAATTGACCGTCCACTTGAAGAAGAACTGCCTCGACAGCTCGAACGCGCGACCGAGGTATCCCTTGGCGTTGCTTGACAAGAAGGGCACGCCGATGACGATTTGTAACTGTGCCATGAGCCACGCCGCGCGCAAGGCGCCACCGAAGCCGCGTCCCAGAAAGAGCACGACGCCTACGGCGGGCAGGACCAGCAGCAGCGACATCTTGATGCCCAGGCCCCAGCTGTACAGGACGGCGCCTGGTGTCCACAGTCGTTTCTGGAAGAAGAAAATGGCGAGCCAGAGGAACAGGGTCGCGAAGCAGTCGTTGAAGCATCGAAGAACGAAGACGCTGTGAAGGCGCTTGGAGAGAATCAGGAGGGGGAAAATGTAGGGAGGGACCTGTGAAAGGATATCAGTTAGCCCATTTTCCTGTTGTCAAACAAAGGGCGAGAAGGAGCAGGAACCCGCGCACCTTTGCTTGCCAGTAGCACGCCATTACAACGGCAAGAGTCACAAGATACAGGGCCGCAAAGAGCTGCTGCGCCAGAAAGACGTTCTTGCCCTCGTCGGTGAGGTAGTATAGGCCGGTGTAGGTGTAGACGTGGGCGGCCGGGTAGACGAGGGGGCCGGTGCCGCCCTTGATTTTAGTGTAGTCGCGCTCGCCCGAGACAAACTGGGAGACTTGCTCCATGTAGGCAACCCAGTCAATCTCTGTGTCTGGAAACCACGTCAGCGATTTGCTGCTCCCTTCTCTGGGATGCGATCGAAACTCACAAGGGACCTTCCAGATGATGAGCCCGCAGAGGACGGCATCCAGCACGAGGAGGAGAGGGGGAATGGCCTTGGAGAGCGCATGTCGGCCGTTGGCGATATCTAGGACTAGGCGCGTTGCCTGTACGTGGATTGGAGGTGCTTGGTCGGCCATGGTATGGCTTCGCAAACGGTGCTGCTTGGGTTGTGAAGCTTGAACAAGGGAGCTACTGAAAGCTGTCGCGAACAAATAGCTGCAAGGGTCCAGATGACACCGTGCGTTGCTTGCCACACATGGAGAAATTAACACTGTTACAGAACAGACATCTGAGAAATATTACAAGTCGTCAGCTTGACTACAACCCTTTTCGTTATTCCATTATTATGCTGTATTTTTCATGTCTACTTCACAAAATCGCATTACAACTTGCTGGCCCGATCCCAGGAAAACATTTTGGGCTCGTTCGACAGCCTCTCTCCCTTCTCGGCGCGGATCTGGTTTACCAACTCAACAATCCTCTCAGCACACCCATATGACCCCTGGTATCCCCATCCAGCGTGGCCGTAGTTATGGACGATCGGCGTCCCGTCCTCAAACGTCGACTTGTCTATTTCCATTCTGACGCCACCCTCGCGGTAGGGCCGCAGCCCAACACCGTGGCGGATAATATCCAGCGCCTCGACGCCCTTGCCGCCCGTCAATGCCGGGCATAGCTCTACGCACCGCTTCATGATGCGGTTTGCAATGTTCGGGTCCGGGTTCGGGTCCCAGTTCCCCTTGTCGTATGTCCCACCAAGAACTGTTCCGCCGCCCGCCGCCCGCGTCATCATGTAGCACACCTCCGTCGGCCCGTCGTCAGTGCCCGAGATGGTCGCCATCGGCTCTATCTCGTTCCTGACCACTACGACCTGCCCCCTCGCCGGCAGAACCTTCTTGTCCTCCACGCCGCCGAGCTTGCATGCCAGCAGCCCTGAGCTGTTGACAATGATGTCGGCGGGCTTGCCGGAGTGGTGCAGCGCCTTGAGTTCGCGGATGTGCGCAATGACGCCGCGTTTGAAGACGACGCCGTTCTTCCGGCATTGGCCGACGAGCCAAGGGAGGTAGAGCGCCGTGTTGATGCAGACCGAGGTGAACTCAGAGCCCGAATGGGCGTTGGCTGGGAGCTCGTCGGCGCGCAGGTCACGGAAGTCGGGGAGGAGATCGCGGTACCACGGGTCCACGGCGTAGAGGGCGTCGTAAGGGTTGCTGGCCGCCGCGTCTACTTCACGTCTGAAGACCACGCTCTCTGGGGGCCGTGTCAGTTTGGAGCTGCTAAAGGGCACTTAAGTAGGAAGGGCGACGCACTCTGGAAGTGAATGCCTGCCTCTGGGACCTCAGCAGCCAGACGCTTGAGCTCGGGCCAGGTCCTCCGCTCCCATCTGCTATTAGACTCCGGCGACATGCTAACAAAGTTGATTAGTCGTAAGTCCACCTCATGAGGCCCGGGAGAATCTTACGGCAAGACGTTGGCACCGGCCCAAGGCGATGTGTACTCAATGTCATAGTCACCGGGCATATGCTTCGCGATTACGGTCACAGAGTTGGCTTTGCTCTTGGACAGAAGCAGCGCCGCGGTGAGGCCCGACACGCCGGCGCTGGAGACGGTAAGTGAGTGCATTTGTGAGAGGCTATGCATGAGTCTCTTACCCGAGCACAACTATGTTGTTTGTCATCTTGACTCGACTTATTGACGACTGTTGATCTACCGGAGTTACGGAGTTGAGTTTGAATGCAGTTGACAGGCGGAAAGATTAAATAACTGAGATTTTAGGGTTTCGGGCCAGCTTATATTCCCAAAACACCGGCGAACAGTCGACCCCAAGAGTTGCGGTGATAAGCCAACTAAAACTAACGATGATCCACAGCTACCTTGTCACCCAATGCCTTTAAACGATTAGTGCATGAATCATTGCGCCATGTTTACCATCCACTTGTTGGCAGGTTGACAATTCAGGGCGTCCCCTCTCCGCGGGCAACCTGCCCCTACTATGCCGAGCCGAAAACCGGCGCGGGGCCGTTGGGAACCCTGACCTCTCTAAGTTCCTGAGTCAACCTAATCAACCCCCGGACAAAGGGACACATGGGGTGGAAATCAGCCGCCTGTGGCGCTGGGTGCCGTCTCTCTAGGCGCCTTTGGTTGATACATGTAGTATCTGATACCGTATCCTCTCATCAAACACGAAGTCCGCACAGGCCACAGGCTGCTGGAAAGGGGTAAGCGGGCTGGCAGAAACAGGGATCTAGATGTGGCAAATGCAGGAATTCATTTACGTCAGCAGCAGGTAGGTGGCAAGGGTTAGGGTTATATGGGTGGGTGTGTGTGTAGGTAGGTTGACCGCCTGTTATAATGGGACTAGCGTATGGCCTGTGCGGACTTCGTGTTTGATGAGAGGATACGGTATTACACTCGGGCGAAAACAGTCATCTTGGAGCGACTACGGGTTTTAGCTAAGGTATGCATGCATATGGTAAAACCACTGGGTAAGGTGAGTTAGGATGCGCAGCGTATGCCTTTCAGTAAGGTCTCACAGGAGTGGGAAAAGCAAACGCCCTATTAGATACTTGGCTGCCCGACCTGTAGGTTTTGTGTGAAGCTCTCTGCGCATTATCGGCGTCGATGGTCGAGTTTGTGAACAACGTTATTGGAAGGCCGTATCAAGGCCGCATCAGCCTTGAAGCCGACTGCAGCCTTCAAGACAACGCAACCAAGCTTCCTGGCGGTCTGTACCTCAGAAGTCTTGCCTTGGTCACACCCCCGTGCAATTACATGTCGACACGACGCGATTGACCAGAGACATGGTGTCCTAGTATTTTGCCAAGTACCTCACCCCGTGTTGAGTAAGACTTTGTCACTCTCACCAGCAACAGATGATACATTGAACCTCAGGCCGCCTGCAGCAGTCTAGCATTTGGTCATAGTGATATAAACACATGAGCCATATGCTACTAACCCTGAGGAGGTGCAGACGGCTCCAACGAGATAATAAATGGGACTTTTTCGATATTTACTGTGGTATCTAGGGTCAACAAAAGCTCCATCGCAAGCCAGTATTTGTTTTGACTCTTTCGGGTTCTCAACCCATGTTATCATGGTCTTTTTTCATTCGCCTCGCAATAAGTGGTTTATGCAGCGTTGGCAGCCTCGGCGAACTTCTCGATGGCCTGCTTGAGAGCGGTGGGGTTGGCGCCGACGATCTCCTGGGCCTTCTCGCCCTTTTGGAAGAGGAGGAAGGTGGGCATGGCGCGGATGCCAAGCTCCTGGCTCACGTCGGGGACCTCATCGACGTCAATCTTGACAAAGTGGACCTTGCTGTTCTTCTCCTCGTTGGAGAGGCTACGATTCGGAACATGTCAGCGACTGCTGCCGCCAAATACCCAGGCTGTAAAACAACCCAGACATGGTGAAGGAGGGTGCTCAACTCACTTGACAAGGACGGGGGCAATGGCCTTGCAGGGACCGCACCAGGTGGCGAAGGCATCAACGATGACGAAGTCGTGCTCCTTCAGGGCAGCGTCGAACTCGGCCTTGCTATAGTAGTTGGACGCGGATTAGTATCGAGACGGAAAATGGCGGGGTGCGTAACCGCTGGATCACGACGCGTGATGCGGACTGCGGGGCAATATGCAGGCCCCGCGGGAATATACTGGAATGTGTTACCGACTTACTTGTGGACGTTGTGGACAACCATGTTGGGCGAAGAAGCGTGGAAGTTTCTGTAGGTAGATGGGACTGAAGATCTCGCGATGCGTTGAATAGGACGGAAGAATCGGGTAGACATTGAATCAGAAAAGGGAGGTCCGACGCCTGGATGGGGCGGACTGCTATGGGGTTTATAACAGAGGATAGAAGTGGTATTGGTCTCTTCCTGGGCGGGCAGAAAGGGTACCTCGATTGCGCTATGTAAATATAGTGTTTTGGAGGTATTTTTTCTATGTGGGATGGCGGAAGGTGCAAGTCTGTGGCAGCAGAAACTGGCGTGAACGGGGCGCATCATCGACGCATTAAGCCACTTGATTTGTCAGACCCCTCGATGACGCCACCGCAACCTGCATATCTTGTTGCATAATTGCGCAAGAACTACCACGTTTTTGTGCATTTGTCAAGGATTTCGTCAGTTGGCCGTCGTCAAGTAGCCCCCTCTGGCTGAGTAAAATGAATTCCTCGAGGTTCCCTTATTTCCAATGTTCCGAAGCCCGCAATCCCGAGCCCGCGGTTCCGATACCCGGCTAACGGGAAATGCGGCATCTGAATTGCTTACAAGAGCGCATCTGCCGGCACCAATCGGTTTCCTGCGACCAGGGTTCAATAACTCAAATACTCACCTAGCTGCCCTCGTCACTCGGCTTACTAGTTTACCAGCCCGACGGATCTGTCAAGCATCATCGTCTAGGTATGGAACCCGATCCGGGCGTGTTTGCTCGGTCGTACCCGATGCTACAGCACCGATATCCGACCGCCACGCCGATTTGATTTCTCATCAACAAGAATCGCCATTCAATATCGTCGTCTGGGATTTGGGCGTTGCCTTCCCAGCTCAATGTTTCGCTGAGTTAAGCATCAAAAGCCTACTACAGACAGCTATTCCTAATACATATGTAATTGAACTTCCGCTTGGCACGCAAACGGTGCCTAACCCGCTCGTCTTATATTATATGCAAGCCTCGGTAAGCTTGTCGAAGCAGGTAGCTAAGCGATGAACATCTCGGCGCTTAGCATTGGAATGCCACTGCCTGCTGAACGGAGTGGTGGTGCACTGCGCCTTATCATAAAGAGTCATAACGAAAAAGAAGCCCAGAGCTTGTGGCGTTGATCGTTTCCTAGAAGAGGCTTGACAACAGCTGATGTAGAGGGTACCTGTCGCGCAAAAACGACACCGTTAATTGCAGGCAGCAATTAACGCCTTATTTCACATTGTGACAGTATCTAAATGCGGCCAGGATTCATGACGCCGGAGCAGTGGCATGAATCAGCCCCACCTTCCGCTTCTTTGAGGGCCGGCGATGCACGGTACTCTGAAATGTCTCCGACTTCTATCTCTGGAAGAAGAATCAGGAACGACGAAGGTCGGCGCTGAAGGAGGAGGTTCTCAAGCAGAAGAAGAGGAGTTTCGTTCTCTTGGATCCATAGAACAAAGACTTCCACACGGGAAAGTTGCACACTTCTGGTCGGAGGTTGAACAAACGTATTGTAATGTCAACACCCTAGTTACCAGGCGAGGAATATGGCGTTAGAGTCGCTCAGTATCTCCAACGTCAGGTCTTGTACAAGAAACAATTTCCGGTCGTGCAGGAGCCGTTTATTGGCTGGGAAGATATTTGTTCTCCGCACGCGAAATGGAAGAATTGGACAAGTCGAACAGACCTAGGTTCGCTGTCTTGCGTTCAAGCTAATGGTACCAGTCATACGCCCCTCATTCTCGGTATCGTGGCTATGCTGCACTGCACCCCCCTGTTAGTGATGATAACAGCGTAAGCTGAGCTGCCTAGTCCTGGATGCGAACCAATATTCCTCAACTAATCGTCAGGGCAGCCAGTCCCAGTCCCGCCAAGACTAAATACCATGCAGGCCACGCATTCGACCAAGAGTCTACCCGTTCATCTGTCATAACCACAAAGCTGTTCACACGATATTACGCAATGGCATTTCAACGACTGACGCAAGCCAGCGATTTCCCCTACTCTCCCCTTGACGAAGCCCGTAATGAGATTCGAGTACTTAACTTGCAGACGATCGAGCGGCCGCCGCTCGTAAAACTTCGCGATGAGCCACCAGAATGGCATGGTCTCGTCCACTGTACTATAGAACATGTTTCACTCGATGCATACCTCTCAGGTTACCAGCAATGGGCATCCAAGGCTCAGCCGTTGTCTCGGCGCAATAGCGATGAGCGTTGGCGACTATTCTCCAACGAACGATACCGCTCTCGTAGTCCAACGAGAGTAAACTCGCCCTTTGAACGGCCACGCACGCATCCTCGATATCATCGCTTTGAGTGGGGAGATTACGGCGCACTGAGCTATACTTGGGGAGACCAGACTATCAGAGTACCGATTGTTATAAACGGCCAAATTATTCTTATCGGCCAAAGCTTGGAGGCAGCGCTTCGGGCATTGTCTTCAGACCCGGACTACATTGAAGGCTTGAAAATTTGGGCAGATGCAATTTGCATTAATCAAAAAGACTTGGATGAGCGTAGCCTTCAAGTCAAGCGGATGCGCATGATTTACGGCAAAGCGCTCATCGTTTCTATTTGGCTTGGGGCGGTTCCAGACGCAGCCATACCGGATATGGCTCAACTCCATGAGATTATTGTCAAGTCAACAGACAAGGACGCAGCATTCGATCTACTTGAAATGGCTTTAACCGACCCGGAGAAGAAAGAAACCATCAGGCGGGCCATTGATGTGATCGTCAAGAAAACATATTGGACTCGAATTTGGGTGATCCAGGAGAAGTGTCTCGAACCAGTGAATCCTTCCATCTTATTTGGGACGTTCCGCATGGGTCTAATGCCGCTTCACAACTTTTTACAGGCAGCAACCAATATTCACGGCGCCGTGCGAGCTCGTGAAAAGGTATGGCGCGTGTTGAAACTAGTCGAACTAGTGACTATCAACCAAGAGCGTGTTCGCCGCAGAAACACGCCGACAGATGAAGAGCGCAGGAAAGATCAAGACGAAATTGGTCTTCTTTTAATGATTGGCAGAATGGCCCGTTCCCTTGACTTGAGAGACCGTCTGTATGGATTGATGGGTATGATCCCTGAGTATGTTGCAAAACATATCGAGCCCGACTACAAGAAAGCGGTTGAAGAAGTGTTCTACGATTTTGCTAAGGCTCTTATGACGGGGTTCAGATCTTTTGATATCGTTCTTACTGGGACAACAGAATCGAGTCTTACGCTCCCATCTTGGGTGCCAGACTTGACTTCCCCGTGGGATCCTTACCTATGGGGTTCAGACTGCGATGCCAGTTGGGGTCAAGATGCCTGGTTCGGGTTTGAACAGGATACAAACATTCTGGTCACCAGCGGTTATTTTATTGACGTTGTTGATGGAATAGCACCCTTCTTGGGCTGGGAACACGGAGAGCTCCGGATATTGCAAGACGCCGTTCACCCGACTTCCAAGGCAATACCGGATGACCCAAAAGCGGCGATTTTGAGGACTTTGCATCGAGCAGCAATTTACGAATGCTCCACAGGATATACTATTCTTGACATCCCCTGGCTCGAAGATTTGAAACCTGACAATCCGGATGTCATGGCTTTGGGAAAGCGCGGCTGGGGGAAAATCCTTAAACACGCCAACCTCCAAGATCTCATCCAGTTTCGAAATCAAATCAGCGCACAATTCAAGCCTTGGGGCCGAGATTTCAAGTCATTTTTCCCCAGGCCCGAAGATGTAGGGGAGTGCCAAGATCCGAAACCATTTTTGGATTCACTCGACAAGCATGTTGGCATCGTGTATCCCATTTTCACTACGGCGGACGGGCTTTTTGGAACAGCAATACTTCAAGTATTAAAGAAAGGGGATTCGATCTTCGTGGTACCTGGCTGCTCAGCACCACTCATTATGCGACAGAAAGGGAAGCACTGGCAAGTCATCACTCAATGCTTTGTTGATGGCCTTATGCTTGGTGAAACGAGAAGACGGGTGGAGCAAGGTACTTGCAAGCTTAACAAACTTCTGGTTGTTTAGAGCAGTGTTGTCTGTCGACGAAATTTCAAGATAAATCCGACTGTTCAGAGAGCTTTTTTTCTTTTATAAAGGCTTTAAATACACCAAATTACACTTATAATTATATTCGTTGTCATTAAAACAAAGGCAATTCATTATTTGCGGTGGACTATCTCGTGTGATCGTCGCTTTCGGGGAAGAATGTATCGATTTCTTCACAAAGCCTTATTTCCAGTGAGAACTACCCAAATCTGTTAGTTTCGTTATTAAATAAGAGAAAAACTAATTATATTCCTTAAGAAATACACATTCCAGATGCAGCGTGACAGGTAGATATTGGGCCTGTTGATTAGTTTTGCCTGCCAGTGTTTAAACCGAACCAATGATTTCTCTGGCTGTTGTTGCCTTCTATGGCATGAAATACACTTATTACTTATTATCGTTTTTAATTTGAATGATTTATAGAACTCTTCCTGCTAATATTAAACCCAGGTTACTGCTTTTGCTCGTTTCTGCTTTGTCTAAATCCCCGTGTATATTATAGCAGTGGCGGCGTCACACGGTTCTAGCCTCCGGGCCTTAGCGAATATGAAAACTATTATTCAGCATCTAGTAAGTTCTTTTGGAGAACGTCTGCCTAAGATTGTCTGATTCATATAAGGGTGCTAGGCTAGCTAATGACGCGGCATTGGTTGATGAGCATTTCTCTCTAAGAACCGGAACATGACCGATATCTCCAAACAAGGGTTTAGAAGTTTGACCATTTATTGGTTAGCATCAGGCTTAGTTCCGAGTGTCGAGTGTGCCCTGCCAGGCCGTGACTCCTTCAAAGTCTGTTGTTTCTGGCCAAATCATTTCTTCATGCATATACTGCAGTTAATATCAGGAAATAGCTTAGAGAGGTGTCGTCTGAACTCCCCCGCTCCTGTGAGTTCGCGACATTCTCCACCAACATTGCGCCTTGATAACGCTGTCAGATTATGCGGCATGGCTTGCATGCAGCGCTGATGTCCATCAATTGTCCATATCATTCTAGCGAACACTTGGCAAATTTACTAGAACTACTCAGCCGACACTAGACTATCCGGCCCAAGCTGCACGTACAGTCGGGACAACCAAAATGTCCAACGGCGGCACTGTTGGACGATCATACACGCCATCCGATGTAACTGGGGGTTATTAGTCAGTCAGCAAAGCTAAACACCCCTACTCACGTAATTAGGGAGTGTTTAATGCGGCCGAAGTTACGTGAGTAGAAGGTGTTAAGCGCGGCCCAAGGGTGACTAAGACCCCGGGTAGGTGCCCAGCAAGCTATCGCAGAAGAACTCGCATGCTCCGAGCTGTTGACCAATCGACATCTTGCCATTTATACTCCGATGTGATTTTAAGCTATTACCAACTTGAGAACATCCTGCCTTATCAGTGTGACAATGCAGCTTCCTTCTTTATCACATCATGAAGACCCGCAATGGCATGCTGTTTCTCGTATAGGAGGTTTCCGTGGCATTCCATCACTGTAAAAACACTCTCTTCAGCCGTGGAAATGTGAACTATATCCGATGGCTCACTTGTGTCTCTAATCTGCACTTTCCAACAATGTCTGACCTCCAAGACAAACAGACTGCGGGGAGCGACTCGAAGGCGTCCTCTGCGCCAAAGGTGTCCGTTGACCCAGTCTTTGAAACATCAGAGAAGCTATTTCTGGGCGGTATCAATTCAGACAGTTCGAATGGCGCAAAAAGAGACTCAGCCAAGAATTCTGAGCCTGAATATGACTTCGAATCCCCAGAGTTCTCCAACATTCCCGAGCTTGTTCGAACGGTCGTTGGCTTCGAAGACGATCCTTCGTTACCCGTAATCACCTTTCGTTCACTACTTCTATCGACTCTATTCTGTGTCATTGGAAGCATTACGTCGCAACTCTCCTAGTAAGATTCAGTCTCCCTGCCTTCCTATGCCTCGGTCGCTGATCAAAGATCAGTTTCCGAACAACTGCGGCCCCCTTTCCCGTTTTCTTCGTCATCTTAGCTTCGGCGCCTCTCGGACGGCTCCTCGCCCGAGTACTTCCAGACTACAAGGTACCACTTGGGAGGTTCTCGTTTTCTCTAAATCCAGGTCCATTTTCTATCAAAGAACATGCTATCATTGGTATTGCTGCCAATGCTGGTAGTCAGGGCCAATGGGCAAGTAGGTTAAGCCAGTATCGCTTCGTTCTTACTCGGAACTGATCTTAGCCAGCGTTCTTACCCACCAACGCGGCGCTTTACTACGGCATCACGATGAACCCGGCAGTCGCACTATTTTTTGGATGGGTAAGCTCGACGGGACTGTTGGGGCACTTCTCGGACAGCTGACTGTAAGAGTAGGGTACTTCACTTCTTGGCTTTTCTTTTGCAGCAATGGGTAGGTGTACATTCATTATAATCATCATCTCTTCACATTTTCTTATATATTCAAGTTCGCAAGATTTTGATTGATGATCCGGAGTTCATCTTTCCTCTTTCCCTACAGCAGGTCACATTGTATAGAAGTATGCAAGGCAAGACCGAGCTCCACAAGAGCGTGTCCAAAAGACAGATGAATGTAAGTCATGATTTAACAGATGATGTTCAGCTTCCTATGCTAACGGTCGAGTCAAGGGGTTTTGGTGGATATTTCTAGGCATGTTCCTCTGGCAATTCTTGCCTGAATATCTTTTCCCCTTCGTTGCTGCCCTTGCGCCTCTTTGCTGGTTTGCGAGCCAGAACCATACTGTCAACTTCTTAGGCGCTGGTCGAGGAGGTATCGGGCTACTCAACATCACACTCAACTGGTCAAACATCACATCTACAGTAGTCACATACCCGTACAGTGTCCAAGTAACCATCTTCGTTGGCTTCGTTATCACGGTATGCCATCTGTCTGCTTTCAAACAGGACCTTGCTCACAGTTGTGAAGACGTGGATTCTCATTCCGGTGGCATACTTCGGGAATCTTTGGGGATCACCAACCTACAATATCATGTCAAATGGTGTCTTTCAAAAAAATGGCTCTGCGTATCCTTTCGACTCTCTAAGTCAGTGTTTTTGTGAACCAAGAAGGATGTGAATTAGTCGTTGACATGGTTGAAGTTTACACGGATTCGAGTGGTATCCAACACGTCAACGAAACAGCATATCATGAGGTTGGCCTTGCTTACACTGGTGCTCAGTACACCTGGGAGATATTTATGGTAGCTTCCGCACTAAACCTATTCTGGCTTTCGTGCTAAGCATCTTTAGTGGTACGCGTCGTACATTTCATCTTTCGTCTGGTGTGGCCTTTTTCTAGGCCCGAAGGTTATGAAGATAGTACGGAAATCAAGGAAGGCCGAGGGCGAGTACCATCAGGACCGCTTAAGGTTGGTTATCATGATTTCTAGCAGCATGTACAGATGGCTGATCTGAACAGTCGCATTATTCAGCAGTATCCAGGTCTTACCATGTGGTCAGTTTCTTCGGACCTTATGCCGCACGGGAGCAAATTTACTAACAGCTTCGTAGGGAATGGGGTATTTTGACTGTTGTGCCCATTGGAATCTTGCTGGTTATTGTGGCGACGAAATCGGTTTGGATGCCCACTTGGACTTATTTTGTTGCTCTCGGTTTTGGCGGCGCTGCCATGCTTCCCATGAGTCTGGTGTATGCCATGTCAGGTTACTCGATCAAAGTCGGCTTCTTTAACGAGCTCATCTACGGATGTAAGTGACTCTCATATATTGTAGTGACGATCAGTGCTTAACACGTCTATACAGATATGATAGATGCTCCAGGTTCGTCTCGGCACCCTCTCGGTCAACTTGCGTACCGCATCATTTCCGGCAACGTTTGGTATGATGCCCGCACGGTTCTGGAGGATCAAAAGGTAGGCCACATCTACTGAAACTGTCACCTTAAGCTGATCAGATAGATCGGACACTATCTTCATTTGCCTCCACGCCAGGTGGTCGGTATTCAAATCATCGCAAACATGATTGCTCTGCCCGTCAACTACGGTGTCATGCGCTGGGTGGTCGCGTCCAAGTTCGACTATGTAAGCGGTCGAATCCCAGATCCTCAGGGACAATGGACAGGCCAAGAGTTCAAGAGCTACAACACCGCTGGCATACAGTACGCCCTAGTCGGTCCCAAGAAGCTCTTTACATCGTCTTTCTTCAAACCTGTTCTATATGGCTTTCCTGCTGGCGCAGTAGCGCCCATTATCGTTTGGATGCTGCACAAGAAGTTCCCCAAGGCCCGCTTCGACCTTTGGAACTCGACAATATTCTTTGCCAGCGCCGCCACTTTTCACGGCAACCTAAGTACTGGGCCTCTTACCACATTCCTTGTTGGAACATTTTTCAACTTCTATCTTTACCGTTACCGACGCGCCTTCTGGAATAAGTGGGCATACATCAGCGGTGCGGCGTTAGACACCGGATTCAATGCCAACTTGCTGTTCATCTTCATCTTTCTTGGAACGACGGGCGCCGTTATGGTAAAGTGGTGGGGAAACAATGCCGACAACATTGAGCGATGCTTCGCCTTGAAAAAGTAGAGCTGCTAGTCACCTGATTTTATTCGGGAACCAGTCAGCACAAATGACAACGACGTTGTTGTGTCTAGGAAGATCGTTCTACGGTGCGTTGTCACTTGTTAGTGGTAGAACTTGCGATGCAACCAAACAATGTCTTGTCATTATAGTCTGGCAACCCATGCTGCTTACGACGAACGGTACTTGTCGATATGCTTTTGAATCCAATTATTGTGCGTCATATTTGCTACTTGTCCCCTGAACCTATTGCGATCAATTAACTTTAAAAAAAAAAAGTAAAAAAAAACCACCCCGCATTATCATTGACAAGCTCAGCATCTTGGCCACGAGGCCAGCGATCCAGAGGCTCGTATACAGTCATCCTTTGATCAGCATTTGGCGTCTTCACTGCTCGCCGCTTCCCAACCATAATGTGCATTAATGATGTCGAATGTGCGCAATTGATGTATCTTGCCGTCTTGTTGATGACTTGCTCAATCACGACATTGGCAACGGCGGGTGTCTTCTCAAGCAGCAAGCTTGGACTGGGAAACAGTTCAGCGTTCCGGCCTTGGTGTCCGAAGACCGAACTAATAACCAGCCCCCGCCTCCCCCGACACCGGGCCCGCGATTACCCCAAATCACGGCAGGCGGTGAAGCAAAATCCCCACCATTGGCCTTTGCGGCAGAAACCGACGAGGGACCCGTTCCGTACCAACACTGCGCAAGATCCGAACCTAGCGCCGACCCGACTCATTCTTTCTTCCTCAAAAGGTTTGGGTCTCGTTGCCCTCGTCCAAACTTTCCTCCCAAGCCTCACCCGCCGACCCCGGCTTCCCGTGCGTTTGAACAACTCGGCCCACCGACATCCCTCTCAATTGGTCCGTCCTTTTGTTTCACTGGGGAAGAGCTGTCGCTGTTCGTCAGTTCTCGAACCCTCACGCCGGGAAGAAAAAGATGCCCCAAATTGTCAGGACGGCGTCGCGCCTAGCCCACGCTCGCGTCGGCCTGCACACCACCGTCAATCTCCGGAGATGGCAGCCCGTCGTCGCCCTCGCCCTGCGTCTTAACGCCCCGCCGGCCGCCGCCCCCCAACGAAGGCTCTACGCCTCGGGCCTCCCCCCTTCATTCCCTCCCCCTCCGCCGCCGAGCTCCTCCGCCTCGAAAGAAGAGATCGATCAAGCTTCCCCGACAATCGAATCGTCCCTCCCAAGCTCAGATGCTGCGACCTCAAGCTCGACATCGTCATCCTACAATGAAACCGCCACCGCCACATCTTCCGACCCCGACTCTTCCAGACCAAAGCCTGAGGACCCTCATCCCGAGACGGCCACCAAGATCTACACCGCCCTCCCGCCCGCCCTCTCCGAGAAGCTGTCCCACCTCATGGACACCCTTCAGACCCGCCTCATGACCGCCTCGACGACCCTGAACACCCTCACGGGCTACGCCCCGATCGAGGCCATCAAGGAACAAAACACCCTCCTCGAGAACCGCCTCGCTGAAGCTCAGTCCCTCGTCCGCACCGCTCGCGCCACCTACAAGACCACCAACGCCAAGCGCGCCACCACCCAGCGCGAGGTCACCACCCTCCTCGCCCGCAAGGAGATGTGGTCCCCGACCGACCTCGAGCGCTTCACCCAGCTCTATCGCCAGGACCACTCACTTGAGCAGGAGGTCGCCGCTGCCGCCGAGGCCCTCACCGATGCCGAGCACGCTGAGCAGGCCTTGGGTCAGCAGCTAAACGCGGGAATTCTCAAGCGCTACCACGAGGAGCAGATCTGGTCGGATCGCATTCGCCGTGCGTCAACATGGGGCACCTGGGGCCTGATGGGCGTAAATGTCCTGCTGTTCATCGTGCTGCAGTTCGTCGCCGAGCCGTGGAAGCGGAGGCGGCTTGTGCTCGGCGTGGTCGAGGAGGAGAAGGCCGTCCTCGAGGGCGTGACAGCCGAGCTGGCGGGCTTGAAGGCGGCCTTGGCGCAGAGGGAGGCGACGGATGCCGCTGCCGATGCCGCTGCCAAGGCTACGGGAGTGGCACCGGCGGCGACGGTTGTAGTGACAGCTGCTGGAGAGGATGCCCTGAGCGCCAAGCTCGAGGAGCCGGCCGTCAAGCACGAGATGGAGCGGGAGGTCGCCAGCGCTCTTGAAGTCCTGGATCAAGAGGTTCCCACGCCCAAGTCGTGGCGCGAGCTCATCACCGATCCTGCACTCCCCGCGCTGTTGAAGGCGAGATTGGTCGATCTCTATAGCGAGCGCCGCATCGACTTGCGCATGCGGGACGCCTCGATCCTTGCCCTCGAGGGCGCTGCAGCTGGAGCCACCTTGGCAGGAGGTATTGCTTTGCTGCTTTTACGGAGAACATAAGTTACACCACTCCCCCGTGGTTGTATATACAACTGTACAATACGATACCATATAGATCATGAGGACAACCTATGTATTACTGTCACAATCCAGACTTCCAGATTTGCAGATTTCCGGCCACAACGTGTCAGAAAATATATAAACAACTGAAGGTGTCCTCTATTAAAAACGCTGCGGCAGCGTCTGGGAGAGACCCTACCAGGTTTAACTCTAGTCGCTATCCGCTGACTTGCTTTTCCAACGTCCACTGATGAACGGCCGGGGGCAACGCTGCTTTTACTTCGTATACTGTGCGCGCGCACCAATTCCTTGTCCCCCTGAGGCTCACCATCACAGCCTGGCGATGCGTAGCGTCTCTGTATAACAGAGGCCGTCCTCGCTAGGGCCTGGCGCGCGCGGTTTGCGCTCTCGCCAGTGCTTGTTCCGCTATTCACCACCTTGGTATTCTCTCTTTCTCTCCAAGTCGGCGGCATAGTTCAAGTGAACTACTCACGTCAGCTGCTGCTCTCAGGGCTTCCCGAAACAATTTGATATTCTTCTTCGCCGTCGCCATTTTCCTATTCAAAGTCGGCAGTGTAAGAGAAGCCACGGAACTCCTCTTGCATAGCTTGTGAGAGAACTGCGCTTTGTTAGCAAAGGTGACCTTCAGTATCATGATGCATATCCACATACCGGATTGGACAGGAGTCAAGACAGGCGTGACACTCGTAAACTCAGAGTCGAAGTTGCTGGTATCAGTGGCGCTCTTGATCTGAGGCAGGAAGGGCGGTGCGACACGCTTGTGGTAGATGTCATCCCAGTTGATGTTCCTGAAGAACGGCTGGTTCATGATTTCTTGCGCATCCGTGGGACCACTGCCGAGACGCTGATCGGGCTCCCTAGTAAGAAGCTTCTGTAAGATCGACACGGAGTCTCTAGGCATGTGAATGGGGTACAGAGGCTCGTCAGCTAGAATGGCGTCGTAAATTTCGTCCTCGTCCTCACCGCGGAAAGGAGACTGCTGGAGGAGCATCTGATAAATCAAGACGCCAAACGCCCACCAGTCAACGGCGCGGCCATACTTTTTGTCGAGAAGAATCTGGACAACGGTTAGCAAAATGCCACAAGGTGACGCAGGGAGACATACCTCTGGTGCCATGAACTCGGGCGTACCACAGAAGGTGCTAGTGCTGGAGCCGAACCACATGTCCTCCTTGCAAAGACCGTAGTCGGCAATCTTGATGTGTCCATCGAGCGTCAACAAAATGTTGTCAAGCTTCAAATCACGGTAGATGACGCCATTTTCATGGAAATACTTGAGCGCCAAGCAGACCTCAGCAGCATAGAATCTAGAACGAATTAGCACAGCTTACTGTTGAGTGGATAGGGGTTGCGCGTACTGAGCTCGCTTGGTACCGAATTGGCCCCTCTGAATGTGAAGCATGAGATCACCACCGCTGATGTACTCCATGACAAAGTAGACACGCGTCTCCGTCTGAAAACATGCGTGGAGGTTGGTCAAAAAGGGATGTCTCTCTCGGTTAGCAATTAGGAACACTCTCTTCTCGGACCGAATGCTCTCCACTTCATCGTTCTCGATAATGAATTCCTTCTTCAACACCTTAATGGCGTAAAGCCTCTTGGATCGCTTCGTTTCTGCAAGCATGACTTTTCCGAAGTTGCCCTTACCCAGCACAGCTAGGAAGTTGAAGTGGTCCAGACCAATACGCTGGCCAGTACCTGGGTCCGTAGCAGATGGCAAAGGCTTACGACCGGCACTGGGAACGCCTCCAGATGACGAAATGGGCGAGATTTGAGGAGGCTCCTGCAACTTAGGCGAGGAGACGGGCTGTTGCTGATACATTTGCTGTTGAGGTGGCTGCTGGTACTGTTGAGGCGGAGGTTGTTGCTGCTGCTGTTGCTGAACAGGACGTTGTTGTTGCTGTTGTACGGGAGATTGATGAGCGTACGAAGCAGCTTGCTGGTTGACTGCCGCGTAATCTGCAGGGTTGTACTTGCGCCCGCCGTAAGGATCCTCTTGCTCGGCCTGAGGAGGGTAGCCGGGATGTCCACCATACTGCCCGTAATCCTGCGAATGGGACTTTGGCTGCGAAGCGATAGTTCCGCTCATCGCGGCCGTTGCTGCCGCCGCCGCAGCTGTGCTGGAAGCGGTACGATCAGGGTGCGACGGCCGCTGGCCCGGCGGCGACTGCTGCTGGTACATGAGCTTGGCTGCCTCGGTCGCTTCCGGCGAGCCTCCAGCATAATGCGCCTGCCCACCACTGTGGGGAGGAGAGCCCAGAGTGCTTGTCGGGCTGGTTGGCTTCCTCAACGTGCGTTCGCTCAGAGAGGACGAAGTCTTGTTTTTGGTGATCATCCTAGTAGTCTTGATACCTTCCAAGATTTGATTCGCCACTGCCATAGACATGCCGCAGAAGTCAGGAACGAGGTGAACACAAGCCGCGTGCGCCGTGAGACCACATTCTATGCGAGATTAGATTTGCCATTGAAGCCAATTTTTGGGGCAACACTTACCTGCACACTTTCTGCAGTTCTTCTTGCCAAATGGCAAGATGTAACCGCAATGGCAGCACCAGTTGGCTGTCATGTTAGAGAAGGCCTGGAATCTATGCGGAATACGGTGGTTGATCTTCTCCTCATCCGGATCCGTCTCAGCGTTGCTCTTGCTAATACATTTGGTGACCACACTCGCGTAACATTTGGTGTGGCAGGTGTACTTGCAATCCTCGCACTGCATGCCGGTTGAGTATTTGAGGAAATCCCCACAAAGAGCGCAGCGCATGATGTTGTAGAACTGCTGCTGGACGAACTTATGGCCGTACATCTCGTGCACCTCTTCCTTACGCTGACGAACGGCACCAACACGACCAAGTCCCTGAAGATTGACAGGGCGCCGGGCATTGTTCTGCTTGAGGAATCCCAAGGAAAGCTGGATCTGGCCGGCAGGCTCGAGATTGAACCAGCCGTCGATGGGTTGCTGAGCGATTGGGGGATTCGGCATGCCACCGGGCGCCTGCTGGCCTTGCGCACCCGGCTGAGCAAGACCGGGTGATGAAGGAGGACCACCAAAAGACTGTTGCTGCTGAGGGGGGTTCAGGGGAAATTGCGACGGCGGAGCACCCATTCTGTCAGCCGACACCCATCCAGAGCTGTTGATCTCGGCCTCGATCCTCTTCCTTCTCATCTCCTCGACGATATCAGAAATGCGCACCCAAAGCATGGCGATAGGAATAGCATGCTCGCCGGGTTTGTCGTATACTGTGAGCTCGATCTCGTTGGCTTTGTCCACGTCGATTGTGTGGTACTCGGCTTCCCACTTGTCGGTCCTAGTAACTCTTGTGCGGGCAACCACATTGTCTTCGACCTTGACAGCGATAAAGGTCTCGGGACCTCGGCTGAAGCGACTCATGGAAGCGTGGTCAACGTCCTTGATTTGTCCAACCCGGATGGAGAGCTGGCCAGTCAGAGGCTTGCGCAAGTTTGGCATGTTGATCGAATCATCTATGGCGCCCAGTTAGCAACAGCACGGCGAGTGATGGCAGTCCAGGGGTGCAGACTTACCGTCTTGGGCATCAGACGTATCCATGTCGATGTGCAATTCCTCGTAGCGCTTCATAGCCTGCTTCAGCAGAAGGATTTTCTGCTTCGACTCGACTCTCCTAGCAGCGGCATCGGCCTTGCTCTTGCGGTCTCCTTCCATACCGTATAGCTGGACCATCTTTTCAATTCCCTTGAGGTACTGTTCCTCAACGTTGAGCTTGAACTGAATTTGCGACAGCATGAGCTGAATACGAGGGCCGAGGTGGGGGGTATCATATTTGATCAAGTCTAGACGGCACGGTGAGTAAATCGAGAAGGGACATAGGGGTCTTGGGGGCAATGCGCACCGAGCTTGGTAAAGTTGGGGCGCGATTTGGGGACGGACGAAGGGCCAGGGTTGGCGTATGGATGACGGGGAGGCATCAGGTCGGCATGGCCGCCAATCTGGCTGTACTGAACATTGCCGCCAGAAGTCGCGCTCCCAGCGCCGTAGCCACCGCGCTGTTCCCAGCCAGAATCCTTAGGAGGGGGCGGAGGAACGTCGTCCATATCGCCGCTAAGGGGCCTGCTATCGCCGGTTGGGGAACCGATGGACATGTTGTCCATACCACGACGCAACTGAGCCTCACGAAGCTTTTCCTCGAAGAACTGCAGATTCCGGCGGCCATCGCGCATCTGAGAGTCGAGTCGTGATCGAACAGCCTCATTGTTGGTTTGCGCCCGCATGGCATTGGCCGCGTTGAGAAGAGCCTTTTCGCGCTCAATCTTCTTGAGGATGTTCTGGATAGCGTCCTCGTCGTTCATGGTGATGGTGGGGGTGCGCGACTCCACGCGCAGGGGCTATATGTTTGTGATATGTTGTGTTCTGGCTGGTAATAGAATATGCTCTAAAGCTGCGGGAAGAGGGGAGCGTGGATGTGAAGGTATGCGTGATGTCTCGGTCTGCTGCAGTCACCTCAAGATGGCGGGGAAGACGAGCAAGTTGCGGGTGCAAGGTATAGAATACGATAGGACGCAAGTAGAGAAAATGATGTCTGTGATGAGTATGGTAGGTATGCTATGGGTACCGGAGGTTCGGCGTCGGAGGGGCCTCGGGGTAGGTTGGCACAACGGTAGGGATCGGTCTGTCGGAGACTGTCACGACAGAAGATCGGTGGGTGCGGCCTGCCCTCGAGGAAGTGGTGTTGTTTTTTCGCGAGTTGGGCTGGTTGGTAAAAGATGTCGTCAGTGGGTTTTGGAGCAGGACACAAGACGGGGGGGGGGGGGGGGGGGGTTGTCGGGAGGGGTCGCTTTCTCTCGCACAGTTGACAGTGCCTGTGCGTTCTAGTAGAGGTGGGCGGGCAAGAGGAGGGGAGGAAGAGGAGGGAGGAGAGGGTGGACGCTAATTAGATAAACGGTGGGCAACGACGAAGAGATGAGAAGAAGGTACTTTGCGCGACGTACCGTTTGCGCCGTCTCAACCATGCAAGATACAGGGAAGAAAGGTACTCTTAACCCATCTCTCTCCCATCTCTCTTCAACCTCCAGTTCTGGAGACAGGACTACTAGGTACCTAGGTAGGTAAGGTTCACTACCCACGAAGTACCTACCTTACCCGGGAGGAACAAGGGGTACGTACCTATTCTGTAGGGGGGGAGGAACCTGAGATGGAGGGGTGTTACGAATGCGCTGGGACGGACGAAGCAAGTCTGTAACTCAATGTGAAGATGGCAGGCGAGCTAAAATGGATGATTCAGACAGCTGATTACTTAGATATAATGCCCGACTCCCGCATGGGCTTGTTCATTGCTTCCAGTCACGTACCCCCTCGATCCTGCCTTTCTGATGTGTATTTGGCTGGTTAACGGGGCACATTGGTGCCCCATTTGCTTCCCAGCATCTTCATCTACTCTGGTGCCCAACAACAACTGCGGATGCGTTGATCCATATCTGAGGTACTGTACACTACCTGCCTGTAGGTATGCCCGGCAGGGCCCCGAGGTACCTACCTGATGCACTTCCCTCACCAACTTGTTTGGTGTGCAGTTTGCGGACACTACGTCCGGTCCTTGCCTCTCTATCTCCCAATTGCGCCAGCTGCTCAAGGATGGCTCGTGTTTGACGTCGTACCCTGGGCGGATACAGGACGCAATGACAAGGCAAGGCAGATGGGGCACATACCTACGGTAGATGTCTGTACACTACCGGTACTAGTACGTAGTGTAGTAGTAGGGCAGCAAAGCTCGACTCGACTCAGCTCGCCCGTTTCTTATTGTTGACCGTTCATGGTTCTCTCTCTGCCCGACCTGAAATTTCGGGCTGCCAGCCAGTGGTTGGATGTCAACCAAGCAAGCCAAACAGCTGTGACGACGGCACCCTGCAGATGCTTTTGGGACAAGACCGCACACGAAAGGGTGGGATCGGACGAGAGAAAGAAAGGGAGAGAGGGGGGGGAGGGGGGAAGAGAGAGAGAGAGAGAGAGAGAGAGAGAGAGAGAGAGAGAGAGAGAGAGAGAGAGAGAGAGAGAGAGAGAAGTCCTGGACCGGACGTGGGGCTTCTAGGACTTTTGGTTGTTTCACCGCGGTGAAGATTCATTCCTGTTCTGCGCCAATCACTGTTCATCTCGCTGGACACTCTACACTACGCATTTCTTGTCACAATGCTATCCAGGACTTCCTCGCTTTCCAACCTGACTCCCTAGGTCCTGGGCAGAAGGATTTTGAATTCCACTCTGTCGCCTGTCTCCGATCCTCACTCACCCTCGTTGCCTAGTCGCCCGCCCACTCACCCACACCTCTCTCTCTCTCTCACACACAAACACACACACACACACACATACACACACAGCCTTACACACAACCTTACACCAACAACTCCCCCATCCCGGAGAGAAGACGGCGACTTTCAAGGTACTTCGTTACGGCTAGGCCAAAAAATTATTACATAAGACTTTTCCGTACTGCAATCCACTTTCTACTTACCTATCCCAGTATACAGTAAGAGAGAAGACAGTATATTTTGACGCAATGCTTAAAGGGCGAAACCCTTGAGGAGAAAACGCCACCCTAACACAGTATGCAGAGGTACCCCTTCGGGTTCTTGACAAGCGGGAGTAGAAGGCTCTCAATTGGTTGCCCTGCCATGCGCGAGGAAGAGATCTCCGGCAGACGGCGACGGACACAGCCCAGCCGCCAGGCCGCCCTTCTCCAAGTCCCTCCTGCTTATCGGGAAGTTTTGCCGGTCCAGTTTTCCCACACGGCCAATCCTGGGACTGGCCGGCTCGCGGCTGCATCGTCATCGCCCGATACCATCCCTTTAACCACCCACACTACCCGCTACTTTTCAGTGTAGGTAGGTAGTGTCAGTCCTGAGCGTACGGGTACATGCAGTACATGTATACCTGGGTCTTCAGTATCCCGTCTAGCTCAGTGCTGGTTTCTTTTGTTAGGTAGGTATTGCAAATACTGAGTAGGCCCGTTACAACCACCACCCAGCAGCTCAGCCGCCTGTCGGCCAACCGTATCTTAGGGCCATTTCTCCATTCGCAGGCACATGCCAACGTATGATTCCAGACAACATGAACGCACCAGAGCTCCTCGGCCTACCATCACGGGAAGCCACCCCGACACCACAGCTTTGAATTACCATTTCATGGTTGGGTTCTCACTTGACGACACCTCTGCCGACTGGTCTCACCACACACCCCCCGCCACCAGCTGTCCGCCGGCCTTTCCGCAGATAGCTCGTGCTTCTCTCCATGGCGCCATACGGCCGGTAACTACGGCACCCTCTTGCGGTCACGCCTGTCACAAACCCCAAGATTTCCAGATTTCACCATTGTCCTGGGGCAGGCCTTGCTGTCTGCATCCCACCCCGAACGCGAAAGCAAGGGGACTCAATACAAAATCCGTGCTTCAATTACGGAGCGGGAGTAGATGGACGCTATCGTTCGGAACCCGTCATCCGCCATGCCCAACTTGTCCGTCCTGGCCCAATGCGAACTCGATCGATCAACACGCCAACTGTAACGTCCACTTGAAACGAACTTAGTCACTCCTCCCACCAACGGAAAGTCTGCCTCTGCCACTCGGGTTTGAATCACAAATGCAAAGCCGAAAGGCTGGTCACGTTTGGCCCTGCATGCCCATCGAAAACCCACCCACTGTCCGTCTCTTCACTGAAAAGAGTCCTAGAAAAAAAACATCAACGTCGCGGAACCGTTTCGACCCACCCTCGCTCCGTGGCCGCCTTCCAGGGCGTTCCCTCCAACCCCGCGGACCCGCCCTACATACGGTAGGTAGTCTGCGGAAAAGACTCCGGCGGATCACCTCTCAATCCCCGCAGACCCGGCAGGGGCCAAGACTTGCTTTCTTCAGTACTGATAGAGAGAGTTACGGCCCATGCCGCTGTCCCGTCTATAAGGAAATCAGATTGACCGCTCGACACCTTTTTCTATTCTTTTTCTTTTCAATATCATTATCATTGTTCTTTTTCTTCGTCGTCACCATCTTCCTTTTTTCTCTTTTGAGTGTCAAACTTGGCATCCCCCACGATTCCTGTCCCTCTTTGTCCTCTAGTTATGATGAAGCCAATCGCGAGCTGCTCGGACCGTAATCGCATAAAGGCCCTATTTCCGACCCCAGGATTTTCAGAATAGTCCGTGTGTTAGGATCGACGTTTCTCTGTCTGGTCTGATGTGAGTCACCAGAGCACCTTGCCGCAACGAGGCGTGTGTGCCGGCGAGGTCATGCCGGCGAAGCGGCACTTTCTACTAACATGTCACTCTTCGGACGGACGGACGGACGGACAAGCCACCATACATAATTGGTGGGTGTAAATAAGTGGTGATGCCGACACTTGCAGTCATTTGTCCCTTTATTCTGTTGGGTGGTTTCTATGAAACGCCACTCTGACAAACATGCCCTTTACAGCCGAGCCAGTGGATATTCAGGTGAACTTGCTTACAGGTACGCGCAAAGAATGTTGTTGGGAGTAGGGATGTCGCGTGTCCTAGGTAGACAAAGAAGACAGCAATCCAAATCTTCCCATGGTGTACACAACTGTGTTAAACCAAGCCAGCCTGAGATCCTGCCCTGACGACAGGTATCATGGACAGCATCACATCCTTTAGCTCCAATATTTGGTCCATGTCTTTAATACATAACATCCGAAGCCTGTGAACTGCAGTTAACGTGCTTTTGCGGTGGGCGCAAAGTCATGTCGGAGTAGATATCAATTGGGATAGAACGTACTAGAGGACTATCCTTGATTGCAAGCCATCATATCATCCTCTTCTGACTAAGTCCCCTCGCATCTTGCTCAGTTGTTCCATGCATGGAATGCGTGCAAAAGCAATGGATGGCACACAGCCCGGTTCATCTGAGAGAAATCTGAAAATCTAGAACTTTGATCATTTGCCTGGCTAAGCCGCTGAATCCTCTATTCTATGTGGCTCTGCCGTTCGATTATATGCTTTCGGACTAACTTTGCGCGCGACTCAGACTTGAAGCCCTAGTAAATGCTTGTATACTCTTGACGATTCTCATCTTTCCTACCGACAATAAAGGAAGTGTACCACTGCACTAATATATACCATACTCCCCACATAAATATGACACCCACTCCAGCCTGGGCGTGTAACCGACTGCATGATATATTCAGCTGTAGGCCATATTTGGAGGTGAACAACAAGAAGTTACGATATCGTGGAAGACACATTACGTTGGTAGCATTGGCCTAGGGTCTGGAAGAAGATTTCTTCTTGCTGGATGACACTGAAGAACGGCCAGATCCAGAGTCAATTTACCAAAAACAATGTGCAGAGAAGTCATCTTTGGAGGCAAGACGCCCGACACCTGATCGTGTCGCTTTTATTGAACGCCGTCTAATAACTACACGATTACCGTCCAGTTTCGCCATTACACTCCCTCTTTCACATTCTTTGACTTGTTCGAAGCACTCCCAGAAAGGAGAACACCACTTATTCGGTGTAGTCCTTCTGCAGCAGCTTGGCAATGGTGTTGAGCTGGATGTTGCTGGTGCCCTCATAGATTGCACCGATCTTGCTGTCGCGCCAGAACTTCTCGGCCGGGCCATCGCGGACGAAGCCCATGCCGCCCATCCACTCGATGGCGAGGCCGCTCACGCGACCAGCGACCTGGCTGGCGTACAGTTTGGCCATGGCGGCATCCATGACGAAGTTATCGCCGGCCTCCTTCTTGCGCGCCGCATTGTAAACGAGCGCACGCGCAGCGGCGATCTCCGTGTACGACTGCGCGATCTGGTGCTGCATGCCCTGAAACTCGCCAACGAGCTGGCCGAACTGCTTGCGGTCGTTCCAGACGTACCTGGTAGCTGTTAGTATGAGGAGCCCAGAGTGAGTAGCAATAGGGGGCAAGCCTACTTGACGGCGTTCTCCCATGAGCCCAGGGCAAGGCCAGTCATCTGAGCAGCAATACCAATACGGCCCTCGTTTAGGAGACCGATGGCGTACTTGTAGCCCGAACCCTCCTCTCCGAGAAGGTTGTCCCTAGGGATCTCGACGTCGTCAAAGTTGATGACGCATGTGCTGCTGGCCTTGATGCCAAGCTTCTTCTCCTTTTTGGCGATGGAGAAGCCCTTGGTGTTCTTCTCGACGATGAAGGCGGTGATGCCCTTGTACCCCTTGGCGGGGTCAAGGTTCGCGAAAACGATGAAGAAGTCGGCCTCCTTGGAGTTGGTGATCCACATTTTGGAGCCGTTGATTTTGTAACCGTTCTCTGTCTTGGTCGCCTTGGTAGCCAAGGCGAAGGCGTCGGAGCCGCTGACTGGCTCGCTCAGACAGAAGCTACCAACGGTGTTGGTAGCGAGCTTGGGCAAGAAGCGCTGCTTCAGCTGGGAGCTGCCCCATTTGATGATGGCGGTGTTGACAAGGGTGTTGTGGACATCGACGAGGACGCTGACACTGGGATCGACGCGGGCGAGCTCCTCAATGCCAATAATGGCGCTCGTGAAGTTCATGCCGGCGCCGCCGTACTCCTCGGGGATCTCGACACCCATGAGCCCCTGCTCAAAGAGCTGCTCAACGATCGTCGGGTCCATGTCCTCTGCCTCATCCATCTCACGAACCTTGGGCGCGATCACGTCGTTGGCGAACTTGTTCACAGTCTCCTGCATGGCGGCCTCGACCTCGGAAAGATGGGTGATGGGCGTGGGGGGGATGTCGGTGATGTCAAGGTGGTCGGCATTGCGGCGGCGCTGGGTGGTCGAGAGAGGTCTGGCGGTTCTGTAGGGCACAAATTAGGATTGCAAAGATTCATAGATGTCGACCCTTGGGAGGGAATAGGACGGGTTGGCAGCTTACTGCTGGAGTGGCAAGAAGGTTCTGGTCGGCGTGCATGTCCTCGCTCTAGCGAGAGCAGCAACACCACGGCTTCCTCTCATGGCGGGGCGAATAGCCCGAGCAAAAGACGACATGGTGCAATACGTCAAGTGTGTATAACCTCGAGGTCACTCGAACGATTCGGAAACAGCAAGGAAGGAAAGCAGCAAAAGACGCCGGAGGTGGGTGGTTGCAGATCGTCGGAAGTGCTCAAGTACTTATGGACTCAGTCTGTCTGGTCGACCGTGCGATGCCAACAAGTAGGTAACGCCCGGACGGATTTGGTCAATTGGCGATGGACGGCTTCGATAGTAAGATTGTTTCCAGGGAGGGTCTCGGAAGAAAACAGGAAAGTAGTCAGAGATGTGGTGCACCCTAGACCGTGAACCTCAAAGCCCGTTCGAAGCCACAGTACCTGGCGGCTGGCGAACAGACAGCGCCCGCTTCAGCCGAGGATATCCATCCCGCAGTAGGGGGGCAACCGCCCCCAGCCCGCCCCCAGCTTTGCTATCCCCCCGTAGGTATCTGGGGGGAAGCCCGGCGGCGTAGCACCAAGGGTGAACCAGGGTCTCGGTCGCTTACGTCAGGATCCTCCCGAAAGGGAGGCATGTGATACCAACTGACAGACCAAAAAGGCCGATTCCATCGGTTCAAGGGGCGGTGCCAAGGTGGCCCGAGTGAGTGGGCCCGGGGACGGAGGACCGGTGCCTGAGGTCCGCAACTCGAAGGAAAAGGAAGCATCACGTGCATCAGCCTTAGCTAAGCAATCCAAAAAATAATCCACCAGGTGGTGAAGGTAGTCACATTGCGACGAGAGCTCTAGAGGCTGTGACGAAAGCAATTGGAAGCCGTTGCCCGACATGGCCAGCACGTTGTTCAGATCACTCTTTGCTCCGGCGATGAGGCCAGCGACGTTTCCGCGCGCTGCATCCCTCCTCACGCCAACCGTGGCCCCCTTGATCCGCCCCTTTTCATCTACTCCCATTCAGAATGCCACTATCATGCAGGTCCTGAGAGTTCGTCTCCCTCCTTCTCAGCCCGTTAACCCCCATACTTGAAGCATATACTGAGAGTCACAATCACAGGGATGTCATAAGAAGGGCAAGCGCGCTCGTCACGCTGTCTCCCCCGCCCTGTCCGAGATCCAGGCTCCCGCCCTCAAGGGCGTCTGCCTTAAGGTTGGTATCATCCGCCCAAAGAAGCCCAACTCCGGCCAGCGCAAGACCGCTCGTGTGCGCCTCTCCAACGGCCGTCACGTCACTGCCTATATTCCCGGCGAAGGCCACAATATCCAGCAGCACAGCGTTGTCCTCGTTCGTGGCGGTCGCAGTCAGGATTGTCCCGGTGTACGATACCACCTCGTCCGTGGCGCTCTCGATCTCGGCGGTGTGGCGAACCGTGCCAGTTCTCGCTCAAAGTACGGCACGATGAAGCCCAAGAAGGCCACAGTGAGCTAAAGAAACGGGGTTTTCAACGCGACAGAGGAAGATACAAGTGGGAGAGTGGGATGTCAAAAAGAGTTAAGGGAGTACGGTTGAAGCTGCGCCCCTACAAATGTCCGATTGGAACGGGGCACTTCTACCAAGTGTAAAGTCGTGTACTATTATCGCATTACAGATTATCACAATATCAAGAGCCACTGAAAGCCGGATAAACTCCAGACAGCACTCTCCATTTGCTAATATCTACAGAGCAAAAAAAGTGTCCAGAACCATTGACGCCGCCCCACGTTTAGTACCCGATCTGCCCAATTCCCTTCATTGGTGCAGGCCAACTTGATTGACGGCCAAAACCAAGGCCCCTTTTGAAACTTGTTGATACATACTACATACGCTCACTGTACCGTACCGCTGTATGAGCTTAATCCTGCTGGTTCTCGTAGCCCTCAGGCTTTTCCATACCGTTGACCTCAAAGAAGCGGCTCGTGCCTGATTGTGTTAGTTTTCCGTCCCAGGGCCTCGTTTTCAGGGGCTAAGCTTACAAGAGTAGCCCTTCCAGTCAAAGTTGTCCTTGGGGTTGCAGTGGCAACGTCTGTCAAGACGGACCTTCTCGCCAGTGGGACAGTGAGTGAAGGGAACATGGTAATAAGCGATGTCGTTAAAGAAGTGGATCTGGTCTTTGGGCAACATGAGACTGGCGGCGATCGAGTGGACGGGAGCGTCACCCCATCGTTCGTAGAAGAAACCGCCGTCCTGGTCAAGGGATTCGAAGTAGTCGATGTACGCCTGGGATCGGAGCCAGTTGAGGTCACCAACTTCGAAGTTGGACCACTATGAAGGTCAGCGTGTGGCTTACATGATATGGTGCAAGCTAACTTACGAAATGGCAGTGGTTATAGGTGTCGCCTCCATCATCACTCAGGAAGCCCATGGAGTTGCCCTGGGCAATGTGCTCAGGGTGGTTCTTGATGAACTTCTTGGTGCTGTCCCAAAGAGTAGGGATGGTCTCGACGTACTCGTACAAGCTCAGGACGAAGCTGTACTTCTTGTTATTCTCCTTCATGAAGCGGAAGGGATCGTAGTGAATATCGCAGAAGAGCTCGATAGAGGGCTCGACACGCCAGTAGTAGTCATAGTTCATCATGAGGGGCTGTCGGAAGAAAAAGCCAGATTCAAAGCGACACATGTGGCGGTAGCTCACAGAGTCGCCGTAGATGATCTTGCGCTGGGCCATGTCCTCGCGGACCTTGCGAGCCTTCTCCTGGTCGATCCACTCGGGGAAGGACCAGTGCTCCTTGGGGATTTCACCGTAATGAGTCTTACCGGAGACGAGAGAGGTGGTGACTTTCTTGAATGTGGCATCGAACGGCTTGTCGTTGAGGAAGACCCAGTCGTAGTTGTAGCGGCGGTTGAAACGGTCCTCGACCTGACGGATGGAGCGGGCAATATCCCAGATGTCGGAGTTTCGGGCGAGGGTGACGAAAGTGGCATTTATGCGTGGGCCGGGTGCGATACCGGATAATTCGTCCCAGCCAGGCTCGTTCGGAGTCATGGCCATGGGCCATTCCTTTGGATCGTATGTCTCGCCAACCTTGGGCCGGTTCGCATCGGATTGAGCAGGCTGTTTGGGTTTTTCTACAGGATTTTGGCCACTCTGCTGCTGACCGTTGGCGGGAGCGCCTGGCTTGCTGAAAGTGCCATCCTGAAGTCTTGCGCCCTCGTAGCTGGAGTGGGAGATGAAGTAGAAGACGGCGAGGCCCTGCGCGAGAACAGGTCTAAGTAAGCATATGATTGAAAGACACAACTAAGCAGTGCAAAGAACGAATGCCATGGGGTTACGAAGAAACGGCGTCGTTCAGGTTCCCGATCTAGCTGCAATGGCACAGGTTTTGACGGCCGAGGGATTCCACTTACGAAGAAGGCGAATAGAATGTATCGAACGTATCGTGCAGATCCCGTCGCCATCTTGACCAATATAATCAGGCCCGATGGAAGCCTGAGTCGGAGAATGGAAGGAAGAGAAAGGGATCGAAGTTAGAAGTGGGAAAATATCTTGCTCTTCCCCCAGGATGAACAAGGGCGAGGAGGACGAGAAGGAAAAAGATGAGAGGGACGCAGGAGTTAATACAAAAAGATGGCTTCAAGGGATACATGTCAAGAGGAGCTGGAGGAGCAGCTGGGGCGCTAGCGACAACTGGTTCCGGGGGACCTGGCGGGCTTTCACAGGGGTACGAATGCAGCGTACGCGGTGCACTGAAAAGCCGCATGTAAGGTAGCCAGGTATTTGGGTGCCACCCACCTACACTGCTTGGTGAGGTACCTGAGGTAGGATAAAGGGGGTGGGGTGGACAGCTGGCCTGAACCCAGAAGCTTGGCAACTCAAAAAAGGCGACAGGTACCTTTACTCGGTGATTTCTATCTGGAGAGTACTTTCATCCAGATAGTTGCTGATGTCCGCAAATCGCTGCTCGGGTTACATGAATCTATGGATTGAGTTTGAACTCATGCCTGCTCGAATAGAGGACTTTCAGTATTACCTACTTGGAGACCCGGAGCTGGGCATAAGTCATGTCGATCCCTAGGTAGGTATTTACAGCAAAAAGACACACCCAAGAAACAGTCCGCTAACGGGCACCAGTTGATAACTCAGTTAGGTACCTAAGGTAAGTACCATCCTCCACGTACCTCCTGCTGCTGTCATATGTGGCTGCCGCGTATCCGTTCCCAACTCTCGGGCAGGCGGTCCCTAATTCCCCATTCTTGAACAGGGAGAGGACAGGGAGCGTGGCCACTGTGAAAATCCGCTAGCATTGCGTACCATCAGCCTCAGCCCTGAGGCCAACCCAAACAGGAGACTCACTGTTCTTGGTTTCAGCATAATTCAGCCCCTTGTGCATTCTTTATGACATATACACGTGCAGGTACACCCAGTCGGTAGCCCCTGACAGATCTAGCGGCCTCGTGTAGATTGGCCGGATAGGTACTTTGCGATGCGTTTGTCTGTAAAGCATAGGTACCGGGGGCTAAGAAGCGCCGGTCCTTTCGACTGGCAGTTGCGTCTTGGCATTCGTCTTGCGGCGAGCCGACGGGACACCTTTCGACAATGTCAGATTAGCCTTTTTTTTCCCTTTTACATTACGGAGTACATTGCTATCTATGCACCTCAGTAGGTTCGTGCAATTCACGTGCCTCTTGCTTCCCGCTCGTATCCCGACCGAGCCACGCAGCTGGTCACCGTGGCACTTGACCGAAAGGCTCGTGCTGGGAACTTTGTCCGGCACTAGGAGCACTCCAAAAAGCGATCCACGGCTCTTCGTGGGCTACCTGTTTTCGTAGTGCTTCTGAGCACCGAGAAACGGGATGTTCATCCCGTCCACCACCTTCTATTTTGCCTATCGCTTGCGATCAGCGTTGGCCAGGGAACAAATTTCTCGCCGAAATGGCGAGCGTCAAGGGTACTTTCCATACCCTTAGTCATTCGACCAAATGATCAAGCATTCCACTTCCATCACACCCTCCGAATGGATGCCCGGACTGGGCTTGAAGTAAACCCAAGTTGAGATAGGTGTCGTCTTTCTCAGAGCTTCCTCTAGCCATTTCCACTAGGATCAATACCATGATAACGCTGGTGAGCTCAGAGACGATTCGACGACATCCAAACAAAGTAACAGGTATCATCACGTTGTGGATAAACACGACGCTTGACTCATGGTGTGATATGGATACTACGTCAAGCTCAATTTCATATCTCACTCTGCAGCACAACCATCGCCTGAAATATCAGCTGACTCACTGCACCCCGAGTAGCGAGGATGCGAGAAGAGAGTCGCAAATGCAAGGAATACGTATAATCCATCATTCGGATTTTACCTGTACATGGCAGTTCAATTGCACGTGTCGGTTTGCAGTTGTTACCGCTAAAAAGATGTGCTGCCGCTGAAAAGATTGGTTCCCATCCAACCGGTGAACATAACCGAGCCATAGGGACGTAAATGTAATTGAAGAGTTTGGCGATGTAATGCAGACCTTGATTGAAGTTTGCCAATCATTGCACATATTCATTTGACAGGTGCCATGCTCTGCAAAACGGAAAACAACTTGACAGGCCGCGTGAAAACGAAAATCACTTAATCGAGGAGCACTCACTGCTACTGCGTATGTTTTGATAGCAGTGGAAAACCTTTGGTCGGGACCCCTCCATCCACATGCGGACAAAATAGCTACGCAGTACTAATCCGTACAGGCCACGGTGACGGGAGGGGCTATCCATGGCAGTCGGCGAGTGACTAATAGATCACGTGATCAATGTGCTGGTAGACGGGTCGCCTAAGCTCCCCATTGGTCCGGAGATAGCCAGGTAGTGGGGTCCTCTGGCCTCTCGAGCCTCAATTCCTCCACGGATGCGAATGGTGCATCACCACTTTGGACATTGCATCCCAAGCCCAAGCAACGCGACTCTTCTGTTTCCCTTCACAGCACCACACTGCACCTGGCGCATTGTGTTCGATCTTGGTCTTTGGTGGATCTGTTTCCTCTGGATGTCCATATACCAAGCAGATCGGCTATAATACCCTGTTTATGCCTAGTCGCTTTACTCCCACTTTTGGAATTTGTCTTTGACGACATCATGATAGTTTTGGGAGCTGTTCTGCTTAAAGCCACAGACATCTCATTCTCTTAGTGGTAAGTCGCATCATCTTCACAGTCACATCACTGCCTGCGTGAGGGTTTTGAGAGCAGCCTGTCATACTTTATGTCTCTAACCATCTCCTGTCTGTTCGCGGCGTGCAGAGGTGGGAGCAAGTGGGTGGCTTCCCCACTACGTATCACTTTCACCTGGCTGGAGGTGTCTAAAGGGGTCTCTTCCTTCTTCTTAACTGAAATCAGGCTGCTCTCGTCGCCTTCTTGCTGGTCGTCCTTTCCTCATTTCGCCTTAGCTACATTGCCATCTAATGCCTCGGTCTACGTCAGATGCTCAACTTCAAATACTGACCGATACCTAGTACACAGCTATCTTTCTTCTGGACAATTTCGAAATCGAACCCCGAAAATGTCCTTCTTCGGTTTCGACCCGTCGCTTCCGAGCCACAATACGGCGGCGCCGGGCTTTTCTCAAGCCCACGATCCTTTCGCTGGCCTCTCCCGCGGCAACACCGAGGATGACGATGCTGTCGAGTTCGACGACACCTATGATGGCTTAGGCGATCAGCTCGAAGAGAGCGGTGATGCTTTCAACGACGACACATTCGGGGGTGGTGGCAACGAAGCCATCTCTTCCGCGCCCGTCGGCAAGGACTTTGACTTCTTTGGCCAAACGGCCAAAGTGTCGGATGCCATCGAAGAAGAGCAGGTCCGCTACAGTCGCCAGGTTCCAATGGCGAAGCCTGTTCCCGCTCCTGCGCCGACCCCGCAGCAACAGCACTACCAGCAACAGACTCAGCCTCCGCCCAACTACTACCATCAAAGCCAGCAGGCTTCCAGGCCTGTCCGCACCGGCTATGAGAAGTACAAAGAGGCAGAGCCTATCCCTGATCTTCACGTAGATGCGTCACTTTGGGGCATGCCTTCGAAGAAGCCCCCCGTTCCGGAGCCTTCGCCGCAGCCGCAAGCCGCCTCTGCCAGCCGTAAGGTGATGAGTCTGGAGGAAGTGGAAAAGGCAATGCGAGAGCAGGCCACTAAGCGAACAGCCCAACCTGCTCTTTCCGAATCTGCGCCGAGCGTTCAAGGTTATCCGGCTGATTATGGATATGGTCGACCTGAGTCTGTTCAACAACAATCTTTCCAGGGTCTTGAGCATCATCAGCAGCGCGCTGGCCAGCCTCCTCAGCACACCAGTCATGGCCAGCCTGTTACCATCCTTCAGCGACCCCAGTCTATCACCTCCAAGCCTACGCCGCCCATTCAGGGCACTCCCAGTCCCCTTGCTCAACCTCCTTATTCTCAAGCACCGCCTACGCAGCCGACTCAGATATTGCAAAACCCCAATAGGCTTTCAGGCGATGCCGCTCGGATCGCAGGACATGGCCAACCTCCTCACGGTCATCACCAGACCCATCGATCTCAAGGTTCCATGGGCCGTGTTCCCCCTGTCGCCCAGCAGCAACAGCAACAGCAGCATCTTGCCCACCTTTCCGAGGACGAGAAGGCCGCATACCTCGACCAAGAAACCAAACGTGCTAAGCGTAATCATAAGATTTGGGTGTTGTCCAAGGACAACGGTCTCATGACGCCTCAGGATAAGAACTTTGTGACTCGTATCCAACTGCAGCAGCTTGTTTCGGCCACCGGCAATCCGATTGATCAGACCAATGACGATTCTCTGACGGAAGACTTTTACTATCAGGTTTTGAGCCAGATCCGCGGTGGTCAGCGCCAGAATCCGAACCAGCCCCTGAACAACTTTGCTCAGACCTACCTGTTCCAGACTGGAAGCCGCCAAGGCAACATGAGAAGACAGGGACGAGCCGCCGAAAACCATGTCCAGCGGATGGAACAGCAAGTTCAGCGTGCCGTTGAGGCTGCCAAGAACAAGCCCAAGAACCCTCAGCTGGTCATCGCGGGCAGTCTTGGAAAAATTTCTTTCAGCAACGCCAAGACACCGAAGCCACTCCTCAACATCAAGAGAACCGACAGCAGTACAGATGCTAACCGCCCTGGTAATGGCAAGCGGCATGGAGATTCGAACGGCCTGGACCGCAAAGCTATTCTGCGGAACATTGAGAAGGTCTACAATACCATTATGAAGATGGAAGACCACGCTCGCTTCATTCCTCCACCGCCCGCTAATGGCAACGATGAGGAGTTTCATGCGAAGCACCAGGCGTGGTTGGAGACGGCCCAGGCATACAACGCTCAGCTCTGGAACGATCTCAAGGTTCATGAGCCCATTGGGGCCACTACCATTCACCCATTCATCGCGTTCCTTTCTTTCCCCAAGGGCAAGAAGGCCATCCCTCGTGTCTTCCGACACATCAGCTTCGAGCAGCGCACCACCATCTTGACCATGATCATCATTCATCTGGATCAGCTTGATGTAGTCTACGGTGCTCAGGCTACCGACGGTGAGGTCAGCCTCAACGCTGCTATGCGGGAGAGTATTGAACTCTTCTCTGTCGCTGTCATGCCGAGCCTGTTCGCTTATTTTAACGAGACTGAGCTTGACATTGTGACTGGTGTTCTTGGTCTTATTAGCACCAAGCTGAACATCGACCTTATTGCCAAAACTCGCGTAGGTTGCTCGATGTTGACTCTGATCCTCAGCAGAGCCGAGTTATTGAAGCAAGGTGGTGGAGGCACTCCTCAGTTGTGGGCTGAATGGTAAGCATTACATGGCCCAATTCTCTAATGGCACGCACTGACATCATTGTAGGGAGCAAACCTTCGACCTGTTCTTCAACAAGCTCGAGCCTACTCTTCACCACATCTTCCCTGGCAGCGTCAACACAGGTGAAGACGTTGTCGTCTGGCAGCTCCTTGCAGCTGTTGGCGTCAGCGCCAACCCCGAACAGCAACAGCGCTTGGTTCTTGCTGTCAAGGACCGCGTGCTTGACACAGTCGCTCATGCCAAGACGCTTCCGGGCGCTATGGCAACCACCCGACTGGCCACTGTCAACCTCTTTATGCACTCCATTGGCTTGGATGTTGAATTGCTTCAGTAAGGGGATATTCGTTGCGCCAACCGTGGCTACGGACGCATTACGAGTGGAAGTATGCGTCCGAGACTTGGGGATAAAACGAGTTGGTCGTTTTCGCATGGCCCGTGATTTTTGAGGGCATGGAAGTCGCTACAAAGCTGTAGTATTGGGGCTGCAGCATTTATGGAAGCTTCAACATGCGGAAGTGTGGCTTATTCCAAGGCAATATGCACAGAACATATCTTGTGTACATTGAACACACGGCTTTTTTGAGATGATGTCGCCATGATAATATCGGTGGTGCATTGCGACCAGGCTTGCTAGTTAGAGCAAAAGAAAATATGCATTTTGACTTTGAAAAAGCCGGAGCCGTCCATCTCCCTGAAGGAACCCGTTTGTCTACCATGCCGCAACGCCCAAGCTATGCAAATCAAATCCTGTTGTCGGGACACTATCCGTCATGTCAGGTCCATGCTAGAAGACGCTTGCGCGGGCGCCGCTCTTGCCTTGCCTCCCCGTCGCGACGCCACTGCACCTCGAGCCTTAGGCTTCGCCCTCCGCGCCTCTTCCTCGGCGGCCGCCGCGGCAGCAGCCTCGGCTTCCAATTCTGCCTTGGACAGCGGCTTCGGCTTCTTGATGCCGCTGACAGCCTCCAACAGCTCGTCGTCGCCCCACTTGGTCTCCAGCCGCGGAACCTGCTCCGCCAAGTCCATCACAGACTTTGACTCAAACGCCTCAGCACCCTCAAGCGCAGCTTTCTTCTTCTTCTCCTCGTCCTCCTCGTCGGCCGGCAGCTGCTGCGGCTTGCCCGCGTCGCCCGGAGCGCGCATGATGAGACTCTCCTGGTAGATCTCCCAGGCGGCCTCGTCGTTCTCGTCCGTGTACTTGAGCTTGCGCCAGTTCTCCATCTGCACCGCGCGGAGGCGGTCGGCCATGGTCTCGCTCTTTGCGGTGGCGCCGTCGGGCGTCGTCTTGATGGTCATATGGATCGCGCGCGCCGCCGCGGAGCCCTGAGCCGCTCCGCCGCCTGCGCCTCCCGGGCCGGCACCTGCTGCTGCCGCGGATTCCTTGGCCGCGGCGGCAGAGGCGTTGCGTTCTTGTTGGGCCACGGCGTCAACATGGTGAAGCTGGGGACGGAGGTGGACGAGGTTTGTAACCGGCGTGAGGTGGAGGTCCTCTGAGATGTTGTGTTAGCAGGCTGGAAAGATAGTTAAAGGAAAGGCGAACTGAAGCTTACTGCCTTGGAAGACGCCAATCATGTACTGGACCTCCTTATGGTCAGGACACTGACCGCCGAGGGTCTGCGTCCGCAGCACCTTGTCCTGGCGCACGGCTTCCGGCCATTCTAGGTACATCTCGTCCTCCAAGTCGATTTCTCCGCGCCTCTTGGGCCGGGGCGGGGGCGCTCCAACGCCGAAGCCGCCGGACAGGCCGTGAGTGCCACCGTTCTTGGCCTCGAGGCTGGCCTTGAGCTGGCGGCCCCACTTCATGCCCTTCTCGCGGTCGTAGGACTGAGTGTAGTCGAGGGGCACATCGACCTCAACCATGCCGGAGCGGGCCTTGAGGCGCATCTCGGTCGGGGTGGGCTGGCGCGGGTCGGTGCGGTTAGGCTGCTGGAGAACCCAGAGCTTGCGGCCCTGCGGCAGGGACGGATTGAAGAACACGTCGTAGGAGGCGATGACGGGATCCGGGTCGAAGGGCTCGTCAGGGGGGTCCATTGTCGCTGTCGGGGCTGGCATTGTGCGTGGGGCGTGTGCGGATTAGTTCGTCTTTTCTGAGAAGATGCGGTGACTCCTCGAGATTGGGACGTAACTTTAATGTAGGTTATGTCTGGGAAATTTTTGGATGCGCTCGGTGAGCCTACCCCACGGTGGGAAGAACGGCGGGGGCTTATCGATAAGAATGATGGAGCTCCTGCCGGGGCTGGTGGGGGACGACCTCAATGCTTCATCCTCCCAGCCTCTTTTCCTTGGTGAACGCCTCCATCTCATTATCATTAGTCCACTCACTACATCTTGAACCCCAGCATCAGTACGCCCATCTTTTTCTAGTATCGTGCAGTAGAATTAATCGGGTTAATGCAAAAATCTTGGATCTGTAGATAGGTCTCTATTCAGATAATTTCCCTTTGTTTTCCTACGGGGTCTGGAAACCAACAACCCCTGGTTTCCATATCATTTACTGATAAAATTTGCCTAATAATCAAAAGAGAATCGCTGCGCATACTCTGTTTCGTATTAACAGTAGTCTCGTGGACATTCGGAAGGATTCAACCAGCCTAGCATGTGACACAATACTGGGCGAGCGCCTCATTCTCAAGTCGAATCCGTGGAAACCCGAAGTTCTGCATCTATCACGATGGCTAGGGATATCTTGACCAGCTAGCATACCCTTTGAGCTTTCTTGCTGCAAGCGTATACATGGCTGATGCTTCAAGCTATTTTGGCCACCTTGCTGTGGCGAACAGGTTGTGTCGAAGCCAATAGCACATCGTTCCTTTGGCACTGTTGCAGCTCCTGCGTGCTAGGAGCTCACAGACCGAATCTAAAATTGCACTTAACAACGCATATCATGTACCAGCATTGATTGCGAATGGTTCGCGACCCTTGACAACTGGCAGCGTCGTGCGTCTACCTTAGCTTCATCGGGCTAACGATGATAGTCCTGATGCGATGCACTAGCAACCACGCGGAGGCCTACATGTTGATACAGCTTTTTAGTCTCCGGTGATGCTTATTAACAACGGAATCCCCTTCAGTCATGTTCAAAAATTACTTTTCAGAGTGAGAAACATGTTCTTGCAGGTCCTTGTAGCTCCAGATGACTGCCGATGTTCCGAACTCGCTCAACTGGGTCTCCTTCGTCACGGGGATCCTCTCCTTCGGCCTAACAATCCTCAACTTGATCGCACTATACGGCAACTTCGTCGCCACCATCCGAGCTGCTCCTAGTGAGATTCGAGATGCATTGGGGAACCTCCGACACCAGCTGTGTGAGGAACGAGAGGCCCTGCGATACCAGACAAAGGAGATACGCTCAAATGGCAGATTACGCCAGGGTATTGCGATCGTCAACGACAGGTTAGCCAGCCATGAAGCTCATAAGACGCTTATGCATGCCGAGAAGACTTTGCCGCTTCATTACATGACTCTGCGGGATCTCTGGTGCAGTTTCAAAGACATCGAGAGGCCGTTTCTCGTCGCGAGCGGGTTCCGCGCCGAGGCTATTCTTAACGGCGCAACCTGGTCTGAGGGGGACCTTGATGAGAAGGTCCGTCCTGACTTCGAGAAGCACGGCGAAGCGGAAAGTTTTGCGGACTGGAGCGCGCTTTATAAGTGTGACTTTATGCACAGGTTCATTTGGTGGCAGGTCAAGGATGATGTGAAGAAGTTGTCGGATGAGGTTGGACGGATCATGGCGCGGCGGACGGAGAGAGAGGTTACTTCCACCCGTATGATGGTCAAGCAACTTTTCAATGGCGATCTGCCTCCGCAGATTATCGAAGCGCATCCGCGCCGCCCTCCAGGAGGTAACAGTGGAGGGGGAGCAACCAAAATTCGAACGAACAGGAGTTCGGGGCCTGTGAGACGGAGCTCAGTGCAGGTGAGAAGAAGCCCGGCCCCGTCCAGGAGAAGCTCCGCTTCTATCCCAAGACGGCAGGGCGATAGGCACGCAGCGCAAGACGATGAGAGCTCCTCTTCCGGTCAGAGTAGCGACAGTAGCAGTCAGACACCACGCGAAGGCGTGGACGTGCCCAGACGGGAAGACGGCAGCCCCGCGGCTAGTGAAAGTCAACACGACGCTCCAAAGAGCGATGCTGCCACCGTCGGCAAGCGCCAGCAACGTCCACAACCCCAGCAGCGTGATTCCAAGACCAGGTGGGAACAGTTCCGGAGCAGACCTACGAAGCAGTACGACATCATAGAGTATTTCGAAGGCCAGGGACGAGATCACTCAAGAATTATCGAAGTGATCCCTGAGAGTGAGATTGACTACTTCTCTCAACGTTTCAGGCAAAGGCGCGAGAAGAAGTGATACGGTGGTTTATGTTGGGAAGCATTTGCAACTGGTCGTGTTCTGCTAGGCGTATTTTCTGACACAACATTTACTCATACGCAATGTTTTTGCATTTAAAGAGCTCGTATGGATGCTATGAAGACGGAAGCATATTTTCGGACGTTGTAAAATGAGTCTAGATTTCGTCCATTAATAATTTACTTGATTTCTTTCTTTCTTTTTCTGGGATGATACAAAGTCTTCCTATAGTGATATAACAGAAATCTGGGTCATTCACGCCTCATTATGCAGGATGGATCGTAGGAGCCGATGCTCGTACATATGGCCTCATGCGGTTGCATCAAGTAATGCTGCCAACAGCACTTGTTTGGATCCAAAGCCATCTGTCCCATGCCTCCCTGTCGCTTAGCCTCGTCTTCATCTCCTTGACTGCACCTTGTTCAACCTCTGTTATCTCGATAACATTTTATCCAAAGGCCCTATTGTCTCCTTTGGCGGATTGATGGAACGGGGTATAGTGCAACTTGCAAGCAGCGATCACCATATCAGCCACCAACCTGAACATGAGGTACTTCGAGCTACGAGCCCAGCTGGTAGGTCACATATTCAAGTCCGCAAAAATAGGCTCTGGTCCTCTCCAGATGTGGGATCTTGCCATGTCGGACAATTATAGCTATGCTTCGAAGAATGAGTATCATAGTATGGTAAAGGCTAGAGTTCACCACTAGGTCACTCACAAGTCCTTTGGTTTCATCTTCCATATCGTTTGATCTCAAAGGATCAATAAAGGCCACCAGCCAGGTCAAGATCATGGATAGTAACTGACGCCTATTTAGGCCTCTTGGTGATCGACCCTCTTGTTGCCTGTGGGCCGGGCAAGTAAGAATAGGTATGAAGACGGTTGGTTACAGGCTCAGTATGTGCTTCATGAGAAATAGGAGTCTTGTGTGGAAGCAGGAGAGAACTGCGGTTTGCCTTCCTCAACCCAGCATTCGAAAAAGAGAGGGCCAGCCTCTACGGAGCGCAGCGGCGTGGTAGAGGCACCGCCTATGGCTATGCCCGGCACTGGATTCGTCCTCGAAGCAGGTTGAAGGTATGGCTCAGAAGGAATCCAAGGCTGCGGGTGCTACATCATAGGTCAGAAATCGGTCGAACCTGTATTTGGCAAGGGGCGTAATGCATACCCCTATTGGTGCTGGAGCCTCGTCCCTAAGCTCAACGGCCATTGTGAAAGTGCATCCCTCTGGCAGAGAACCCTTCATCTCTGCCGCATACGCAAGACGTCTCAGAGCACCACGATACGCCTCGTTAACGTCAATCCAGTTGACAGATCCGTCATCGTCATCGACTTCCCTTCGCTGGAACCTGTGTCCCGCGCCAATCTTCTCTTTGCCCTTACCCATAGCCCAGACAGGAAAATTGGCGACGTCAAAGACCCATCTTTCAATGACGGCCATGGTATTAGGGGCGTGAATGACGATGCAGACTTTAGATACGGTGCCAAGCGCAAGCTGGTCCTGGATGGCAGCAAGAGCCGAGTTGATCCATTCGCAGAGAGCCGGGTGGCGGGACTGGGGGACCGGAAGGTTATGGGCTTTGGTCATTAAAAAGGTCTGCTTCGGGTACAAACGTCTGTGATACAGTATCGTGTGAGTCGTAATAGTAAGAAAGGATGTGAATGATGTCAGGATTGTGTTCGCCTGCGGGCGTGGAACGGATACCGGGGGGGCAGGAACTGCGTCTGAACTGGACGACATGGTGCGCGAAGGGCCACGCCAGACAAGATGAAAAACACTTCTCGAACGGCAGCAGATAGTTTGTTTCGGTATACTCTGTCACCCAAGCGAAGCAAGCCGTAAGCGATGGTACTCGGAGTGATACTGGCCACGAGGATTGTTGAAGCACCGAAACCGCGACGACGCGTTTGACAGCTTTACGCCATATCACATGCTAAAGCACGTGACCCTTTTGTCAGGGAGTTCAACGCGCAAAGCGTGGGGCTACTCCACATATAGGGCTGAAGGCAGCCAGTCAGTGACGCCACCATGCGAACTGCTCGCAGCTCTGCACCAGAGCTTAGCTTCTTTCCCCGATTTTCTACTTCGGGTTCTACCACCTTCACGTCGTCGAGCCCAACAATAGAGAGTGAAACCCAAAAGCTCCAAGCCCCAACCACCATCTACTTAGGTACCGCGCTCCCTCGCCGGCATAAGTTTCCCAGATTTCAACCTTACAACTACACATCCAAGGAGCCTGCATCCTTTCCCCTCATCGCTCGATCTTCACAATGGCGAATCCACTTACCCCGCAGTCCATACTGCAACTAATGGCAGACGCTCTGCCAACGCACCCCAAAGGCGACACCACCTCCGACATCAGTAGCGGATACGAGCTGCCCGCCCTCCTAGCCCATGCGTGCATGGTATCTCTCAAATTCCGCCTCCTCGGCTTTGACGAGGAGAAGAGGATAGGTATGTCGAGCCCACTCTTGGTGAACCACCCAGCTAACACGCACCTCGCCATAGAGGAAGAAATCCAAAGCGTCGCCCCGCGACTGCCCGTATCGTGGAATGCCGGCTACGGCTCTCTCCGCTTTGTGTACGCCCACAAGCAGTCCTCCATGACCTTCATCATCCGGGTCAGCAAGGTCGGCGGCAAAGTCGAGATCAGCGGTCTAGCCGTCGGTCACGACGTCATCCACAGATTCGAAATCAGTACAAAGGATTTTGTCAACAGCGCTAAGCTTCCCCTGCGCATCACACTCACCGAGGATGGTACCGAGGACAGGAGCGACCTTGTCCAGAAACTCAAGGATGCCTTTGTATCCGAGTCCACCATCACCACGCTTATTGACCAGTTCAAAACGAACATTATTCAGAAACTTATTCCAAAACTGCAAGCTGAAGGCTATGAAGAGTCCCCCGACGACCGGGACGCCGCGGAAGGCGCACAGCGCGAAGGCCGTGCTCAAGCTGGTCGGCCCGGACGGCCAATGCCCGGCGACCTCCCTGATCCAGCTCGACCGTATCACATCAACGACCCTCTTGCTCAGCCTCCCAGGAGACCCATTCCCGTTGGAGATTTCCCTCCGCCCGATTTCGAGGACGAATATGAAGTCAACAGGCCGCCTAGACCTTTGGGTGTCCCGGGTCGATCTCCCTACAACATTGGTCATGATGACCTGAACCCGCCTGGTCTAGGACCCCACGACCCCCTTAGGCCTCATTTCATCGGTGGCGGTGGTCTGCCTCGTCCTGGGGGTGGAGGCGGGATGCATCCAACTTTCGATGACCCCCTGTTCGGCGGCCAAGGCGGGCAGGGTGGTGGCGGGTATGATCCGCAAGCTCCACCGGGAGCTAGGTGGGATCCAATCGGCCCAGGTGGCTTGCCCCGACATGGTGGTGGGCGAGGAAACCCTTTTGGAGGACCGGGGGGCTTCGGTGGCTTTGGTGGTGATATTATTTGATTATTTGAGATGGCAATCACCATGACGCTAGGTTTACGAGAGAATGACAAGGAAGGAAAACCGTCCCCATAGCTGTAGTATTACGCCTTAATGAGAAATGAGCCCAGTATGAATCAAAACTCTCCTTTTCGACTGGTCCTTAGTACATCGACGACAAACCGTGACAGCTACACGTGAACAAGCTCTAGCTAGACAGCCTTAGCGACGCATCCGGTGCCCCAAGATATGTCCACCTCAACTCCTCAACCGCAATGCCCTCTACCCGAACCACCTTCTCCCCGCCCGGTACGATATCGAACCCGTTGTCACTCAGCTTCATGCCCCGCTCCTCTTGAATGATAAAACCTTTGACCGGCTTCTCGGCAGAGATAAGCAGCACCCCTTTATCAGCCGACGTCCTAATCCCGCGGTCGGAAAACTCGAGATACTTCAACGGCTGCGGCCACGCCGTGTCCTCCGCCACAAGCTTCCCGTCTACGACAAGCGTCGCGTGAATCACGAACGGGTCATCCGCCTCCTGCTGAAACGGCACACGTGCGTCTCCAAATTCCTCCTTCGCGGTGCTGACGGCCTGCTTTTCCACGACGTTTGTCGTCGCGTTCCCCTGCGCCACAACCTTCTTCACAAGCCGCGGCCTCATCTCCCTCCCCGTCTCTATAGAGATGAACCGCACCGTCAGGTCCCCCGCGACGGCGTCCGCCCGCCCGCTCGCGACCCATACCTCGAACTCGGTGCCCCTGGCTCCCAGGGTCGGGTCTGCGTGGCACTTTGTCCACTCGTCCACTCGCCTCCGCACGCCGACATCCAGCGCCCGCAGCGCCCTAGCGATCGCGTAGAACGCGGGCTTCGGCACGAGCCAGTAGTCCACAACGGCCCAGCTCACTGTCGGCCAGCAGTCATTGAGCTGCCACACCAGCGCGCCACCGCAGCCCCTCGCGCCGCCGGTGCTCCAGTCCCGGCGCCAGGCCTTGTACGCGAAGGACATGGCCTCGGCCTGCATCAGCTGGGTAAGGTGGGTGAAGCGGGGTAGGTCGTATGCCACAGAAAAATTCTCAGCGATGTAGGTCATCATGCGGCGTTCGTGGTCGTAGGCCTTATTGCGGAAGTCAAGGGCCATGGAGCCTGGGCGGCGCTGAGAGGGAGCGGTAAGCATGGTAGCGATGGTGGAGAGGTGAGGGTAGCCCTCCATGCCGAACTCGGAGACGAAGCGGCCGGTCAGGAGGTGGGCGTCTTGGTATTTATTCATGGCGCCATGCCAGACTGGGTTGGGGGTGTCAATTTGATGTTGAGCCAGGGCTAAAATGGGAGGGGGACTCTCACTGTTCCATTGGTGAAGATCGCCAACTGTTGGGTCTGCAGTAGGCTTTCCATCGCCCCAAGGACTACTCGGATGGTAGGTCGTAAGCGGGCTCTCCTCCCCCACGATCTTGGGTAGAAGATACTCGTAAAGATACCTCGCCGGGAAACTCGTCTTGAGCCAAGACTCAGGGTCCTTGTCCTCGTCAAAGCGGTACTCGAGCCGGTATCTCTCCTGAACCTGGTAGTCCTCGTTATTCCCCGCCCAGATGACGATGCTCGGATGCCCCCTCAAGCGCCTCAGATTCTGTCTCGCCTCCTCCTCGACGCTCTTCAGGAACGAGGGGTAGGTCGGGTAGCTCCCGCACGCGAAGCAAAAGTCATGCCACACCATCACGCCAAGCTCGTCGCACGCTTCCATCAGCGCGTCCGCCTCGTACACCCCGCCGCCCCAGACACGGAGCATGTTCTGGTTCGAGGCGGCCATGAGTTCCGCCCACGCGCGGTAGCGTTCGGGGCCGACGGCGGCGTGGAAGCTGTCGGCGGGGATCCAGCAAGAGCCGCCGGCGAAGACGTCGCGGTTGTTGATGCGGAAATAGAAAGACTTCTCGAGGGCATCGGGCTCTTGGATCAGTTCCGCGCGGCGGAAGCCCGTCTTCTTGGTTTGGGCGGCGAGCGGGATGCCGGAGACATGGTTGATGGTGGCCGTGACGGTGTAGAGGGTTTGGGGGCCGGTGTTTATGGGGTACCAGAGTCGGGGGTCTTCAAGGTAAAAGTCCGTCTGTGCTGTCCCGTCTTCACCCACGGCGAACTCCTTTTCGAGGACGATCTCGTTTTGTAGGCTGAACCTTACGGATACCTTGCTGACGCCGGGACCCTCGATTTTAACAATGATTTTCCCAGACACCGACTTCAGATCCGGACTGACTTCGCCCTTGACCCAGACGTCGTCCAGACGAGCAAGGTACCGCTCCAGGAACACCGGCTTCCACAACCCGGCGGTGACCAGGATCGGGCCCCAGTCCCAGCCCCAATGATACTGTGCCTTCCGCACAGGGATCCGGCTCTGCTCCGTCTGCCGCGCGATGAACCTATGCTCGTGAGCGTGCTCCTGGACAAGCTGCCTGCCGCGGAGCAGCGCCGAGTCGAACACGACCTCCAGTACGTTGTCGGCGCCGCCCCGTCTCAGTTGCCGCGAGACCTCAACGCGGTGCGAGAGGAACATGTTGTCCGACCTGAGGATAACTGCCCCGTTCAGAGTGACGGTCGCAAAGGTGTCCAGGCCTTCAAAAACGAGATCCGTCACTCTGCCGAGGGCGTCCGATGGGTCCGCCGGCGTCGTGAAGGACGTGCGGTAGACCCAGGTCTTTTCCGCAACCCACTGGACGGCGAGCTCGTTCATGTCCAGGAACGGATCTGGTATCCTTTGCGGCGTCAGCCATCTCGGGTGCCAAGGGTTCAGGTAGACGTAAAGGAAGCTCACTTATTGTTCGCAAGGAGGTCTACATGGACTTGGCTCGGGACCTTGGGGACGGGAAGCCATGGGTGCTCTGAGGCGTCATCTTGCTGTTTGAAAGACCAGCCGCTACTGAGCTCATGTCGGAGGAGAGCCATCGCGGTTACTGCTCAAGATGTCCCGATCGCAAAAGAGAACTACTTCGCGTGGGGGTTGTTTCGAGCTCGCGCGAGTTGGTATCCTTGCAAATGATGGCATGTGGACACTTGATCTAGATATACGTGCAATCCAAGAAACAAAACGGAAAACACAATGATACCCCTTTTCTCACTTGAAGCCATGCGCTCGAATAAAGGGCGGTGGTCTGGCCTCTTCCCCCGGATACCCCCGCATTTTGAGAAGCTCCCTAGCGAAGACACCCCGGAATAAATGGCACGGCACGGCATTGCATGTGCTTTGCGGAGCAGCAACATTGCTCGGTTGGATTAGCCAGGTCGTCAAATCAGCGGGCGCTTGCGTGTCCCGGTTTTGGCCAAAGGAATAGATAGAGCACTGGGCTAAAACGGGGGTATGAAGTTCCAGAGACGGGAGCATCCCCTGTGGAGGATTGGCGCAGGGGGGTTTGATGCGGGGTTTCGGGGTTTTGTGGTCCCGGACCACAAACCGTTTACGCACATGAGCTACAGAGAAGAGCTCACAGAGAGGGGGGTGGTAGATAGACTTGCACAAATCCGGGCAGGCTTTTGTATTCATATCGCGGTTTGTGGTTGCGCAGCGAGTTGCCAAGACCCAAAAGACACGGCCGGTATAAGAAAAGGTGTTTTCGAGAGGAACACAAGGTCATCAGTATATACCAAGACAAATGTTCAGGCCCCCTTTACCGCCTGTGTCTCTCCAGCGTGTCTTTCCATCCAGTCAAACACCGTCTTATGCCAGACGATTGAGTTCTCCGGGTTCAGCACCCAATGGCACTCATCGCTGAATATCAAGAATCGGCTTTTTACTCCCTGGGACTGCAGCGTATTGTAGGCGGCAATCCCCTCCGTGATGGGGCATCTATAGTCCTTCTCGCTGTGGATCACCAGCGTCGGCGGCGCGTGCCTCCAGTTCCGTAGGAGCTCCGGCCGGGCCGGGTTCCACCGCTCCAGCTCTTCGGCATTCTTCCAGATCAGCGGCGGGCCGCCAAAGCTGGGCCCGCTTTCGATGAAGTCGCTCTGGATCATAAAGGCAGGGAGGTTGAAGATGCCGTCGTGCCAGATGGCGCAGGCGAAGCGTCGAATCAGGTCGTGGCCCATCATCCACGAAACCATGAACCCTCCGTACGAGGCGCCGGCAACGATGGCGCGGGCCTGGTCGAGATACGGAACTTTCTCGAGGTGGTCCATTAGCGCGACGAGGTCCTGGTACGGCGCGCCGCCCCAAGACCGGTAGATGCGGGCGGTGAACTCGGTGCCGTAGCCCGTGCTGCCGGCGATGTTGGGAGCAATGAGCACGTAGCCCTGCTGAGCCCAGAGTGCCATGTTCCACTGCGGAGTCATTGCATGTCAGTCAAATAGGCGTACCGTGACGGAAAGACCGGTCAGTTTTGAGAGCTCACCCTTGTCGACCAGGAATCCAACCAAGATGACACCGGTCCACCGTGGGGCAACAAAACCCAGGGGTACTTCTTGGTCTCGTCAAAGTTGGTCGGCTTAATGATGAAGGAATGTACGACTGTGTCGTTTTCGCCCTCGTACCAAAACTCCGAAACCATACGATGAGACAGGCCGTACTTGGCGCCGTGCTTAGTGGCTGACGACACGACCCTGGGCGCCGTTTTCATGGAGACGTCGACGATCTGCCACAGGCTGCTATCGACCATGCTGTTGCTCGTCACGAGAATCCTGTCGTGGCTGGCCTCTGTCAGGGGGTAAAAGGCCGTAACTACACCGGTCTGCACCAGCGGCGTCGCCTTTGCGTGGTGCCGGAGCTCGAGGTGCGACAACTTGACACGCCCGCAGTCCTCGGTCAGCAGAAGTATGGCGTCGGAGTCGCCCGCGAACTCGAAGCGCTGCGGGGGCAGAAGCGGCTCTCTGCCAAAGACCATCTTGTGCACGTCGTACGCGCCAAAGGACGTGGTGTGCCCGATGTACAGCCTGGCGTCCGAGAAGTCGCTGGTCAAGGATTGCAGGAAGGCAATCTTGGAGCCGTCAGGGGAGCACCGCACGTGGTTGTAGAAGGCGCTGGTCTCGGAGATGCCCATAACCATCGGCCGTGGCCTGACAGCAGCAGCGGCGGTGAAGGAGTGGAGGGGTACATAGTAGACGTGTGAGATGCCCGCCTGCTCGGGCAAGAGCCCAGGGTCCTCGGCGATGAAGGCGATGCCCTTTTCGCTGACGTCGAAATTGGAGTATGCGTCGACCTCGCCGTACATGCCGAAAGGGGCCTCGAGGCGGGTGTCCCGGAGGACGTTTTGCAGCTCCCCGGCGACCCCCCACTTGCCGTGAGCGTTGACGAGGGTCGAGTACCAGAGGGCATACTTGCGCGACTTGTAAAGCGTGTTCCACTTCAACGAAGACGAACATGTCAGTTGGGTGTGCGTTTTGATTTCTAGGCAACGAACGGGCCGAGTCCAACTTACAAAGCGTACGTGGTAATCGTCATAGATGCGGCCGGTGGTCGACTTCTCCTCGGCCTCGTCATTGAACAGAGAGCCGTCGGAGCCGACGAGACCCGTGACGACGAAGGCAACACTGCCGTCGCGGAGGGCCTTGAGCTTGAGGTTGCTGATGGGCGCATCATACTCGGCGGCGACGTAGTGGTCCACGGCGAGGTTGGCGGCGTCGGCGATACAGATCTGGGTGGTGCCCATATCGCCTGACTTCAGGTAGACAACGTCGGTCGCGGTGCCGGGGACCCATAGCGCGTCGTGGACCTTGTCGTCATCGGTGAGCTGCTCGGAGGCGCCGGTCTCGACGTCCATGACGCGGACCTCCTTGAGCGTCTTCTTGTCGTCGAAACTGTGACTAGACTGGGTGTAGAGTATGAGAGTGCCGTCTGGGCTCGGGACGGCGGCGCCGCGGCGGGGCGCGCTGAGGAGCACCTCCGGGGTGAATTCCTTGGCGACGCGCATGTTTACCGGACGGGCGGTATGCGGTCCGTGGGAATCGAATAGGTGAGAGGGAGCCACGAGATCGGGAGGGTAATGGCTCAGCGATGCAAGGACAAATGGAGAAGAAGGAGCCGGGTGAGGGTGTCACCGTAATTGGTTTATGAGAAGAGTTGGACGTGAATATTGAACAGCGACACCGATGTCTTTTTTGAGATATTTCTCCTTCACTCACTCCGACTCTCTCTGGTAGGTGTACGAATGAAGCTGACGCAGACTGGCCCCGAGGACGCGACAGCCCTTGTTGGAGCGGATAACCTTGGCGCCCGACCTTCCTCCTTGAGATGCGCGACCAAGCTTTCCCCTATCCAGGAAGAGGGTGTGGTTATCGTTTGGGATGAGTTTAGGAGAGGGCAACGTCAGATACATAGTACGCGCGCAGGCAGCAGGATTCAGTATTGATGATGACTTGACGTGTTTGAGACGATCAACTGCAGCAGAGCTTTGTCAACCATGCTCTCTTTCGTTCCTTCACCCTGATCCCCGCACCGAAGCCTCCAACCTGCCGTACTACAGTTGTATGTACCTCCATAGTGATTTTCAGTGGGTTGTCAAGAGCTGCCATGTACGGTTTGGACGCCATTGCGATTGTATGGATACAGGGACACGCGGCCCTCCGGTCTATCATGTCATACTATCCGTACCTACCTAGGTAGTAGGTAGGTAGGGCGGGACCCAGGTTCTAAAATAAAAAAAAGGCCGGTCCCATATCGCCTACCTACCTACCTACTAACACACCACTTTCCCTCCCTTTTTACTAGTAGAAAGAAATGCTATATCACTACGATATGCCTGAAGAAGTCTGCATCATGCTAAAAGTGAATTGGGGGTTTTTTTTTTACTGTATTAGTTTATTAAGCGTAGTGGGGGTATGATAGGCTTCTAAATACAGGTACTTTTTGGATGTGGTAGAGGCCGGGCTTTTTTTTAATTTCTTTTTTTTTACCCGAGTGTGGTGGTAAGCAAAAAAAAAAAAAAAAAAAAAAAAAAAAAAAAAAAAAAAGGCTTAGCTAACCCATGAGCAGGGTTGTAAATTAGTATACTTAAGTCTAGTATTGGCCTATACTAATACTAATAGTATTTTTGAGCCTATACTAATACTAGGCTAGTCTAGTATAGGGGTATACTAATACTAGGCTAGTTTAGTATTAGTATACTTAAGTATACTAATTAGTAAGTAAAAATAAATAAAAATAAATAAAAATAATAAATTAATATTTTAAATAAATAATCACTATTTTTAACTACTTTAGTAAGTAAAACTTCTTACTTACTAATCTAGTATCTTAGTAATAATTAACTTAATACTTAAAAACTAGTATAAATTATAAATTAATTATAATTATAAAGTAAAAAAAGTAAAAAAATACTATAAAAAGTATTAATAGTATATATATATTTATACTAGTATATATATACTTTTATATATAGTATATTAATAACTAAAAATATATTATCTATATTTTTATTTATTTTTATTTATTTTTATATACTAATTAGTATACTTAAGTATACCTAAGTAATACTAATACTAACAAAGGCTATACTAATACTTACTAATACTAAGGTTAGTATAGTTTTCTTATACTAATACTAAGTATACTTAAGTCTAGTATTAGTATACTAAATACTAGTAGTATTTTTTACAACCCTGCCTATGAGAGAGAGAGGCTTAGTAGCGTGGGTGCGTGCGCAAGACCCCGGAGGGAAACCGGACGGCCTACGGGTGAGAAGCCGACGAGAGAGGGCCCCACTCACTCTGATGGACGGGCTTCGTCTCCCGTTTGGTTACTTTTGGACGCATGCCCGAAGGATGAGGAGCCAACAGTCGGAACTAGGCAGCGCGCATCGTATGTCAAGTCAAGCCACTTCTGATATTCACATGATTCTCGCATTGTGTATTAATTACCAAAGTACCTAGTTGGCAAGGTAAGGAGTAGCTTGGATACGGGACACCATCCCCCCGTGTGAACCCCCACTATTCACCAAAACGAGACTCTCCCTTGCTGCTACTGGTCTGTCCCCCCAAACTTACTCCATTTTAAATAGCGGCCGAAGGGGGGCCTAGAGGAACGCCCGCGGGTCTTTCGGGATTTAGATACCACCACGCAAGGGTACAGGTAGAATGCCAGAGCAATTTGGTCGGCGGCCAGAGACTAACCCTATTTAGAAGGCACTGCCACCACCGCCACTTCTACCGCCACTACAACCACCGCCCTTTTTGCTGTAAATCCACTATCGCTAACAGACGCCCACGTTACCTAAGATTAAGCCCTTATATCTAACCTTTAAAGAGTACTAGCAACACATATAAACTTACTATTATAATAAAGGTATTACTCTTTAATTAAATAGATTATATAATATAGTAAGTTTTAAAATTAATTATAGCTGTTGCCTCTATTTTGTTTTAACTTTAAATTGCTTAAATCTGAGGAGTTTTTAACTTTATATAACTTTCTGAATCCTGGCCTTGTTATTAGTCAGTCAAGTCGGAATATTGTTTTTGCTAGCGCTAACATAATACCTTCCGAAATAGGCTTAACCCACTGGCCGCCGACCAAATTGCTCTGGCATTCTACCTGTACCCCCACGCAAAAGAGAAACAAACAATAACAATCCCACCCCTCTGTGTGTCTCTGGACCCTTTCCTCGCAAAGCCAAACCAATCCCACGCTGGCTGTCCCACGCGATTCAATCTTGACCAAATCCTCTCTCTCGTTCTTTCCCTCGGGCCCTATCGTACCGACTCTCTCCGACTTCGGCCCCCAGTAAGTTGGAATTTCCGCGCGACGATTCGCCAGAACATGGCCCGTCGCCCATGCCGCACCTTGTCCTTATCCACTTTATTTCACCTAGTAATGCTGTTTTTTTCGCATCTGTCTCCATGCCGCAGTGTCGGGACAAGGGAAACTCCCATCATTGATAACCGGGCGCGTTTTCCTTCCCCCGGGTCTGACCTCGAGAGCTACTGTTCTGTCCTGGTTTGGTCTCTTTCTACCAACCTACCTACCTTAATGCTTGGTTGGTATGAATTCATAGCTTCCCATCCGTAGCTTCTCTCCGCTCCGTCCACGTTCCCGTTTTCGTTCCCGTCCCCTCAGTGGTGTCCTCGTCCTCGTCTTCGTCTCCGTCTTCGTCTTGGTGGTCTTCATCCCCCCTTCTCCTTCCACTTTTTATTTTTTTTTACCCCAAGAACAGGGAACCCTCTTTGTGTGGTCTTCTCCCACCTCGTCCACTTGTGTCGCCGTCCCATCCATATTAGCTCCTATAGCTCCCAGCGCGGTCCCCAAGACGTCACCAACCCCAATACCTACGTCACGCTCGATACAGCCATTGTCAGCATCACCCGTCGCAAACCGACACTGGGTCAGCACCAACGACCACTAACCCACGACGCCGGGAGCGTTTCCCCCTCCTTTCAATCTCGCGAGAGCTTCACCCCAGAGGCTCGGACGACACCTCGACAACGCAAAACAGAACGCACCGCATGGCTGAACGGGGCACAAGACCAGAGGGGCTCGCTCCCGTACCCGTCGCGCCGCCCGACCTCAAGATCAAACCCCCGAGCCCCTTGGCCCTGGCCAAGAAAGTCGACATGGAGGCCAAGACCGCCTGGAACTCCAAGAACTTAGGCCTGCGTTTGGGCGCCGACCTGTTCAGCGCAGCCTGCGCCGGCACCTTGGTCGCGCCCCTCGTGTCCATCATTGATCGGTAAGTAACATCACCACCACCACCACCACACACCCAGAGCTTCACGAGTCATGGAGGGAAAGATTCATGCGAACGAAGGAGAAGGACAACCCAGCTAACATGCATTCTCCCCTTCGGCAGCTCCATCATGGAAAACGCCTCGGGCCGCCGCGGCCTCGGCGACTGTGTCCGCTCCTGCCTCCAAGAACTTGTCCTCCGTCCCCACCACGTCGTCTTCAGCAAGCCCTTCGCCCTCATATTCGCCCTCTACGGCGGCACCTACCTGACGGCCAATACGTTAGACACGGCCTCCTCGACCGTCCACAACCGGCCCGCCACCGAGGTCACCGCCGGTACCGCAAAGTTCGCCGCCTCGAGCACTGCCAACATCGGCATCTGCATGTACAAGGACCAGGTTTTCGCCCGCATGTACGGCCCCCCCGGCGTTAGCCCCCGGCCCGTCCCCGCCCTCACCTACGCGCTCTTCACCCTGCGCGACTGCATGACCATCTTCGCGAGCTTTAACGTCCCGCCGCGCCTCGGCCCCTGGCTCAACAGCCGCATGAGCGACGAGATGGCCCGCAGGGTCAGCGGCTTGACCATCGTCCAGTTCGCCTCCCCGGCCATGGTCCAGCTCGCCAGCACCCCGCTGCACCTGCTCGGCCTCGACATCTATAACCGGCCCAACGCCCAGGCCAGCCCCGTCTCCTGGGCTAACCGCTGGCGCTCCGTGGCCAAGAACTGGGGCATCAGCACCATGGCCCGTATCTGCCGCATCATCCCGGCCTACGGCATTGGCGGTGTTGTCAACCGCAAGGTGCGCCTGAGCCTCATGGACAAGATTGAGACGAAACCGTGAGATGCTGTATTGCATTTCCGCGCCGATCATCACATCATGATCGAGCGTATTGTGCCTTCCCCCCCCCTTTTTTTCACTGGTACAACCCTTTCAGGCATCGGTTCATATGGGCGGCGTTTCTGGGTTTTGGTTTGCTTTTGGGTTGTTGTTTTCTCCTTCCCAAATGGGGAGGGCATTTAGAAGAGTGGTACTTGGGAGGCGGTCACGACTCAGCCGCCGGGTTAAATAACTGGGCAATCTTCTATTGATGATGTACCGCGATCCGATACTCGGGGCATCGCACATGAGAAGCATACACACATATACACACTCTTGTAGAACAGTAATGCGATTAATGTCTGCAGTCTCGCCGGCAAAGGGCAATGAGATAGATATCCAAGTTTCGGCGTTAATCCTCACATCAGCCCGCTCTCCCGTAGCGCCCTGATCACCTCGTCCTCTTCGCGATGCTTTCTGCGCCTGCGGTGGTTCGTGTCCCCCGTGTCAATGTAGTTCTTCCAGAACTTGAGGCCCTCGATGCCGTCCTCATGACATAACACCCCCCTCTCCTCCGCCATCTCCAGCTCCTCCTCGGCTACGCCAATACTCCAGCCGAACCGCTCAGCCGCATCCCGCGCCGTCACGCCACGGCCAAACTGTCGCCAGTCCCACGCCAGCTCCTTCTCCGGCGGGAACTCGTGCAGGTCGTCCAGCCAGGAGACCAATGCCTTGATCGTCGTCTCGTCGGTGCGCTCGCTGCTCTGGACGAGCAGCACGCCGCTCTTGAATTTGCGCAGCCGGACGGGGAGCTTGAGCGTCTCCCACATCTGCGCAGCCTTCTCAAAATCCATGGGACTTACGAGCTCGACGCCGCCCCGGGCGCGGTTGAACATGGCCCACAGGTCGATCAGATTAATGATTCCGCCGGCCTTTTTCAGGACGCCACGAGCATCGTCTGTGAGGAACTCTGCCAGGTTCCTCGACAGTTCAGACAGGTACAAGCTCTCGGAGCTGCTGCCGCCAACAATGTCCTTGGTGGTCACAAGCCCGAGCTGGCTTGCTGACTCGGCCAGGAGTGCGTTGGCCTCGGCGCCGCTTCCGCCGTTCTGTCTGGCGAAACGCTCGGCGAGGGCCACGATCTCCTTCGCCGATGCCATGAGGGCGTCCAGGTCCTCAAAAGCGTTGCCGATCATCACCTCATTATTCTTACGCATATCAAGTCCGCGCTGCTCCAACCCGGCGATGCCAACACCCTTGGGACGCTCGGGAGCGGTCGAGGGAGTCCGTACTATAGCGCCATTGTCGTCAATCGTCCGGTTGCTCTTGGGGACGGGTGGCGCCCCCTGCAATAGCCACTTCCTCTGCGTCAAGGCTCCTTTCAGTCGCTCGTAGAATATTTTTTCCCCGCCGCCGCGGAAGGAAATCTTTATGTTCTCAGCAGTGTCCTGGCCCGGCGCGAGCGAGTTCGAGACCGGCCCTGGCGACTCTGTTCGCTGCGCCTGCTCGTGCGGTTTTGTCTGGGGGAGGTCTTGCGATATCAGAGACGCCCCGCACATCTCGCATGAAAGCAGAGAGGGATGGTTCAAAAACGTGCATCGGGGGCACTGGAAGGTCGCGCTCGGATCAGCAGGCTTCTGCGGGCCGCCGTTGATGTTCGAAGCGGCGGGCCACGGGGGCAGGGACCCTGTGTCATCTGGTCTGGTCGACGTAGATCGCATCGTCAGAGAGCCGACTGTGGGGCTCGACGGGGCCACCGGAGTGCGACTGGTCGCGTTGGAGATGGAGGCCTTTAGCACGTGGGCCAACGTCGGTTTGATGCCACAAGCAAGGCATGGCGGTAAAGGAGTATGAATGTTGGCCGTCGTCGGGTCAAAATTGGACGGTACTGGGTTGGAAAAGCTGCAAATGGTGCAGACCCAGGTGGCAGCGCTCGCCGGTTCGGGAGGCGGTCGATACGGGCTGTCGGATCGAGCTGGAGACCCAGTGCCAGGTCTCCCGGGGGATGATATCGCGGACGCTCTTGTCTGTAGCGACGAGCGCTTCAGCGGCTTAGGTATCAGGGTGATCTTCGCGGAAGATTTGAGGAACCCGGCATAGAATTCGTACCGATCGATGTCTTTGAGATCTAGGGCGACAGAGTGCTTACGCGGCTCGTCCTTGTCGACGTAGCAAATTCGGTGAGAGGTCAGGTAGACTTGACCATTTTGCTGTTGAGGGAGCTTGAACTTTCTGAAGAGCAACGCCGCGTATCAGCTAGCTGCCACAGTAACCCGAGACAGGTCGAGGGTCGTTATTCTTACCCCTCATAAAGCCCAACATTGTCCTGGACGAACAACAATACTTCATCCGGTAAGTAGGAAGGCCGGAGAGCGGTCGTGAGGTCGATATGTTTTAGAAACATCCGTCATATCCGTTCGGAAGTGCTCCCAGGGTGTCGCAGTTCGCTTGCGCAGGACGTGGGTTGGCGGTTCTGGATTGATTGAGGGGGTGAGTTGGCCGCGAGTCGTCGCATACGTAGAGGGTCGGGACCCGGGCGGAATTGAGGGTTGGAAGCCGAGTTCGCAGCTGATTCAGGGATCGCGCATGTTTTGTAAACATAGATGGTTTCTCCAGCACAAGAAGACACGGAGAGAAGCAAAGAGAAAATTGGACAACCCACGAGCGTCCCTGAAGCACGAAGGGAGTGTTCTTGGAGCCAGCTAAACCTGACGAATGGCGTTATCTCACTGCCAACACTGCAGGCTGCCCCACGGGAAGCCAGCCCAGCCCAAAGTGGGATGCCGTCGACCCACTGCAGCGATAGTCCCGATTTAGCGTTAGCGCCCCTCGGTCGGGCACGGTTGTATGTCTACCTTCATAAGATGTCTAGGAAACTATTTGGGGCACATCTCCGCAATTTTGCCCTCAAATACCGCACACGGGCCACCATTGTTTCCACCGCTTTCACGCATTCTCCCCAACCTCACTTCACTCTTTCGTCTTTTCCCCCCATCACCTGCAAAATCGACAACACCGCCACCGACACCCACATCCACAGGCAGCCATCTCCCAACCAACTGGTCAATAAATATATCCTGTAACCTTTTAAACTAATTCCCGATTCAGAATCACCGTTGAACCCGTAACCGAATTGTCACTATGATGCCCACTAGCTGGCCCTCGGCGCCACCGCCAGGCATCGCCTACGGCGCTCCTCCTGCCAACTACGCTTACCCTCCCAGTAAGTTCTCCCGACAGCCTCACGATGTCTCCAGCACGGTTGCTGACGCCTGTCTTCCAGATCCAGCATATACCGCAGTTCAGGCTCGACAAAGTTTCGGCCAGTATCCTCCCCCACCCGCACCTGCCTACACAGCGGCGCCGTCGCCTATGGTCGCTGCTCCCTTGGACCAGAACGCTTCGGCGCCTCCTGTGCCGCCCTCACGTAAGGTCGAATGGCCTCCCTCCGTCCGAGAATATGTCCAAAAGTCCTTTCTGCCCAGCAATATGGATCCGTCCGTGTCTCGCCCCGATATTGAAGCCAAGTTGAAGGACACCATTTCGCAACACATGGAGAACGGCACTCTCGAGTCCACCGATTGGGAGAAAATGCCGTTCCCTGCCGCCTTGATCAAGAACGAGCGCCAGTCCCAGTTCAACTCGTCCATGCATGTTGCGTCTCCCTTTGTATCGCGATATGACAACGCTCCGTCGGCCAACCCCAAGAAGCGGAAGTCGTCTGATTTTACCCCGGATGAGAAGTCTTCTACTGTGCCTTGGCGTACTACTAACAACAACCGATCCAACGCTCTGGAAGACCGCATCACCTTTGCCTCGCCCGATAAACGCGCTAGCCTCGACGAGCCTCTGCCAAAGTCAAGTAAGTTCCAGAAGCAGATGGAGAAGCGTCAGCGCCGCTTCGATGGCGGCTACAAGTCATCCTACCGCTCGCCTAGCCCTCCGCCCTCTGATGGTCCCGTCGTCGGCACCAGCGAGACGCTGGAGAAGCGCTATCTGCGTTTGACCGCCCCCCCCGTTCCTTCCCAGGTCCGGCCGGAGCGCGTCCTCCACAAGACAATGGATCTACTCAAGAAGAAGTGGAAGAGGGAGGGCAATTACTCTTACATATGCGATCAGCTGAAATCCATGCGTCAAGACCTGACAGTCCAACGCATCAAGAACAACTTCACAGTGTCCGTGTACGAGCTCCACGCTCGCATCGCCTTAGAGAAGGGAGACCTTGGTGAGTATAATCAGTGCCAAACCCAGCTGCGTACCCTGTACGCAAAGGGACTGAAAGGGAACCCTATCGAGTTCAAGGCCTATCGCATTTTGTATTTTATCCACACCGCCAACCGTACAGGCCTCAATGATGCCTTGGCAGATCTAACCGCAGCAGAAAAGGAGGAGCGACCCATCAAGCACGCGCTTGCGGTGCGTTCCGCTCTTGCCTTGGGAAATTACCACAAGTTCTTCCAGCTTTACCTCGACACTCCCAATATGGGGGCATATCTCATGGACATGTTCGTCGTTCGTGAGCGTCTTGCTGCCTTGTGCAACATTTGTAAAGCGTACGTACTCCCCAGCTCACCGACAGCCAGCCAGCCATCGCTAATCTTCTCCCCCGTAGGTACAAGCCAGACGTAAAGTTACGGTTCATCACGGAGGAACTCGGCTTCGAGTCCGACGTTGATGCGGCTCAGTTCATTGTCGATTACAACGGTCAGCATCTACTCGAAGAACGACAAGAGTACATTGCTCTCTTGACCGGCAAAGCCGGAGCGCTATTCGAATCTGCGAGATCCGAGGCTTTCCGCAAGGTTGACATCAAAGGCCAGATATGAGCTGCTCGTCATCTCTCTTGTCTCATCGCAACATGCTTTACACCATCTAACCATTTCCCGCCGCCGACTGCAGGCCCCGCGAGTGGCCTCCTCTCCCCGAACCCTCCACGCCTTTCTCCGAAGCCTGGGTGCTCCGGTGGACCTTTCCTTCGTAGACTTTATTTCTGTTGTTTTGTTCCCCGTCTCGACGTTGTCACAGCATTTGCGCCTTTTTCACCTTGCATCCCCCTTCGCTCTTCAAAGACGTTCACTACCATTTATGGTTAAGAGCTTACGAATCATCACTTTCCACCTCTCTGCCTCTTCTGACGGCTTTGGACGCTTACCCACAGCTTCAAACAGCATGATGCTTTTCGGGGGCTTGTGAGGAGCAACCAAACTACCGCGAGAATCGCAGAAAATGGTGTTGGTGCTGTCGGTGATGACCGATATCGTCGGCTTAATGCTGATCTTTGGTTCTGGGGGCTTTTCGCCTTGATACCCGCTGGCCCTATCAGCGTGCAGGCAACAGGATGGCGTCGGAACAGGAAACATGTGGGCTCATTTGCCAGTTCAGGAATAGAAGGCGAATGGAGTCTGGCGCCGGGTCTTTTGTCGACGTTTGTATATGCGTCGTTTTATCTCCAAAAAGATCTGCTTCCGTCTGCCTTATGCAGCATAACGGCGACTGGTCCGTAGTGATCCAGTTGAATGAATCCTTATCTTTGCTATACTCTTCGGGTGGACCTTTGACAGCTCCACTCTGCGCATGCCATGATGCCAGTGCCTGGAATGTGTATGCCACCCAAATGGTCCGTTGGTACATGACGCATACCATGGGAAAATGTGAGAGGTTGCAGGTTACTTGACAGGAGTCTTTTTTGCGGGATGGATAGAACTTGCACTGGATTTACGGAAAGGCACATGCTCCTTGAGTGCTGTGTATTCTGTGTTTCTAGCAATCCTACACGCCATGATGAGAGGAACTACGTCTATGAGCCATACGCGGGAAGAGAGATTGGTTTTTTGCGTCTGCTTATATCTATCCCACGATGCTTAGGTCTGAGAAGAGCTCATAAGAACACTCCTCGATATTCACCTCTATGTACCACGAAGTTTATATGTAGGGCCCCAATCCCTTGACGTCCACTGCGCGGTGATGGCAAAGCAGGACTGCAGCTTTGAGATGTCTTCAGTTAAGACAGGGACAACACCATTCCACGTCCGATCGTTTCCCAATGGCGATGGAGAGTAGCTGGGTCCTAAAGATCTACCGCATCAAGTCTCAAGCCACGATCCCTGGGCCCATTTGGCCGCGGCTCGCTGCCGCATGATGTGAGACCACGAAAAGGACCATGTGGTATAGCGGATGAAGTCAAGCCCTACCGGACCCCTCTGCTACGACTCATGTCACCTAAGGCTCGTACTGACATGGCGGCCCTCCAAGACGGGTGATTGTTGAGATGCTCAAAGGCAACAGCTCGACAAAGTCGACAGGCTGTGCATTCTGAGCCTCCGATTCTGTCTCAACCGTGTCGCAATGGGAACATACAGTGTTTGTAGCCGCATGCATATGAGAATCGGACTCCGGGAAAGACGGGTGGTGCGGGAGTTATCCGCTCCTCCCAGCGCGTGCGCGAGTCCCGGACGACACATGTCGGTGTAATCGGTCATATCTCGTCCCGTAGTATCCTTACAAACGAACCATTAACCTGGCCAACATCATGAACAAATCCTTTTCGTATTCGCCACCACGCCGTCCGTGAACATCACTCTCCCCACCCGCGGCGTCGAGATGAGGGCACTCGAAGGGTGGTTAATTGGTTAGCTCCAGTTGACATGCTACCGTGCGCGACTGCACGCACGGTTGCCCATCAGCGCTAGGACCGTAGAGAGGGAGAAAGCAAGCTTTGGGCAAGTTGTAGTTGCGCCGTCATCCCAGCCTACGCTTGGTCATCAGGTCCCTTGCAGCGAGGGGAGGGGAGGGGCTGGAAAGTGGGAGTTGAGCTGGGTTTCGATGAAGCTCAAGTAGGTAGGAGGCTCTTGAGCCCCTCTCACGGTGCCGAGGCATGGTGGTGTTGTGACTCGTGGATATTTGCTGCAACGCAATGCGGAAACGAACCCCCATCTCGTATGACTGGCAAACCTGGCCCACGGCGGCGGGAGCCCGCATGGTTACGGGGCAGCCGGTCTCACAAAGGCCAGCCATTGACGATTCGAAATTCAGGAGTTTTCCCCAAAGGGGGAGGGCTGATGGGAGCCTATCGAGTTACCCGCTCCAACATAGTGGTCGACCACGTCATGCTAGTTCAAGCCCAATGTTCGTGGCTACAGTTCGCGTGGCAAAGAATAATGACTTGCAACCTCTTAGGCTCGGCTGCGATATGCTCAGCCCGTCAACGACAAGGTCGCATATTTCCTAATCCCGGGCATTAGAAAGCCCTTGCGCACGGCCCAGTCATTGGCTGGCTCGTCTGGACACATGCCAAACCCTCGACCGGGGGCGCAGGATGTGCTGGCGGGAGGGGCCGCCGCGATTCGCCACTCCGAAGCGAGGGCCGGTAGGATCGAAAGCCGGAGGTCTCCTTTTGGAGGAGACGATGCCGCCAAATGGCGCCTGATGTGGTATTCCGAACGGGAGAAGGGGGGTAGGGTAGCATGCAGAACACTCCCAACCCCTTGTGCCAAGACAGCTGTTCACTGCAATATGGCGGGCGGCCGCGCTTTGAGAGCTGGGACTTTCCGGCCGAGTTTTTTGGTTTATTTTCATATTTATTACGTATGTTTACTGTTCAAGACAAGCTGAGCGTCTTTTGCAGAACTTGGGTGGGCGGGCACCCATAGGTAGATCGGCGCTACAAGGTAGCAGGTGGGTGTGGACGGTAAATCATATACCGGTTGCTTCTTGATGGATGTTTCGGCCTGATGCTTAGGGAACTCAGCCAAGGCTGCCGGCTTTTCTCGAGGGTGTGCTTACATCATGGTCTGTAAGATGACTCTACAAAAAGTCCTTGACCGTTTATCCCAAAGTAGAGCTGTCTGCTGTTGTTGCTCTGTCAAATGACACCATATACCTACCCTGCTGGGAGACGCGTGATGGTACGAGGATATATGCACGTGTACAGGAGATCCCGCCCTCGATAGAATTGCCAACGCCAGAGTCATCATGCTGTCAATGTGCCCCCGCCAGACAGCACTGCACAGTACATTGTACGTGTGTAGTAGGTACAGATCACAAGCTCGGGCAGGGAACCCAACAGTAGACTTCCTTTTACCCCACGTCATCCATGAATCTTCTTCATCAAGAATCGAGCCTGGCAGGTCTCGCGTTTTGGCCAAGGTACCCCAAATTAAGGTGACCCCGACCTGAAGATCAGCACCCACGGACTTGGGGTTCCTCGTCATCGTACCTGGCAGTCGGTGAATCTTCGACGTCCCCAAGGAATGGGTGCCCATTGTCGGCTTCTCATTGGCGATGATCTTCAACTCTGCCCCGTTTCAGGAGACAAGGGATGTCGAGTTTCAAATTGCGTCGTGCACGCAGACGGGACGGGCTGGATCCGAGCATAGTTGCAGCATGAGGTAAAGCTTGAACCTGCGTGCCTGTCCCGCATATCCAAGCTAGCAGAGAGAGCCAAAGGACGGGTTGGCTTGACTCCGGAATCAAAGCCTTGCTACCGGGGTCGGTGTCTCTAACGCATTGTCTCCCATGGACAGGAATGGGTTTCGCATGAAATGGATAACGTTGGCAGCACCACGGGTTGTTGCAGTATATTCCCCAGGAAATGCAGCATCTTGAAGCCTCTAAAAATGGTTGTCAACGAGTCACACGGTAACTCGAAGCTCTGCTGCCAGCGTGCCCCCGTATCCATGAACCCACTGTCCGGCATAACGGAAAACAAGAAACCGCAGGACGCTTTGGATCACTTATGCCTGCAAGCTACTTCCCACTATATGCTGCCATCGGTGTCTGGGTCGCAGTCTCTTAGCCGCAGTGTCTTCTTACGAAATGATAGGCGGGCTATGGCTTGTGATCGGCAGGAACGGCATAGCGACGCAACACATCAAGCTCTGTTCCAGCCCTGCCATCATCGCCCATGAGCGGAGGTCAGAAAGATGCTGGAATATGGTTCCTAAACTGTCCCGCTGAAACGGGACGCTGGCAGGGCTCTATGCGCCAGCTTTAGGGCATCTCTTTAAGCTAGACGAAGCCGGTGGCGCCACTAAACTCCAATTGCGAGGGTGGGGAAATGGAGAAAGCAGCAATTTATTCGAAGCGCCAGAAAGCTGGGATGGAAAGGGAGATGCGCCGGAGTGCAGGAAATCCGTGGATGAAGTCATCCTCAACAAGCTCCCACGCAAGGTACAACGCCGCGGGCCTTGGCAGACGGACCACAGCCAGACCCGGGAAGGATGGTACCAACCACAGCAAATGGTGGTCTTCTCTCTTCCGTCGTCGATTGCGATTCGACAGCCAAGCCAGTCGAGGCTTGATATTGTAGATGCGCGCGCCAATTTGTTGAACCGACGAGCTGGCGCGTAAGCATGTACAGCCAAATTGCGCCGATCAATTGGCCAGGAAAACATTCTAGCCTGGCCTAGGCTTTGCAATCCTCGCAAGTTGGTGTTGCTAGTGTGAGCGCTAGGTCAGTCCAGGGGGGTTCAAGTCATCAACGGGTAGGGCGAGGCTGCCACACCCTTCCGAGAGAAACCTCGATTGAGTTTCGAACCGCCTCGCCAGTGAAGGCCGGCGTGTGAAATGCGCATAATGAGTTGAAGTTGAAGGACACCCTGGTGGTCTGACAATGTCGGCATAACCAGTTGGGGACGACTTCCAAAAGATTCGCGAACCTGGCTTGGCGCGGATCGTACTGGATGGATCCGCGAGACCCTTGGACCATGGGTCGGGGTATTTGCCATGTTTTCCTGCCTCTTTGTGGTTCGAGTCTCGGTGGAAAATCGACCCCGCGTTCCAAACGGCCTTAGGTACATCATACTGGGAGGTGGCTGTAACCAAAGATGCCTCTTGTACGGTTGCCAATACACCAGATGTCCTTCATGAGTCGGGACGAAGTGAGGTGTGCAAGACGCTATTGTATGGTATTGGAGTACCTAATCGCCCACGTCACATCGGAGGCCCGGCGGTCCTAACCACAGGCTGCCGGGGAAAGGGTTCCGTGTGGCGAGGTTCGACCGTGGTCGCTGGGTGTCGAAGTGAGGTGGCACCTAGACCGTTGCACTCGTTAGGCTGGAACTCAATGGGCCCAAAGGAATATTAATCGCACGTACTGTCCGGGGTCCGCCGCCTGCAGGGGTTCTGCAGGAGATGCATTTGCCTGAACCTGCTGAGCAATAAGCAACAACTCTGCTAAAGTGTGACCGATAGATAAATGGACACAGGATATCCCTACCGCCCGCATTGCTCAAGATCACCAGGGAATGGAAGACTCTCTGCGTTAATCGATAAGATGCCGCGCCGAGTCCGGATTCTTCCCCAGCCCTGGGTCGTACTGCTAGCTTGAAGATGGCCGATCAACTCCCCATTATAGGGGATTCGCTGGTTCGGGAAAAGTGCCAGTTCAAGCAGTTGCAAGTGTCAAAAGCGCAAAGGCTCTTGCCATTGGCTGTAATGCACTGCATACCATTGTTTCGCATAGGGGCGTGCAAGGTCAATGTTAGTCAAGAGGGGGGAGGGGGGGGAGGGTGTTGGTGGAAGGAAGCAGGTCCGTGGTTTTTTTTTTTTTTTTTTTGTAAAGCGGAGATCCTGCCATGTGCGCGTCCAGGAAGACAGCGGCACAAGCTCTGCAACCTTGGGGGATACACTCCAGGGACTGGGTACAGTCCGACACATACCGTACGCACTCGTGAGATTCGTCGACCACTAGTGAGCCGGCTAGCCGTATATAGCTAGCAGCTTACCAATAACAGCTAGTGGATATCCACTGCGCTAGTCCTAATATAGAAAGCGGTCAACCCATCAACCTACTTATCCACCTATCTACCTATCTACCCACTTGCCCACTTGCCCACTTGCCCACTTGCTTGCCAGCTAGCCCATCTAAGTTAACTTTGCTAACCCACTAACCTACCTACCACAATATTCACAATGCCTGACTGCCTGCCGCCGCTGGGCGAAATTAACCTAAATATTACACCTCTGTTACGCAAGAAGATAAGCAAAAAGTCTACCCCTATTATTAACTAATAATATACACTAAAGAAGCTAATTTAATAAGTTAAATAGTCTTATTCTTAGTAAAAGAAAACAGAGGTATTAACTTACCTTAAGCACTACTAGTACCTATTAAACCCCTCTAGGCAACAGCAAAATCTATAGTAGCAATAGCTATAGGCTAATAATACCCCTCTTGACCTAGCCAACAGTCTCTGCTACCTAACCTTTCCTAAGGCTACTGCCTACTTTAAAATACCTGTTATAATGATATCTAGCTAGTACTAACAACAAGAGGCTCTTACTAGTAATAGTCTAGCTATATATTATTAACTAAAATAGCTAGAGATAAAAGCTAACCTTTATAGTTACTTCTAGTAATAATAAGCCTATAACAAGGTAGTTACTACTAGATAGTTTAAGCAGGAGGCCTAGGCCCTTTTTATAGCTAACTATCCTAATACCCTTATAGCTAATAACCTGCCTACTTACCCCTTCTAATTCTCTATAGGTTAGTTTAGTAGCTTTTGTATATAATAGAATATTTTACACCACTAGATTACAAAGTAAGCCTTAAAGCTGCCTACTAAATACTTTACTATTATTACTAACTTCCTCTACTTTAACTAATAGGTTAATTAGCCTTTACTTGCCTACTAGCCTATTAATAGGCTCTAATTTCTACCTAACTATATTATTAACTTTAATAAGACCTTTATCCTTTTTAAGTACCTTAATAGCTTAACTTAGGTAGCCTAAGGGGCCTATACTATAGCTAGTAAGACTAACTATAGTAGCTAAAGTAAGCAGCAAGCTACTCTTATTCTCTATATCTTTACTAATAAGGTCTAACGGCTACTACTAAAGCTTATCTTTTATAGTAAGCCTATTAGCCTTAGTAGCTAACTTAAGGCATATAAAGGTAACTTATATAGTAAAAAGGTAATAGTTAAATATAATAATATAGCTTATAATAATAAGTATTTCCTTAGGTAGTAGCTAATAAATAAATTTTTTCTCTTTATAATAAGGCAAAAATACTTATTAGTTATAAATATTACTACTTTTTATAAGACGCCTATAATACTATTATAACTTTAATTTAACTATATAACACTTAGCCTTATACTACTAAGTATAACTTTCCTCTTTTAACCTTTAAATACTACTATTAATAAGCCCTTTAAGTAGTAGTTATCTAAGGCAACTAATAAGTATATATAGTAAATAAAGTAAGCTACTGCCTACTAGCCTAGTTAGCTTATCTAGCTACTTTAACCTATTTAATCTATTTAACCTAGCTAGCCTAGCTAGCCTAGTTAGCCTATTAAGTAGTCTATATTAATAAAACATATAATAGTTACTTATACTATTATAATAGTTGCCTATTGCCTAGCTAAAAGGAGTAAGATAGTCTAGTAATCCTTTCTTTAGTGTAAGATTAGTAGTAACCTAGATAAAAGTAATATTAATAAGATTTAGATTAAGGATATACTAAACAAAAAGATATTATAAGATAATTAAGATAACTTTAACTACAACGCCTATATAAAGAAAGAAATAACACAAGAAGAGATACCTAACGTTAATATAAATAACAACAGCTAAAAGTATATATCTCTACCTAAAGATATCTAGTAACCTATTAGAGATAGTTAACCTATTAGAGATAGTTTAATAAGGCTATAGGAGATCTAGAGTAGGAGAAAGGGAGGAAATCTAATGCTAATTACAAGGTTTTTTGCTAGCCTTTGCTACCTAACTTGCTGCTGATGTACATAACTAACCCCTGCTTTTGCTACATCTAGATCCCTGTTTCTGCTAGCACACTACACCTCTTACAGCGGCCACAATACCTATTGCCGTTAGCTAACTCACTAGTGGTCGACGAATCTCACAAGTGCATACGGTAATAGCCCTGGCCCAGTCCAGCATCCACCTTCTGCATGTCCTGGTACTTGGGATATTAGATTGGCGTTGAAATCCGACAATGGTTCCGTTTGACAGCTTCTTAGCCATTCTTAGGGAAGAGAATGACGGGGCTATCGAACAAGCTAGTTGTCGCACGCGAAGGACTGGTCATCCAAGAGCAGCTCGTTGTGTGCTCACTGGCCAGCTTGACTATACATGGTGACGGACATTCGTTCAATGCCTGCAAGCTCCTTTAGCGCTTCTGCCAATCAACCATACAGGCGCTGTCGTCACCAAGGCCTCCTGATTGATCAAATCCCATCAGCTGCCGTTGGCTTGTCGCGGCCTTCAGTCGCTGTCAGACCTCTTAGACTTCTTGGCCCCATGGTTGCGCCAGTTGCTTTGGCTCCGAGCCGATGCAGCCACCGGCATGCGGCTTAGGGAAGAGGATGAAGGCGCGACTTGCAGCTGCAGGATATGACTGGTAGGCAAGCGGGCGGTACCCGAACTCCGACGTATCCACGCTGCAAGCATGGATATTCGACTGACCAGTTTGTCCACTCGGAGACCAAGAGTGGTGCTGCGTGGTTGTAGTCTTACGTCAGGTACCTATGTAGATAGGTACTCAGAGGTGGTAGATGGGTCGTCCCTCTGTTTCTGATCTCCTTTGGACAGTGCGTTTCGATTCGTCGTACTACATACAGTAGGTAGGCACATAATTAAGATTTCCTTTCGAGGACACGCTGCTGCCGTCGCTGCTGCTACCAGTCAATACGTCCTCTATATGTAGTGTAAGTACCTATCTACCTAGGTAACTACCGTACATAGGTAGGTAGTTTCGCACAACGCCCGGTTCGTACCTTGGGTAGTTCCTGTGCCTGTGAACTGCAGCCTGTCTGTCCCACACTGCCTCTTATCTGGGTCCGTCAACTGCCATGTAACGAACGGGCGCCTCCCCAAATGTCCTGTTGCTGCGTTACCGGATAGAGCGATGACCGCTAGATGGCTGGTCTAACCTCAGTTGTGTAGGTGTCAAGTGCCAGCTGGTGTAGCAGCAAGACATAGACAGACAGAGACAGGTAGTGGGAGGCACATGAACCGATATGAAGTCGAAACATGCTTGAGAATTCGAAAGGATCATAAAGGATTAAAAAGAAACATTCCCTAGACATGGGAATCTCAGCCAGTCTCACACAGCCCGGCGACAGGAGCAGCCAGGATACCATCCATCCAAGCACCACCACTCTCTCATCCACTTGGACGTCGCAACAAATACCATCATCCGCAGTAATCTGCACTAAGGCTTTGCACAAGCTCGTTGGAGGGCAGGACACCCACCCGTAACCCTAGCGTAATTTACCCACCCTCGCCCAGTGAGCAAACTGGGCAGACGGGTGCAGACCAGGATGTCGGGGACCCTCGTCTGCCCTGCTGGGAAATGGGACTGTATCCCGGGCGTTGGAGCATGTGTGGTGTGCATGCATGTGCGGTACCCCCTCCCCCCTGTACCTAGGTACCTACATGCTTTTGGGTCTGAGCAAAGGAGCCTTTTCTACCCTCGCCCATCCACGTCTTCTGCCTTTGCGCCATCTCCCTTACCTCCCCTCACCCCTCCAGGTCACTCACAACCTGCCCGCCGCCATCCAGCGCAATCTTTGCACTTCGCCGAGTAGTTGGCCTTGGACGACAGTCATTGACGTAGCAGCGACGACGAGTTGTGCGCCTTTGCCAACTGAGATATCGAGACCCCTGCGACTTCCGTTGAGTCCTGTGTAGCTCGAGTTGATTAACGGGCCACCCACCCTGTCTCGGAGGCCGAATAGAGAGCGAGAGCGAGATAGAGAGACAATATAGGCTCCGAGTCAACCAAATAAGAAAGCCAGGGAGAGATCGGTCACGAACCCATTCATCAGCCAGCCGACAGTTGTGGACGACTAGCTTTTTCTCCTACCCTTCCCTTGCGCCCTTGGAATCAACGAGGAGTTCGAAAAGACGTATAGGAACCAGTTTTTACGTGGTAAAAACGTATTAGAGAGGGAAGAAAAAGGGGGAGAAAAAAGAAAAGGAGCTGTAAGCGGGATCCAAGGGAAGAAGTCCTGCACCGAGTACAACAATCGCGACGACGACAACAACAACAAGGCCGTTTTTACACCACCCACTCAAGACCAGGAAAGGAAGGAAGGGCCTGAGCACCGGATCTACCTCCCATACCTGACGTTGAGCCCGTTGCTTCCTTCTCAGAAAGCCCAACGGCCACCACGATTCAGGAAGGAACGGAATCAGAGGGAAAGTGCGCCCTAGTCAGTCATCAATCATACTGCCCCTCTCCCCTTCCAATCCGCACTGGCATCAGCCTGGTCCCGGTCCCAGTCCAACCATAATCACCCCCTCCTTCATCGTTCAAAGAGGGAAAAAAGAGGGAAAATTAAAATAAAGCAACGACAACACCGCCTAACGCTTTCCTGCGCTGATCCGGGCATCTCCCGCTTTCCTTCCTCTCGGTCAGTCGGCACTGCACCACAATTGCAACAACCGCCACGCCACGCCTACGACAGCTGCGACCGCCATCCATTCTCCCCAAGTAGCAACACAAGACAGGAAGACCACTGCACTGCCCCCCGTCTGCCATAGTCGCACAGGTCCACGCCCCATCCCTGTCGGGTGCCCAATCACGCCTTGCCTTACCTTTCGGAAGGAGCTTTTCCATACCTATCTTCCCCCATCGACGCTCTCAACTCAACTCTCCCGTGGTGCCACAGGGTCCCCCGTCCCTCCATCACCACTTTCTTTTCGAAGCATCGTATCTCACTCTCTTGTCAGAGTCTGCAGCTACCCTCCCCCAAAGAGAGAGAGAGGATCGTCACACAAGATGAAGGTTCGTGAACCACCCTTTTTTGGTACCTGCTCTTGTGCTTTGCGCTGCCTCCTTCTTCCTCTCTCCCTTCCCCCCCTTCCCCTCCTCCTGCCCTTCCAGTCCTCCCCCTCCCTTTTTCCCTTGCAGTGAACAGTTGCGTGCGCGCGCGCACAACATCAATAACAGCATCACCACGTGCATTTGCAACTCTCTCCTGCAAGCATTGCTGCTTGACTTCGAGACATTCCTGCTCAAATTGCGCTTTGTTGCTCTCTGCCTTTGTAGCATCTCACCCTGCGTGTATCCTGCTACCATCGCATGAGCAACCCCGCATGCGCCTGAACCTGTATACACAATGAATCGCGACTCGATTACCAGAAATCGGTTTTCCGACCACTTGCTGACCATGCCTCAACTTCTCCAGGCCCTCCGCCGGTCCATCAAAGGCGAAAAGGACAACGCCAAGATCAACATTGCCCCCAAGTCCGCTGTCGCCATCGTCCCCCCCAAAAAGGTATGTCGAGCCCCAGCCTCATGCGCCTCCGCTGCCCCCCATGGCGGGGTCCTGACCACAACGCAATCGCACCTTTGCTGACCACTCGCCCGTTAGGTCATCCGAGCCCTCTACGACTATGAGGCCCAATCCGGCCAGGAACTGAGCTTCTCCCGAGGTGACTTCTTCCACGTAATCGGCCGAGAAAACGATGCCGATTGGTACGAAGCATGCAACCCTGCGTTGCCCGACGCCCGAGGCCTCGTGCCTGTTGCCTTCTTCCAAGCCTTGGGCCGAACCGAAAGAGATAGTGGCCAGTCTGACGGCGGCGCCATCCCCCGGCCGCCAACCATGTCTCCCACAATCTCCAAGAACCCTGATCACGACTCCGGCTATGCCGAAGCTGCGCCGCCTTCTGGGGCCTTGCAATCGCCGTCCCTGAATCAGCGCATGTCCCGGACCGGAAGTAGGGGCGGCGCCATGGTGTATGGCATCGTTATGTACGACTTTGTAGCAGAACGGGCCGACGAACTGGAGGCCAAGGCTGGCGAAGCCATCATTGTCATTGCGCAGTCCAACCCCGAATGGTTTGTCGCCAAGCCCATCGGTAGACTCGGCGGACCTGGTCTGATTCCAGTTTCCTTCGTTGAGATTCGCGACATGGCCACGGACACTGCTGTTGGAGACGCCTCGAATGCCATCAAGAAAGCGGGCATTCCAAAGGTTGAGGAATGGAAGAAGATGGCGGCCGATTACAAGAATAGCAGCATCACGCTGGGCAAGTTCGACAACGGTGCAGCGCCGCAGCAAGGATCTATCGAGCAAGACATGGAGCGCATGAGCATTCAACAAGGCAGCCGCACAAGTTCGCAAAACGGCAACAACTACGTGAGCCCCCCGCCCATCCCCTAGTCCACGATTCCGAACTAACACATTCCCGAGCAGCAACAGCAGCAGCAGCAACAACAACAACAACAGCAGCAGCAGGCTGTCTATCAGCGTACCTCTCAGCAGGCCAGTGGTCAGCCCAGTCCTTACGCCAAGCCAGCGTCACAGCTGTACGCACCTATTTCAGCCCGTATTCCGAGATACTGCTTTGCTGAGGACAAGTACTGGTTCGTCATCGAGGCAGTGCTTGAGGATGGCCGTCACTGGGAGCTGTCCAGATACTACGAAGACTTTTATGATTTCCAAATCGCCCTACTGACCGAGTTTCCGGCCGAGGCAGGGAACACCGGGACGCAGAAGCGCACTCTCCCATACATGCCAGGTCCGGTCAACTACGTTACCGATGCCATCACTGAGGGTCGCCTTCACAACTTGGACGCCTATGTCAAGAACCTCCTTGCACAACCGGCCTATATTGCAAGATGTACCCTTGTCAAACAATTCTTCGCTCCGAGGGAGGGTGATTATGAAATCGACCCGAATGCGCCCAACGACGAATACCGATTATCAGGTGGCTCACAGCCGTCATCAACCGACTCGCCGGCAGATGCGGCATCACGGCAGTCGTCCAAGAACAACCTGAACGGCAACGGGTACGGCGGCCTGTCTGCTGCACCACAGCAGCAGCAACGGGCAATGGGCCAACAGGGCATGAACCGACAGCCATCGTCGCTGTCCCAATCCCAGCCGCCCCCTACGCCTGGTATTGGCCAAGGACAGGCCATGAAGATCAAACTTTACTTCAACGGTGATCTCATCGCTATCCGAGTCCCGACGGACATACAGTTCCAGCAACTCTACGACAAGATTGTGGACAGACTCAAGATTGCCGATGGTGAAGAGATCCAACTCTTCTACAAAGACGAGCCAACCGGCGACAAGCCCAACTTGATGAGCGACAACGACCTTGATTATGCCTTGCAAAGGAACGAGAAGCTCCTGCTATATGTGGAGCAAGTCTAAGGCATGACATGCCGCGGCAACGCCCGCCTTCGACCGTTTCCAGATCGTTTCTACCTGCCACTTGAGAGATAAAAGCATACCCCAACCGCCATTGCATTATTACTTCATGATTCCCAGCGCATGCGACGCATTACCATTCCCCGTTTTTTTGCACGGGCGATGGCTGAATTTCACTTCTCTATTGTTTTCTCCTAGTAGCTGGACTCGATATACGACCATGATGCCAGTGGATCGACTTTCCTTCGCACAAGCGGCTACGCTCCCTTTTTTACCCCTCCCTTCTTTGGCCTTGAGTCGGCCCCTACTTTACGATTTCCTTGATGGCTATTGACGTTGATGACGGGGGAAAAACTATTGATACAGCCCTCGGGGGTTTCTATCCGTCCCAACAGTTTCTCAAAAGACGCAAGACGGATTTGTTTCCACCATGAGGATACGGAAGGGTACATCGATGGGCGTTTTTCGGCCAGACGAAGGGTCTGGCCTGTCGTTTTATCTTGTTTTTTAGCATGAGAACTATTCTCAGAAAGGGTTCCTATTTCCTGATTTTACCAGACGGTACGGCGTGCACGATATGGAGGATGGTTCGAGGTCTAATGATGACGAGCCTAACTGGTGTGGACGATTCGAATGAAATCAGGCAGATGGACAATGACCGGGTTTGGTTCCCCGTACTCGAGCGAGAGATGAATCAAGACAAGTCACCACAATATGCAGAGTGCGGGTGCCCCTTGGTATATAAGTGACGTATGATGAACATCGTCTTCCGAGTCCGCAGATTGACATTTGTGTGACCGATTGCCCTGTAAATAGTTAGAAAAAAAAACAGGGAAGACTGAAACCAGTCGACGCAAGCCCAGCAGCACACAAGCGTTGGGCGTCTCATGCAAGCAAGCATCCAGAACATTTGACCGGTGTGATTGTTACAAGCTACCAAACAACAAGCCCTCTTTCCTTATAGGAACGTACATGCATCCTCTCGACAGCTCAACCATGCCTTGCATATTGATAGCTCCCTCCAGGTGTGTGATTAGTGAATAAAATATAAAAAGCCTCTGTCTGAAGCGGAGGGTTGCCATCATCTTGTGGAACCTTCCACATAGCTCGGCCACAGCTCCGAGATGCGAACTCTAACTATAGTGTGGTACCTGGGTATTACTTTCTGTCCATCCTTCTTTTTCCTCCTCTGCCTTGCTTCCCCATCACTAGACTCCTTTATTGGACAGGTTGCGGGACAATCAAGAAACGACAACGTGAGTGGACATGTGCTCAACTGCCTCTTTAATGGTCCGGAGCATCCTCTGATTCACGCAGAAGGGACAGCGCAAGGGCCGCTCGTTGACGGAGACCGGATCGTCGTTCCTAATGGGCGTGAGATTCAGCTCAGGAGTCGAGGGGATGAACCGCGAGGCCGTAGATGTGGCCCTCTGGACGGCGGGTGTCGCGAGGGCGGCAGCCGCCGTGCCCTGCGCGCGCTCACGCTGTTCCCGCTCCTCCCTTGCCGCCGCCGCTGTAACCTCGGCCTCGGCCTCCTCCTGCTGCAGCTGGCGCAGCGCGTTCTGAAGCGCAATGTCTGGGTCCTCGTCGCCATACATGGGGGTGTCGTTGCCCGGGGGCGGGACCATGCTCGTATCGGCGCTGTGCTGGTCGGGTGTGTGTACCGTTGCAGAGGGAGAGATCGGGTTCGCGGAAGCGGTGCCGCCATGGCCACCAGGGCCGCCGCTCAAGCGGCGCAGGACCTCGTCGCGCACGAGAGCGCAGACCTGAAGACTCGTCTCGACGCCAATGGAGCGGAGGATGGCCTCGCGGATGGCGGCGGGGCTGGTATCGGCGGAAAGGGCCATCAGACGCGGGACGCAGTCGGCGAGGTAGCCAATGTCCTCGGCCGGATTGATGCCGCCGTCACCATGGCGGCGCTGACGCCGGATGAGCAGGCCATAGCGCTTCTTGAAGCGGTGGATCCAGCCGGGGGAGAACTCGGGGGGCGTCTCTTCCTTGTAGCGGGGCAGGGCGGTGAAGATGGCTTTGGCCTTCTCGCCGAGCTCTTCGTTGGTCGGATGGCGGCCGGTAGCCTGGACCTGCTGGTACCAGCGCAGGACGAGCTTTTCGACGTCAGGCCAGTTGCCAAAGCGCAGGCGCGAGCCGCTCAGCTGGGGGTTGTCGCCATCGAGGCGGGAGTACTTTGGACTCAGGGAGTGGGAGACCGTGGACTGGGAGATGTGCTGGCCATACTGATTGTAGAACCAGTCGATGCAGGCCTTGTGGCTCGGGCGGATGGTCTGCGCGTTGGCCCAACGGCGCAAGGCGCGGCGCTGGTCGAGAGAGAGGGAGGAGCGTTCCTTCGGGGTGGAGATGGGGTTCTCGGTGCCGTCGGGACCGGGGCCGCCGGGGAGGACGTCGGGCTGCGGCGGGTGGTGGAGTTCGTGGGCGGTGTCGTGGTGTGCGTCCTGTGTGTGATCGTGGTCCGACATTTCGATTCGAGAGGAGGGGCCAGTTTCGCCGTGCGACCGATTGCGTGTGCGCGAACGGGGGACCTGACTCCCCAAAAAGCCGGGTATTGAGGTATTGTGAATATGTGTAAGACGGGGGGTTCCTATTCGGATGGAGGGGTGGCGGTATGGGGAGAGCAAGCTTTGGCGCGTGATGCAAAATCGGGTTTTCGGTTTTGAGGGGAATCGTTGTATCCGAAGCTGGGGGGGAGTAGCTTGGGTTAAGGAAGAAGAGGAAAGAAACAGGCCGGGCGAGGGGGGAAATGTGGGAAAGCGCAAGTGTTTAGCTGCAAGGCGAAGCGAGGGCAGTGCTATTCAGTGACCAAGCACTGTACGGGACATAGTTCAATGGGGGTTGCATGTCGCCCGTTTATGCATCCAATGAGATGCGATTGGGTGGTTTACCTTACTTTCTAGGTGCGCAGGGCAACCCTTTTCCCTCCTGGCCCAAGCTTCACCCCACCCTCTCATCGCGTAGGTTGCATCACATCACGATTGGCAAATACGGATAAGTTTCATATCGGTTTTGTAATTGAATCGGAACATGTGTTATGCTTAATGCCAGTAAACGAAGTTTAGTCGAGGTGGTGCTGGACCAGAGACGAGGGCCTAAATCAATTGCTTCTCATTATGTACAGAATCCCAACACATAGCTAATATCTCGTTGCTGACGAGTGGTGAATGGACAGCTGAACAGAAGAATAACACAACAGGACTTGGCCACTCGTTGTTGATGCCTCGCAAGTCCAATCCAATCACGGCAACTCGTCACTTATCCCAATGCTGCCTCTTTTCATATTCATGCCATCAAGCTAATATGTGTGGTGCCTCATTAATGCAACTCCGAATCCAAACTCCCGATGCCGAGCAACAACAATGAAATCAGACCAAAAATACTGTCCCCGTCCCAGGTGCATGTGCCCTTTTCTCTCACACGGACATCTTCATGGCAATCGTCTTATGCGGGTCGTATCCCTTGACCACAAAGTCTTCCACCCTCCACCCATCAATGCTGCACCCGGCCTCCCTGTTGTTGATCTCCAGCAGCGGAAAATCCCTGGGCTCACGCTCCAACTGCACTTTGAGGGCATCAACGTGGTCGGCGTAGACGTGTGCATCGCCCATGACGTGAGTCAGGCTGCCAGGGACGAGGTCGCATGCGCGGGCAATCATGTGCGTTAGCAGCGCGTAGCTCGCGATGTTGAAAGGCACTCCGAGGCCCATGTCGCAAGACCGCTGGTACAGCTGACAGTGCACATGGCCCTTGGGTTTTTCCCCGTCGGCGGGTGCGCTGCGCGCCCGCGGGTAGGAGACGTAGAACTGCGCAAACATGTGGCATGGTGGCAGGGCCATCTTCTTTAGATCCGCGGGGTTCCATGCGCTGAGGAGGATGCGGCGGTCGTACGGGTTTGTTTTGAGTTTGTGGATAATCTCGGCAAGCTGGTCGACGCCCTGACCCGTGTAGTCCGTCTTGGCGTCGACGTACTCGGCGCCAAAGTGTCGCCATTGGAATCCATAGACAGGGCCGAGGTCGCCGACTTCTCGGTGCGAGAGGCCGACGCTGTCAAGAAATTCACGCGAGCCGTTACCGTCCCAAATCTTGACGCCCGCCTCGCTCAACGGCAGAGACGATGTGTTGCCCTCGACGAACCACAGGAGCTCGGCAATGACGGCGCGAAGGAAGACGCGCTTTGTAGTGAGGAGGGGAAGGAGGGGCTCGCCGTTCTTATTGAGAGAGAACTTGAGTGGGGTAGGGGCGAAGATAGAATACGTTCCGGTGCCGGTTCTAGTGTCCTGGTCAGTCCAACGGCTTCGATGTAGCTGCTTGACATCTTCCTGCCTACCTGTCCGGCCGATGCTCGCCCTCCTCGAGGATCTCGCGAACGAGGTCAAGGTATTGGTATTCCTCGTGGCGCTTGACCGGGGAAATTCCGCTCGGCTTCGTAGAGTTCTCGGGGTTAGACATCGTGACAGGTGCGGTTGCTGCAGGTGCCATTGCTATGTCTCGGTCTGTGAATATCTCATGGGGATGAAATATCTCGAAATTGGGATGCCCCGCGTAAGACGCGTTGAGACGCGTCCCATTAAAGTGCGTGCGTTGATGACTAAGATCGGATATTCTGATAAGATAAAGTTCGACAAGGGTCTTGCCTGGACCTAGGTGCATGCACGCCGGAACTTATTTCCATCTCTGCTGAACTTTCGACGAATGAAGCTACATGAGCCTATTGCATTGAGCTGAGCTTTGTTTCGAGGCTCATTTCTTCGGGTTTTTTGATGTCGTTCCTTGTCTCTTCATGTGCCAAGACCGATGGTATTTCTCTTTGCCATGAACCAAGTGTACTCTGTGACGATGTGCTCTTCACCTCTCTCGCTTCACCGGCTCCCGCCTGAATTGACAGACTTACGGTACATTTCTGCGACTAAACCCGCAGAGAGCTAGGCGATATCGTCTCAGTTGGTTATCTTGTGAAGACAGGGACGTATGGGAGTGCCTAAGGTACAGAATCCCGGACTCCAGTCGCTCTCTTTCTGAGGATTGGACGCCCTCGATATCCACCTTTGCATAGGTCACATCGATATTCTATTGGCATCCTACGGCCTATCTCCAAGCCTCATCACCAAGCAACTTATTACTGTTCAGGGGGATTGCCTCAAACGGCAACAAAAAAGCTCTCGAAGATAAAACTTCACCATCTCCGTTCCCCCGGGGACCATGAGCCACGGTGACCCAGGACTCATACGCACGCCTCCGATCTGGACCGACTTTGTCATCTCCTACGCAACAAACTACGTTGTCCACGCTCTTAATTTTCCCAGCCGGCCTGCTGAGTCGGTTTCTGACACCTGCTTCGCTGTTGTCACAGCTATTTTTCTTCCAAGTGCAGGCTCCCTACAAGCTGCCCGCTGGCTCCTCGTCCACACGGGAACTGTCAGACGCGACGAACTCAGCCGAGCCACCAGGGCCGGCGCGCTATGCATGGTTGCCGGCGAAACTAAGAGGTTCAAGTTCTTATGGATCGAGTCGCCCTTAGGGAGGATGAACTTTCAAAGGGCGAGAAGTTGGTCAGTGTGCCATCATACGCCTAAAGCATAAATATTTCCAAATCTCCTCTGGTCTTACCTTGGTTATGCCAGGTACGATACCCTCACAACACCCTGGTATCGGTCTCGCTTTATCGATGCTGGCCACTAGATACACTCGTCCTGAACCATGCATGGGACTTGTGTGTTGCCCAGGGGATTCACATTGGTTGAGGTGCCTGTAGGCACGCCTTTGATACCGCCTCCGGGCTCAGGGCCAAGTCAACTAAACCGGTAAGATATACAGCTTGGGAGCAATTACAATATTACTAAAGCACTGTTTGCTTTGGGGCAGGCCATGTGGGATGTTACCACGGTATATCGTACTCAAGGCGACCGGCTCCAGAGGTACGGGTATGCTCCTTCGGCGTGACCATAGCGCCTTATGCGTTCATGTCTCTAGCCAACCTGATTACTTTTCTCGTGACCCCAGAGTACAACTGCATCTAACTTGTTCACACGCCGGATCTCGACAAGGCGAGAAGGCAAGGTGGCAGATTCGGCGGCATAGTCGCAAGCGTCGGCCTTGACAGCATCAAGGAGCCCACTCAGAGCATTGTGGCCCTCTCAAGCAACCCACGCCTCATACTTAGCCGTCACCACAGCTCCCTTGCTGTTTCTGGCTGTCCTCGTTGCCGCTCTGACCAGCTTCAATCCAGGACACAGTACCATCTGCCAGAGGGCTTGGGTCCTCTGTCGGCCACCCTTTGACATACATATGGCATCCTTACCAGAATGCTCGCGGTGTTCCCCTCTGAGATCTATGGCGTGTACAAAATCCCCACGAACGGCGCGATAGCGTACGCCCTTGACAACACAAGTTTTATGCAGCGAGTGATAGACTGGCTGGTTACACAATACTTTCGCATCATCGAGACTTCATTTTACCTCGGCGTCGTCCTTGGCCCTGCGATATGTTTCACGCCAGCCATCGGAGGCATGCTTGTAGTGGGGGAGATGTTACAGTACTTCGGTGTGTGTAGATGTATTGACAGACAGACTGATATGAATAAGCCATGGGCATATTTCATGCCATGAAAGTAATAGTTGTGCATCAGCTTTTCTCTCAAGCACAGATACCGCGGGTTTCCCAATCTATGAAGATGTCATGATATAGGGAGGCCTGGATGGTCGTCATCGAAGAGCTACTTTCAATCATAACGACCGGGTACTCAACGTGTTCGCAAGCGCCAGTGCCAGGAATACTCTAGAACGCTTTCACTTCGACAATAGAGAACCCCAACTTTAGTAGTTCATCTGGCGTTAGCGCGAATCTAGTCAGTGAGAGGACGATCTCTTAACAAACTTGAGACCTTAAATCGATGATGTTGCAAAGACGACGCAAATGAGATAGGGTTTGGGTTTACAAAGAAATTTGGGGACTGGTGTTCACATTGAAACACGGGAATATGCACTATTGGTCTGAGGTAGCATTAGTTATCACGGGTGTTCAAGGTTATGCAATGTAGAAAATCCCCAGGTTGACTCTTTAGACCTCTGATCAGACCATACACGCTATTCATAGTAGTTCCGGGCTGCTGGCCGCTGAATGATTCCCTTGTCTCCCTGAAAGCTGAAGTTTCCATAACCTCTGTCCCGCGCAGAGGTAAAGACTGTATTCAGGTCCACGGCAGAAGCTCATAACACCGCCTAGAAAACGAAACCAAGTCAGCTAAGGGGGCCATGTATCCATGTCAAGCAATTCACTTACCCGGCACCTGAATCACACCAAGCAGTGAACCACCGCTGTTCCAAATCTCAATTCCATCGCCGCAAGCAGCCCACACGTTGCTGTTCTCACACATGAGGTGCATAGGAGCACCTCTTCGAGCGAGGGCGAACGTCCGTCTATTAGCGAGAAAGACAGCTTCACCCCGCTTCACCATGTCAAAGGCGTATATACTCCGTGGTCTTGACGAGTCAGCCAGATAAACAATCTTAAGGCGGCGCGCTCAGACTCACTGATTCAAGTCGAGACTGCCATCAATTCGAACACCTCCGGAATCCGCAACATAGAGCGTCGAAGAGCCATCATCAATCGCGATTCCTGTGGGACGAATGAATCCATCCGCCATGGCCCTAACCTCGCCCGTCTTGGCGTCACATCGATAGATCTGCGGTGGAAGCTGCGGCGGGCTCCGGAAGTCCTTCTCATGCCCACAGCACGGGTCCGTGAACCAGATGCCATCGTCGCGGGACGAGACTGCGGCGCTGTGCGGCGAGTTGAAGTCCCGCCCGTAGTATGTTGACGCCACAACCCGGGGCGGTCTGCCGGCGGGCATGAAGAGGACGCTGCCCGTCTCGGGAGCCATGGTCCCCTGCGAGCACCAGATCATCCTGTCGTCACCGACGACGCACCCGCTCGCGGGCATCGACATCGCTGGCGGCGGGCGCAACTTCGCCCACTCAGCAGTGAGGGTGTCATTGGCGGAATTGTGTGTGACAATGACCTTGGACATGAGGATCGTGGGCGGTCGCGTGGGGTCAGACGCCGCGAGGGGTGCGGAAGTAGCCCATAGCTCGTTGCGCGAGGGAACGTAGATGCATCCGCTGTGGAAGAAAGGATTGGCGGAGGCTTCTGCTGAAGAGAGGACGAGGGCGTGAGTCGGGCTGGGGCCGACGATGAGTTCCAGAGCTGCGTCGTATTGAATGATCGAAATTCCCTAACGCCATCCACATAATTAGTGCCCGAGTAAAGTGGATGAGGTATTATTCGAGTTTACCTTTTTCGAGCTGTGCTGAGGCGGTGGTGTCTGGTCACGGCGATCCCTTATCTGTGATGGCCGGTCAGCCTTTGTGATATGGACTAAGTGAACGCCAGTGACTTCTTTTCATATAAAGCGCAATTGACTCACTTCGACGGGGGTCTCAATAAATTTGATACCGGTCTCCTTCAGTGTGGCCATTTTGTTGATGAAGTTGGCTTAATGCGCATGTTTGCTTCAGTGTCGGTGTTAAGTGGACGCTTGGTTTTATTCAGCGAAAGCAAACAATAAATAATTCGGGAGCTTCCCGTGAGATTGAAAAGAAGCCGAGACTTCCAATACACCTTCATTTCTTCCGAAGTCTCCTCACTTCTACTAATGAGCCTTTTTTATAACCTCGATTCTTGGGTTGAATTACAGTGGTGCTCCGGGGCAGCATCTGCTGAAACTCCGCTCCGAAAGAATGCCGACACGGCTGGGGCCGAGGCGACCCGGGCTTACCCATAATGGACGCCAGCGTAGATGTTTTTATTGGCGTATTATTTCAGTTCTGATTTGAGCTGTTGATAATCTGCTAACTTTAACCAGTCATCTCATCGCTACAACCTCTATATGATCCATATAAGGCGCCTATGACAAAAGTGACACTCCCTTAGGTTTCGCTCAGGACTTAGCACGGCTATCGTTCATGTCACTGGTGCGAATCCCTATGGGACTTATGGCCAGCATTGACCAAACAACCCGAACTCTACCTTCATCATCGGCTGCCATCCTCGAGGAAGCTATTTACATTGGTATTACAGTAGGCATGTAGAGGCTTCAGTTTAAGGCTGAAGACGTTGTCAGTATCGACGTTGCCCTTGCTGTCGTATAACAGGTCAGTGAAAGACCAAGGCTGTCAGCGATGTCCGGTCTGCAGATTTATACATCCAGGGCTATAGCTTTACTTGACACGGGTGTTAGAATTTGCGTCCCCGGGTCTATCCAGTAGCTTGGGCTCAGGGGTACCGCTAAATTTGTAAACATGGACTGCTCAATATCAAATACCTCAGTCACCGAAGTCTTTGCTCCGTTCCTGTTGAATCAATTATTTCCGGATCATATGAATCCTAGCGTCAAAGTCAATCCGCCTAGAGCGACCTTGCAAAGATCACGATGACACTGTCGTCGTGCGGAAATGAGTAGGTGAAAACATGTGCAGCATCCACCAGCATCTTGTAGCAACTACTGCGCTGCCTTAATAAAGCTGGAATGCTAGCCTTGCGATTGCATCCTGGGGAGAGCCAGTGAGAAGGCGTAGCACAGTCCTCTTGGGGCATAACCACACGTTGCAAGCCTGCTTTTGACCACGTTCCATGGTACCAAAGAATTCGTCGATAGAGCGGAGATCAGCGTGCAGTTTTGGGGCCAGAAAGGATTGCCGTGGATGCTCGAGAGTCTTGGGCATTTGAGCGCAAGTTGGGAATGGTCCCCCTGGTCATCCATCTTTCATCTGTCCTGCCTGCACTCATACCATGCAATCGCTGGAAAGGGTTTTGAACATTACGTTTCGATTTCGACTCCAAGTCACCTTTACGGTACGTTTCGTCGTTGTGTTTTGCTGGTCAGAAAATGTCTTCATTCCCATCAACCAAGCCCTTTATGAATACACTAGGTCGTGATAGACCAATGACTCGCCCGATAACCGCCCTTCTAGTGTTTCGCCTTCTCATCCTTGTCTGCGCTGTCCAGGAACTTCCTATTGTCTTGTTGTCAGCAGAGGGGGTGTCACGGCGACGACGGAGAGTCTCCTTTTGGTGGGCAAAATGACGCACTTGATGAAGTCGGCCTCGTCGGAGCTGGAAGCGTTGATGGGGGGAGTGGCGGTGGCCTTGGGCTTGCTGCCGCTGGTGCCGTAGACAGCGCCGCCGAAGAGGGTCGCGAGAACGCCCATGGCCAGCTGCGCGGAAGAGGTTAGCCTTGTGATGCTCGGGTGTCGGGTCGGGGGTTGCAGAGAGCGTAGGCGCGCTCGGAGGAGCGACGTACGTAGTGGGAGCCGATCTGGCGGCCGGCGATAGTGTACATCTGAACCATTTTGGCGATATTAGGGGGTTTGCGAGCCTTCGGGGGTGAATTGGTTCGATGGGGTGGAGGCAATTGGAGTTGGATGAGATTCGTCGAGGGTCTCGATAGTCGGAGCTCGAAATTCGTTCGGAAGCTGGTGATGTTAGTGCCTGGAATATCAGGCTGAAAAGAATGGTTCCATCAGACAGCGGGAAGTTAAAGCCACAGACCTTCGCGGCCGCGCCACACACCCACTGGGTTTGCACCCATGCCGCTGTGGCTCTAGCTACTTTATCAGCCGATGCACCATCCTCAACCAACCAAGTAAAGCCGACGTCACAACCGTAGTTAGAGGATTCATGCCGCGGGCGTTTCCGGCGCGCAGGACGCCCTCTCAGGCTCCCTCGAGCCCCCCTTCTCCCTCGGCGCTGCCGCCGTCCATGCACACATAAAAGTGTCAACACCTCCAGCTCTGAGTTGTATCACATTCAGACGAAGTATAGCAACAAAATTCCAACATGTGGGGAAGAAGTCAGAATAAGACACCCGAACAACCGAAAGAGTCGCCAAAGGAGGATGGCGCCAAAACCTTCGACCCGGAAAAGCTCCCACCACGTGAGAAGCTGCCGAAGGCGCTGCAGAATATAGTCGACAAGTCGGATCGAGACGACAACTTTTTCGATGAGCTGGTGGACGGGTAGTGAGTGCCGACCGTGGGGACAGGACTCTGAATGCTGAGTTGACTGGATACAGCGCACCCGAGTCCACCGAATCCAACCTCCGTTATGCTGCCTACGCCACCCGCATCCGCACGATCTTGATGAGCGCCCATCGATATGTCGCGTACACCTCTGACATTGGCGAATCTTTCCGGCCAGTCGCGCATCCCGCCCTCGTCCGTTCTGCATATGGAATCTCATGGCTGTATATTCTCGGTGATGTCAGTTACGAAGGTTACAAAGCATACTGGGCCAATCAGCGCATTCTCAACCCGCACCTGCAGCTCACGGCGCGTCAAGCGAAGCTTACGGGACTGCCGGATGCCGTCTCGGACGCTACCACGCCCAGCGAGGTTGTCCCCGCCGGCAAGGTTACGCCTCTCAACGACTACAGAACTGTCATGGTCCAGCGAGCAATATTCCAGAGCATTGCCAGTATGGGTCTTCCGGCGTTTACGATCCATAGCGTAGTGAAATACTCGGGGAGAGCGCTCAAGAATGCCAAGAACCCAAAGATCAGGACCTGGGCACCGATCGGCCTTGGTCTGGCCGTTGTACCCTTCTTACCAAGCCTCTTCGATGAGCCGGTCGAAAACGCGGTGGAATGGGTGTTCCACAAGGGTTTCGAATTGTACGGAGGAAAGGAGTTTGTTGGCGATGCTCCGGCCACTGGTCGCGAAGACCTTTTGGCGAAGAGGCCTAAGGAAAAAGAGCTGTAGGTTGGAGCGTTTGTGGGATGATCTGGAACACAACTCAATCGGAATTGGCTCGGCGCATGGCGAAATCTCCAACTCATGAAAGAGGGAGGGGGGGGGGGGGGGGGGCACTAGGGAGGCGAATCAGGCAGCCTACATAAGCGCATGGTGCGTAATCGAGGGTATATACGGGAAATGCCACTATGAACATTTTCAACAAATCATCACCTTCGTTAAACCTCCATTAGGTTGGGCGGAGGGCCAACGCCGCGCAGCAAGACAACCGTGTTGCCACTGACCAGTGATGCCCCGACCTTCTCATTGAATTCCAGCAGTCTACCCCCCTCCACGTGGAACACACGCAGCTTGTCTCGCTCATCTGACGATCGGTTGTTAAGGTTCTCCACTTGTAGCCGCTTCGCTGCCTCGTCAAGCACTCTCCCAACCACCCAATCCTTGGAGAAGAAGAATTCGCCTTTGGGGAACTTGGCCTTGGCAGTCTCGGCCTCGGCCTCGACGTACAAATATACTCTCTTCTCCTGCGGCAGTTTGTCGTCGCCCTTGGCTGTCTTCTTGAGATTATTCACCGCTATCAGTCGGGCGGACGCAGATGTAGGTTTCGGTTTCGGTAGCGCCCTGCCGGCCTGCTCCTTCTTCGCTGTTCCCCAGGCCTTCAACTTGTCGAACGCGCTCCTAGTCCGCGCCGCAACGTCGATTTGCGATCCAGGACGGGCACCGAGCGGAACGAGGTTCTTGCAGTCGTGATCCTCCTTCAGCCGGTGCTTCAGGCAGTAGTCGCGATTGCAGCCTGGGCAGTGTACGCCGGGTATGAGAGAGGTACCAATGGTGGTCTTGCAGGAAGGCGAGGCACAGGGCTTCTGGGAGACGTGATCGCGCAGTTGACGACCCTGGCCGTGGGCGGGCTTCGCAAGCTCCGCTTGGCGTCGGCGCTCAGCCCAGGCACCGGCGTTGCTGCACTTGTGAGAGGTCTCGGATCGGTGGTCGAGGCAAAAAGTTTTCTTGCAGCTCTGGCAGAAGAAGGGCAGGAAGTCGAGTTGGTTGCAGTAGTCGTACTCGCAGTGTTTGCCGACCAGTTGCGCGTCGAAGCCGTCTTTGGTATCGTCCATCTTGACGTAACTCGTCTCGTCGGAGTTGGATGAGGACGCCATTGCGATGACGTGTTTGGTTCCCCCACTCTATTTATCGTGATGATCCGAGGCAGATTTCGAAGTACGGAATGTGCTTGCTTAGACCCCGGCCGAGGCGCAACCAGTGGCATGAGGCTGAGAAGGAGGCGACGATGACAATAGCGATGTGATGTTGCTGAGAAATAACAGAGGAATAGTCTGGAAGAAACCAGTTGGCAGCGGGTTTCGGCGTGTCGGTCACTCGCTTCCAGTGGGGCAGCCGCCAAGCTAAAGCGCTAAGTACAGCGCGTGCGTGGCCGCGGGCAGCCTGGAAGGCAACTGGTCCATGATAGCAGCTGGTCCCTAGAGCCAAGGCACATGGGAAAATAAGGATTCTTGCGTTAGGGGCTTCAACGATGCAGATGCAAGCAAGAGCATTCGCCTCAGCTTGATGCTTCCGTTTCCACTTACTACCTATATACTACAGCATTTTTTTCTCATTGGTCATCCGAGCTAGGTCTTTAAGACACAATCAAGTAGGTACCTAGGTAGTAGGTAGCGTGGGGGAGGGTAACGGCAGCTACCCTCGTTAGGGGAGGGGCGATCCAAGCGAACCCCGAAAACTGACCCATAATTCAATCGGACCCCGGACCCTAGAGTGGGTCGCGTACTTGCGCGTTTCTCGCGAATCAATGACGTTACCCATTAACCGTCTCGTCGCATTCACCACCCTGCAAACCTTGAGGAGCTGCTCTCATGCTCGGACGATGGGCGACTTCCCACACCTCACCACATCCAAATCTACACGATGCCTCCACACGTGCCGCGCAAGCGGCTGCACGAGGAATCGCCAGTAAAACCCAGCCCCAAACGCCAACAGGTTGCCAAAGGTCAGCCAAAACCCACGGTGCCATTTGCTCGCAGGAAGCCCACTCTGTACGACGATTTGGATGCTACCACCACGCCTGGCTCGTCCAAAGTCGGCCGTTCTGCTATTGATGTCGTGAGCGACAGCGATGAAACCAGTGCACTGAGCGACTTATCCGACGCCGACTTCGAGGATGTCTCCGTCGCAAATGCACAAAAGGCCGAGGAGCTATCAGACAATGACGATAACGACGACATCGAGTTTGAGGATGTTCCCGCCCCAAGAACTACTTTGGCAAAGGCCGCGACAACCTCCCAAGACCTCCAGCTTACCCTTGATGCCGGGTTTGGAACTGCAATGAACGACCCCTACGGCGACAAAAAGGGGCCGACGAAGCGTGAAAAGAAGACACGGATAGTGACGCATTGTATCCACGTCCAGTATCTTCTTTGGCACAATGCACTTCGAAATTCGTGGGTTAGCGATCTTGAAGTACAGGCAATCATGATGTCCCATGTTCCACCCCGCCTTTGGGAGGAAGTAGAAAGATGGAGGAGTGCCAGTGGACTGGATGCGAAGCCCCAAAGACCTTCACCGAAATTGGCCAGGCCGGCCAAGAAGACCAGAGATAGAGGAAAAGGGAAGAAGGTTGAGGAGGACTCTCGAGATTGGGGTCCTGCCGCCGAGAGATTGGAAGAAGGGGCTGCCGATATGAGTCACGGCGATCCACTGTTCAGGCTTATGAAGTCTCTCGTGGCTTGGTGGAGGCAACGGTTTCGCATCACAACGCCAGGCATTCGTAAGTGGGGTTACATGCACCCGGAACGAGTCGGCAGATTGCGAAAGGCCTGGGAGATCGAAGACCATGACCAGGACCGCTTCGGAGAACGAATCAACGACCTCGAGGGTTTCCGGAAATGCGCCCAGGAGTGTACAGGAAGCCGAGATATAGGATCGCAGCTCTTCACGGCTCTTATAAGAGCTCTGGGATTGGAGGCACGGATGGTCGCCAGTCTGCAGCCCTTAGGCTTTGGATGGACAAAGTTTGAGGAGGCACACCCTGAGAAGGAGAAGAGTGCGCCTTCTGTCATCAACGGCAATGATACGAAGAGTGAGGACGACAAGACCAGAGGGAAAACGAACAAAGCGGCCAAGAAAGTTTTGGCAGAGAAGGGCGCCAAACAAACACCTAGAAGTACAACATCATCACGAATCGCAAGCACGAGGCGCGCAAGCCAGAAAGACGCTGTCATTGAGATAGATGACCCGGATGCTGAACTCGGCTTGGAGCACCCGGACAGCGACGACGAATCAGTCGTAGAATTAGAAGTGACACCGCGGAAATCTACAGTGGCGTCCAAGAAGTTCGATCAGGACTTGGACTTCCCTCATTATTGGACGGAAGTCTTGTCACCAGTAACGAAGAAGTACCTCCCGGTTGATCCAATTGTGAAGAACGTCATCGGTACCAACCGAGATCTGATTGAATCGCTGGAGCCGCGTGGAGGAAAGGCAGAGAAGGCGAAGCAGGTCATGGCGTATGTTGTTGGCTTCTCCTCGGACGGAACAGCTAAGGATGTGACAGTTCGTTATCTCAGAAAGCAACTGTGGCCCGGCCGCACGAAAGGCTCGAGGATGACGCCGGAGAAGGTCCCGATTTATAACCGTCACGGAAAGGTGAAGCGTTATGATCAATTCGACTGGTTCAAATCGGCCATGAAAGGCTTCGTCAGGGGTGGCCGAAAGCATCCGCTAACAGAAGACGACGAAGTGGAGGATTCGACGGATCTGACCCCGGCTCAACCAGAGAAGAAGGAAGTGAAAGAGGGCAGTGAGACCCTTGCGTACTACAAGCAGTCGAAGGAGTTCTGTCTCGAGCGTCATCTCAAACGAGAAGAGGCTCTGTTGCCAACGGCTGTTCCTGTCAAGACGTTCAAAAACAAGGGAAAAGGCGTGGATGTCTCCGACGAGCCAGTTTTCTCGAGGAAGGACGTTGTTAATGTCAAGAGTGCAGAAACCTGGCACAAACAGGGGAGAGCACCCAAGCCTGGCGAGCGGCCGCTCAAGAGGGTGCCGTATCGCGCAGCGACGACTAACAGGCGCCGCGAGATCGCAGAAGCTGAGGCCGTGAGCGGCGAAAAGGTTCTTCAAGGCCTGTACAGCTTCGACCAGACGGAGTGGATCATTCCGCCCCCTATCAAGGATGGCGTCATCCCGAAGAACGAATACGGGTAATCTTTCCTGTTTATGCTGGTTGGGCGCTTCGCTTACGCATTGTAGGAACATCGACCTCTTCGCTGAACATATGTGTCCTGAAGGTAACGAGCTGCATGTCGCTTGACGATATGGGTGGCTTTGCTAATAATATGTCTTTAGGTGCCGCTCATGTCCCGTTCCGAGGCGCCGTCAAGGTCTGCAAAAGGCTTAAGATCGACTATGCCGAAGCCGTTGTGGATTTTGAGTTTGGAAACCGAATGGCAGTGCCCGTCATACAAGGTGTTGTCATCGCAGAAGAATATCACGACCAGGTAATGGAGGAGATTCGCAAAGACGAAGCGGAGCGGGCACGCAAGGAGGACGAGAAGCGGCGCAAGGAGGCGCTGAGGGTGTGGAGCAAGTTTTTGAAGGGCCTCAGAATCGTCGAGCGCATTCGCCAGGATTATGGGCATGTCGACGACAGCGTTCCGGTTTTCCAAAAGGGAACGGCCAAGGCCATCAAAGACACCGATGAAGAAGAGGAAGAAGAGGGGACGCGTCGTGTAGACGCAGAAGCCATGCAGATGAGGGATGAGGAGATGGCTGGTGGTTTCTTTCCAGAAGGTCACGAGGAAGAAGAGGCCGAGCAACCAAAGCGGTTCACGTCTGGTTTCTTCCCAGTAGTGGACGAAGGCGACGGCGATCAGGATATGGATGGTGCTTTAGTCGTGGATCACGGCCGTGACGAGAAGCCAGACACGAGGTACCATGCGGATGGCGCGGCAAACGCCGAAGAATCTTCCCCCGTTTCGGAACATCTCCCTGCGCCGGTCAAGGCGAAGCCGAGGCCTAAGAAGAAGGCGGCGACAAGGCGGTCGACGAGGCGTAGGCAAAGACCTGTCGCTAACAGTGAGGATGAGGACGATGACGACTTTTTGGCCTCGGACGACGATTACGACGAGTAATGCAGCTGCGGCCCGGTGTATTGCATGCGAGATGGCAAGTCGCCGGCCGTATGATTCTCGATGATGTATTCGTGGAGATGAGAATCTTCAAGAACACAAGGCCGTTGTAGGTGGAGGTTCATCGATCGATTTTCCTTTGGGCACAGCTCAAATATGCCGCCATCTTCATGTGTCGAGATGCATGTAATAACAGATAGCAACAACTGTCACCACCCATCGCTGGCTCGAGGCGGAGGAGGAACCGTATTGAGACAAGTAGTGTACCGATTCTAGAGCACCTGACCACACCTCATGCAGAGGTGGGCATTACATCCAATGAAAATGGCGGTGGCTCCGTCATGGACCTACTAGTACAGTGTCATGCTGAGATAAGAGTTGGGCTGATACCAAGAGATGCTTAAAGCTATAGCCGAATGGGATGAGGTTGGCTCCTGGCCAGTGCCAATTGCGTTGCTAAAGACGTGACTCAGGCGTGACACTGTGGTGAACTTGTAAAGCTCGCAGGCAGCATATAAATTGTTTCGGGAGCAGCATGAAAATCGTCGCATTTTGGAGGTTTATGGATACTATTTCACAGACGCCGGGAATAAGATCGGGCGCGTATTCTTCTTTCCTTTCCCCGCAACACTGCCTATAATGGTAACTTCAATTAATTACTCAGTTGGCCTGTTGGCCGACCCAGCCGAACTACGCTAGGAGTGCCCGGCCTTCGGGCCGTCTGACGATCCACGGGTCCATCCCGCCATCACACCCCCTTGACTCAGGTGTTCGTGGGTTCCCAACGTCACTTCATGTCGGAGGATTTTTCCGATTGACAAGGAGACACAGCGTACAGGCTGGCGGGCACGCCTAGCTACGATCCTCAACGAACACGCGGCGAAAAAGGCAATCTGCACGAGGGACTTCAAGGTACATCGAAGAAAGTTCAGACAGCAAAAAGGCACAGAAGCGGTGGGGAGTGTGGCTAGACGGACCAGCGAGTCAGCAAGTCAGCCAGGCAGGCAGGCAGGCAGGCAGGCAGGCAGGCAGACAGGCAGACAGACAGTCGTTCAAGTTCTTCAAGGAAGAATAGTGAGCGGTTAGTCGGGAGGAGGAGCGCCGTTTGCACGGTGTTGTTTGTGGAGCCAGTCGTCCAAACATTCAAGACCCAAGTCATATTGCGTTTGGCTGCTCTGGCTGGACAGCAAACACGGTGTAAGAGAACCTATGTGAAAGGAAAAGACGGAGAGAGAGAAGCGGTCTTGTTTTAGAAGGCTGCTCTCTTCTGGAAGCAGCCAGGCACAGGGTCACCTTCCCACGGCCATACCTGCCATCCGTTGAGAGCCCACCGTCTGACGAGCCTTGACTTCACCTTCCTCCCGTTTGGCCGGCTGCCTTTACCGAAAAAGGCACCATCGCAATCCAGGCACGCAGGCAAAGACGAATTCATCTTGATGAGCAGGAATATTTTGATATCCCTTACGACCTCTGATCGCCCAACACTCGACGGCGATCCCTTCGTCTGTCTCGCTACTGGTGTTTTCTCATCATCCCGCCCACAAGCTGCAATCCGACGACGTTTCGTCTCTTCCTTCCACAGGTCCTGGCTGGGGCCTACCTTGAACCCAGACCATAGGTACACCTCTCTACTGTAGCTGTAACCAGAAGGTATGTTATATGTTCATGTTTTCTTGTTCTTATCACCACTCCTCGGCGACGATACGTTCTGTTGAAGTAAGGCGCACAACCTTATTTCTTTTCTGGTTCACCTTGAACCTTCTGCTCCATCGAGTGACTCATACCCTATCGCTTGGAAGACATGCGTATGCCGCCTTACCAAAATATATGGGCTGGAGTGAGAAGTCTTCTCACCTGTGGCAGAACTCTGTTGGGTGCGCCTCGCGTTGAACATGGTTCGCCGGTACAGAATACCCATGCGGGTAACTCCCCAAGTTGCCTCCCCTTTTAATGTCATGGGCCCATGGTTGCATAGCCATGCTCTACGCATTCTCAATGTTCATCTCATGTCAAGAAATCTTACCCGTCCCTCTCCATCTACCATCACCCCGGTCTATTCATCATGTGGACTTGGTTGAAGAAATGGCGCCAAGATGACAAGCCAGCTAACCAAAAACAGCGAGCAGATAGTTTACTACGGCCGCAGGCTCCTCCACCAGTGCAAGAAAGGGCTCAGAGAGGCTGTAAGCACCCAACGAGGCTGCCGAAGCGCATTGCGAACGCCATCCATGGATTTGTGAAAGGATACCGCCCGCAAACAAACCCAGCCGCAGAGATGGCAGACGCAGCCGAAAAGACGAAGAGTGCGTGCGTTGCTACCGTTATTGCCGTCTTTCCGGAAATCTGCACTGATTTCCTCAAAGAGACGGCGTTAAAGTTCCAGTACAATTCAGAGCAAACCATCGACGAGATTTTGAGACTCTTCGAGATGGGGAAACCGTACCCAAAGAGGTCTTACTCCAATGCCCTCAAGCGCAAGCGAGAAATTTCAGAGGACCCAGATGAAGAGGCCAATATTCGTCGTACCTACGAACATGCCAACCGGGGAATGGAGTCAAACCCGGAATACTTAGCTATAACGTAAGTTCCCCAGTCTCCCAACTATCCCATCACGTTCGTTATCTTTGGACGCCTATGGCCAGATGAAGCACGAGACTCATGTCGGAAATAGGAAAAAGGTTCTGAAGCATGAGTTCCCTGATGCCACTATCAATGGCATTCGTAAGGTCTTGGCCAGCAAGAGCAACCAGCTGCTGCCAGCGTACGTGGCCATTGACATAGCCATTAGCGAATTACAAAGGGGGTCGCGTGAGAACATTCCGGAAGGCTTCTCTTCAACAAAGAGATCCAGACCTGTGACAGAAACCAAGTACGACGACATGCAACTGGATCGCACCATCGAAGCCACGAACAATCCGGACGAGAAAAGAGCTCTGCAAGAACTTCAAGCTGCCCGAAAACTGAGAAGCAAACGAATAAAAGCATACCTTGACAGTGCTCAGGAGAAGCTCAACTTTGCGAAAGCCTTGGCAGACGGTAATGTCGTGGAGTGCGGGTGTTGTTTTGGCGAACTCGCTCGGAACCGCGCGGTAAGCTGCCAAAACTTGGAAAACCCTCATGTGAGTACTCTCCTATCTCCGTAAAGTGCCTTAATTGAACACAGCTAAGTTTTCTGGAGCTCTTTTGTGTTGACTGTGCACGGCGGACTGCTGAACACGCTGTTGGTCAATCCAAATATGAGCTGATCTGTATGTCCATGGACCAATGTAAGGCAGGGTTTTCCCGAGAACAGCGTCAAAAATTCATCAGCGATCAACTATCAGCAGCCCTAGACCGCATCGAGAATGAGGCTATCCTCCGGATGGCGGGTATAGAAAACTTGGAAACATGTCCCTTTTGCCCATACGCTGCCGAATATCCACCCATTGATACCAATCGAGAGTTCAGATGCGACAACCCAGATTGCCGGAGGGTCAGCTGTCGCCACTGCAAGGAGGATACACACCTTCCAAAGACGTGCGAGGAGGCTGCGCGCGATAAAGACATTGGAGCTCGGCATCAAATAGAGGAAGCCATGTCGGCAGCTCTGATTCGCAAGTGCAATAAATGTGAGTCGCGTTCTACAACCCGCGTTGCCACCACAGCCGTGCATTTTGCAGCTACTGACTTTGAGTACCTTTAGGTGGCACTCCTTTCATCAAGGAAATGGGATGCAATAAAATGACCTGTACCGCTGCCAATTGCAGGAACATCCAGTGCTACGTCTGTTCCAAATCCTGCGACTATAGCCACTTTGACGATAAGGCAAGGGGCGGAAAGGTGGGCAACTGCCCGCTCTTTGACGTTGTGGATGTGCAAGTACGCCACGAATCCGAAGTAAAGGCTGCAGAGGACAAGGCTCGTCGGAAGGTATTGGAAAGCAACCATCGCGTTGACATAGACTTTCTCAAGTTCGACATGCCAGAGGATAAGCCTAGAAGGCCCAGAGACCCTCCCAGGAACCAGAGACTAGCAGGAAACCATCCCCAGGGACAGTCGCCGCCGAGAGTTGTTCAAGCCCCCCCAGTTCAATTAGCACAGCAATCTGTCGCCGCTATGCCGGTTGTTGGACAGAACGTGTTTGGCCGACTGCCAGGCGATAATCTCCGTCTGTGGCCTGCACTTCCGCAACAATACCCAATTCCCGGGCAGGTCGCGAACCAGGCCATGTTTCCAGCCCGGCCACCTGCCGAATACCGAGGGCATCCAGGGATGGCAGGCGGTCTTGACTTTCCTGCTGCGCAATATCAACCCAGACTTCAACAACCGCAGCCGCAGCCTGTAGCTATGCCGGGGGCTTTGAACATGCCTTACCCGTTAAACTTTCCGTTTTTCAACCAGCAAAATCCGAACCGGCTTCAGCCCGTGGGGCCAGCAGCACCGTTTGGACCGGCCGATAGAGCCCCGCCTCGGCCTGCACCGGCACCGCTGGAACCGAAGAGGCAGAATCATCGCAACAAGGGCACACGGCGTCCTGCGAACAATCCCGAAATGCCGAAAGCCGATGTACAGTCTGTGCGTTTGCCACAACATCCACAAATAGAGCAACAGGGCCAGCAGATGAACGAGGGGCAGCTCTCCCCTCGACCTGAAGCATGGCCTCCAACAGGTCCCGCCCCGAATCCCAATAAGCAGGCCGCGCAAGAGTCTCGCAATCTCGCGGCAAATCAGCATGCGCAGCTAGCTCCAGAAGACCGACAGCCCTGGCAAGCCCTGCAAGCTCGACTGCAAGCCCAGGATGCCCAGTTTGTTCGACGGGATGCCGAGCGAGCTCAGCAGCAAGCTCAGAATCAGAAGCAAGCTACGGGAGATCAACAAGTCTGGCAGATCCCAGACCAACCCGCAATCGTCCAAGAGCCCGATGGTCGCGATATGTCTACCCGATGGAGAGAAAGGATGATGGTACCCAAGCGCATCGAATCCCATCGTGCCATACAAGGTGAAGCTATCCAAGAAGAGAAGGGTGCAATGGATATTCAAGAACGAGCAAACCGTGGGGTCAACGGCTTGAACCCAAACCCGCCGAAACAGCCACCGGCCCCAGATCGTCCAAACTGGTTGATGCCAGCCGGCCCCCAAGGGGTATTGATCCATCTAGCACCCATGCGACAAAAAGCAGCAGCCGCTGGAGCTGCAGGGAGCAGCGACGAGCCTTTGGAACTGGATTAACAACCGCCTTTCCCCATTTTCATTCGATGCATTTCACATTCTCTCTCTCTCTCTCTCTCTCTCTCTCTCTCTCTCCCCTTTCTCGTCTATTTTCTCTTCTTTTCTTTTTAGTCGACGCTATACCCCGAGACAACTGGCAGTACGTCGCAGAGCAACTGCTCCGAGTCCTGCGTCAATCAACCCACACCCGGAAGTGGGTATGTTTACGAGAGAAGGTCGCCTCGAGTTGGGGAGATGACTTGGGGAAGCCTTGTCGCGTTTGCACCATGAAGCCGGTGTTGGGGTTCGGGATCTGTTGTCTCCTTTTTCCTTACCTACCAGTCTTCATAGCGTAGCATTGAGCATGGAGTCATGGGGAGAAGTGAGCATCTGCCTACTACCTACCTAGGTCGCCACTGGCGCACACAGGGGGCAGACAGGTGCAGATGTTCATAGGGGGAGGTAGGGTCTCTAATTTCTGGGTTCTCATGAAGCAGGGGTACTCTTAGTTCATACAGTAGGGTAGTCGCAAGCACGGCGTAAAATACAAATCAACAGGTCGTCAGGCATCCACAAGTGAGGGCACGCACCCAGTCTAACGCCCTCGGCCGAACTTCTCGTGCCACTTGCCCTTGCTGCCCGTGTTCTTGAGGTTAGATATCGTTTGCGGCTCCGCCTGGGCGACAAGCTCGATGGTCTCGTGGAGCGTTGCGATGGCGCCGAGACCCATGGCGGCGGAGGTGTCTGAGCCCAGTGGCGTAGCGGCGTGAGGGGCGAGGAGGATAAGCGAGTTGGAGGTGTTCTTTTGGAGGAGCTTGTAGGTCTTGTCTTGGGCCTTAAGGAGGGCCGTTGTGGGGGTGGAGGTGAGTGTGATACTGCAATGTGTGAGCGTGTAAATTGAGTGCGTGCCCAAACGACTTACATCGGGGCATCTTCGGCTGTGAGCAGGGCCTCCAGCTCGGGGGGGAGCTCCATGAGCCTGTACCCGCGCGAGTCCGGGGCATGGGTGAAGGGGATGCCGACGTCTTGGGTGGACATGGTCGGGCCGGGGAGGCAGGGATGATGGCCTTGTCTGGAGGTGTGTTTAGATACTGTGACGTAGGTAGACAGCGCTTCTATTCGTGCTGCAGAAAAAGTTGGGAGTTGACGGGTTTGAAAGGCCGATAAGCGGGCACGTGAGGTGTGAGGATGGTAGTCGAACCGGAAGCCGTCCAATTACTGCGGGGTGGTCAGGAGAAATAAATAACACAGAAGGGCCATAAGGCTTGAAGGTTCCGAGAAGGAGGGGTTCCTGGTCCAGTCCTCAGCTGCTGTCTGTCCAGGTCCCTTGTTCCGCCCAAAATTGATTCGGTCGAGATTGGTGGTGGGCCCTCATTGGCTGACATAAACACCCCGGTCCCATCCTCGAGACCGGGGACCAGGGACAGAAGAGCGGTGATTGGGTCAAAAGGGTGGGTATGTGCTGTGCAGGTAGGTATCTTGTTTTAGTGCGAGCAGATTGCTGACCGAGGGAAAGTTGGGAGCAGGAGTGGACGCGACGGGTGATAAAGCGGGTCGCGGTTAAATCTGTTTATGTTGACCTCACCTCACTCTCTCTGGATAGTATGATGTGTGTACGTAAGGCATATGTATCTATACAAATAATAAACTACCTAAGGTATTACCATATGGATAATGTAGTAGCGGAGGAGGCGCTTGCTGACGCACCGCTGCCAGCACGCAAGGTGAGACTAGAAGGATGATGAGCTTAAGTACCTTGCTCAGGTACCGATTTAGAATATAGGTACACTGGGCACCTATCTTACCTAGGTACTGAGTGCAATTTGGTAGACGATGACTGGGGAGAGGTTGGAGGCAACGAACGATGAGATGCCGCAGGCCGGCAACCTATAGGTGCATCCGTCTGCACCACGCCTCGCCCTGCATCTGCACCACGTTGGCATCGTCCAGTCAGAACGACATACGGTAAAAATCTCTCTTCTGGTACACAGAGAGAGAAACAGAGACAGAGACAGATAGGGTGAGACCAACCACCAGTTTCACTAACGAGTCACGCCATCGCACATGGTTCCTGCTTGACGGTTGGGCTGCTCAAGTGTTGTGTGTGGTCCGCAAGCAATCCATCTTCCGAGTGAAAATGTCCCAGCCCAGGACTTCTCGACCCCCTCCTCCTGGATCCCGCATCTTGGGCGCGTTCTCTCCCCGTAAAAAGGAAAAAAAAAAAAAAAAAAGGTCAAAAAGGTCTGGCCCAGACCCACGGCCAGGTTTAGGCGTTCGTCGCTTAATCCCTCCCCTTGTCTTGCGAGGCAGTGGGCGGGCTGTCGTCATTCTTTTCCCACTCCAGAAATCAGAAGCCCATTACCACACTCTCTCCGTCCTCCACCTTCTTTGTTCTCTCTCCCATTCCCGTGTGGTGAGAGTGTGTCGGTCAATAGGAGCAACGGGAAACAAGGCCGGTTTTCGTCCCACTGCGTCGCCAGCACCTACATCGAGATCAACAAAGGGTACGACAACAAAAGGTAAATTAAAACCCAAGGATCTCTACGGACCACGTCTAATTGTGTCCTACATACTGTTTCTTCCTCCCTCCCTGTCATTCTGACTGACCCGTCGCATGTTACCAGGACCCCACCCCTTCGTCTTACAACCTAAGAGACAGGGAGAGAGATTGGGCTTCACCTCTCTCAATTGTAATATCTAAACAACAATCAACAACACAGCGGGTGGACCCACGGACCACAGCCCGCCGCCAGCAGCCAGCTAACTAGGTGCTAGGTAGCACACGCCCCACCACTGCCACTGGCGACTGGAGCCCAGCCCAGCCCCCTCCATAAGGTACCTTGCTTTATACCCAAACTACTATGTACCCAAGTGTACCCACCCACCACGCGCCTTTCTCACTTCACTGCCCGCCTGCTATCGCTGTTGCTGTTGCTGTTGTCAACACACGGACTCTCTCAACTCTCGACCCTGGCCGAGCTCAAAGCCAGCCAACTCACACCGACACCGCAACCTTAGATACACGATAATTCAGTTGCTAGCTTGCAATCTTCATCTTTCCCAACTTTGGTCGCGCTAGCCAGCCTGGCAATTTGGCTACTTTTTTCCTCACGCTCTTTCCACCCCTAATTACCTCATTCTTTCTTTGGCATTTGGAGCACTTCTTCCACCTCGTTTCGTCACATCGCCATCCATCCATCGCCGCCCTCAGAATCACCTCGACCGCCGCATCGAACTCGAACTCGACCTCGACCGCGGCCTCGACCTCGACTTGGGGACCAAATTGCGCCTGTCTTAATAGACATACACGCGCGCTCACGCCTACATCACACGCTCGTTTATCAAACTTTGCAACTCTCCGCTTCTTCTTGTTCCTTGTGCGATTTGTACACCAGTCAGTCAGCAATGACCCAGGCCCATTGACCAGACCACGCGACCGACCGACCGACCGCATCGCCGTCAGCCCCCGACAATGGTTCGTGTCACGGAGGACCTGGCTCTACCTGCCGAGCTCCTCACCCTTTACCACGCCACCGACCCCCTCCTCGGACACCTGCCGGTCCTCCTCTTCCATGGACCCTCCACAACCGCAAACTACACCCTCAACAGCTCCCGCGTTCAGATCCACATCTACAGCCCCGCCGGCTTCCAGTCCTTCCCGCGTCTTACCATACAACCCAACTCGCCCTTCTATACCGTCGTCAACCACCTGCCGCGCGAATGGCAGGGCGACGAGATCTACCGCGGTCTCGCTTTCGGCCTCTACAAGTACTTTCAGGAGCTGCCCGAAGTTGTCAAGAACCATCTGAAGAACACATACCCGACCACCAGAGGGCGTCGCCCGGGCAGCGGCCCGGCTTTGTTTAGCGAGCAACATGCGGCCGACCTCGCCAAGGATATGGTCAAGAGCGAAAACGCCGCCGAGGTTCTCGAGACGCTGCGGACCGCCCTCCAGACCCAGCACCTGAGCAACGTCGACATCGACTTTGTCCTGCCGCCCGGTTCCATCGTGCCGCTGCAAACCGAGGATCTGGAGGAGCTGCCTGACGATGAGGACGATTTTCTTGACCCGACGCTGCGCCAGTACGGGGGATACACGCCGCTGGTGAAGGCGCTGGGAGAGCCCGTATTCCTGCCGACGTCGAAGCTACGGAGGGCGCCCTCGAGGCCGACGTCGCTGAACCGTAGCAAGTCCTTCTCCAAGGACCAAAAGGTGGATCTGAGGATGAAGCTTGGAGAGCTGGTCGATACCGAAGAGAGATATGTGTTGAAGCTGAATGAGCTGGTGAAGCACATCGCCGACGACTTTAGACAATCTGCCAAGCAACGCGACCCGAGCAGTCTGAGCCCTTCCGAGGAGGAGCTCGAGAAGCTGTTTCCCAGGTCCGCGGATAGAATACTGCAGGTCAACTCTGCTTTCGTGCAGGAGCTGCGTGAGATCATGGACGAGACCGAGGAGGAAGCTGTCAAGGACATGCAAGTGACGACGGTTGCGCTTACAGGTTCGAGAATGGGGTCGCCGTTCAAATCCAAGGACCCCAGCGGCTCATTGGCAATCGCGAGGGTCTTTCTCGAGTGGTTCCCCAAGTTCACGGACTGCTACCAGGACTACATCCGCGCGAGCCAGCACTTCCCCACGCTTCTCAACTCGTGTCTGGATCAGCAGTCGAGCTTCCGCCAACGGGTCCTCCAGACCGGCGAGCAGACTGTTCGCTCCATCCTCATCGAGCCTGTCCAACGCCTTCCTCGTTACAGTCTGCTTATCGACCAAATCGTCAGCTGTCTCCCCATGACACATCCGGCCCTGCAGCCCATGCTCAAAGCGCGCGACATCATTACGAATATCTGCTCAATGGACGAGCCCATCCCCGATAAGCCTCAAGTGACGAGTCGCTTGCGAAATATGGTCGAGAGTTGGCCTCTCGACCTCGAGCCCCAAGGGCGACTCATCCACGCGGTCGACTTCGTCGAGCTTCCCGCGCCCTACCGCCTGCTCGACCCACCGGAGATGGCGGAGCGTGCAGGAATCTTCCTTCTGTTCTCCGACTGTGTTGTCATTGTGAAGAA